ATGTAAGGTTCTTGAACTCCTTATAGTAAATCAGCTGCTACCGTTTTTGATCGACTGCCATATTATACCTACGTCGCAGCATGGCTTTGTTCCCGGCAGATCTGTCATATCAAATACATTGACATGCTTGAATCACTGGACATCATCTCTTGACTCAGGTGATGCGGTGGATATTATTTACCTCGATTTCAGCAAAGCCTTCGACAAAGTGCCACATCGACGCTTGTTATTCAAACTTGAAAAGGTTGTAGTGGGGGGTAAACTGTTAGAGTGGATAGCGGCGTTCTTAAGCTACCGGTCGTTCAGAGTTCGAATTGGTAACGCTTTTTCACTACCACAAAACGTGCCTAGTGGTGTTCCCCCCAGGGATCGGTGCTGGGACCAGTGCTATTCTTAGTGTACACCGTGGATTTGCTCTCCAGCATTGATTATTTGGAAATCCTTCAACACATGCGGACGTATTGCAGGGAGACTTGAATACTATTTCCAAGTGGTGTTCAACTTGGCTATTGCCGCTGAATGCTCAAAAGTGCTCTGTGATGCATTTTGGCAAGAACAATCCCGGTTTGAATTATTATATCGATGGAAACTTTGTGTCAAGTGTCGATTCTCAGATGGACCTAGGTGTGACAGTAACTAACGATCTTGCGTAGTCTGCACATGTATCAAATATTGCAAAGAAAGCAAACTGCGCTTTATTTTTGTTAAAAAAGACTTTTAAAAATCCTAGTCCTCGCATCGCTTGCAGGCTTTTCACCATTTACATTCGCCCCATCCTGGAATTTGCTTCCCCAGTCTGGAACCCATGGCTATTGCGTGACTGTGATGTTCTGGAAAAAGTGCAACGAGCCGCTACACGCTGGCCACTTCAGCTTAGACATACACCTTACGACGATCGTCTAAAAATGCTTAGTCTGCCAACATTAAGTCAGCGTCGGCTGCGAGGGGATCTCATTCAAATGTATAGGTTTGCGCGTGACCAATTTCCATCTGACGTGCCCCTTGTGGTCTTAAGCAATGATGAACGCCTACGTGATCATCCATTTAAAATAAGGAAGGAACAATTCAGGACTTCACATCGCCTGCATTTTATAAGCAACAGGACTTTCAATTATTGGAACAGTTTACCCCCAGAAGTTGTGTGTGCGCCGAACTTGTCTGTATTTAAACGTCGCTTGGACAGCAAAATGTTTATTATATGTTTTGTGGTACTAACTATCAATGTACATAATAGGTTTTCTTTTGCACTTTATTCTTAATAATAATAATAATAAAAATTTATTTATCGATTTTAACTTGAGTAAGAAATTCAAAAGATGGCGGTTTTTTACATTTTGCTTTCGAGGCCTAGTATTTCCAAAATCCGTCAAGTCCGTCAAGTCAAACCAACGAAACTAACCAAAACAAAAAAGGAAAAATATTCTACCTCAATCATCTTTTAAGCACTTTTACAAAGAGGCACTTTTTATACGATGATAGAAATGCCTCCTAGCGGTGGAACTATAAACTTAAAAAATATTTTTAAATATTTCTGTGAGTATCTTAAGAGGATTTATTTTCGAAACTCCAACGACTAATGGAAATTTGGTTAGTTGTGTCAGAGTGAATGAATCTCCCATTACATTTTCTTAAAATGTAAGCTTAAAAGGCCTAACAAGCTTTAATGACTTGACTTGAATATTCTTTGAAATGATATGGAGACACAAAACACATTTTCATTACCACATTTATTCAGCTATTTGATGACGCTTTTGGATTTAACAAGCGACTTGAAACTAAAAGTATTTAAAAAAAAATGAATATTGCCTTAGTAGGCCTTGATTTTACTATAAATTCTATTAAAATTACATTACAGTTGTTATTAACCTAGATTAGACGAAATATAGTAAAACTTTATTACCAATTTCATTTCAAGTTCAATTAACGACACTTTAGTCACTAGTTAATTTTGGTTAGTTTTGGTACTTATTTTACTAGTGACGAGAGACGTGACTTTCAGAACCGACAAATGTCGAAATACCCTCAGTGCTTAAAACCTACCAGTCACCAAAACGCACGAATTGTAAAAATAAAACATTATTCGGCCAGCACATTATTTAAAAAAATCAAAAATGAAACATCAAAGCAAATAAAAATAGATTTCATATAGAAAAGGTCAAGGACAAAGTGAAACTTTCTATCAGATATATAATAAAAGTTTTGTAAATAAATTAAATGAAGGAAACGAAATATCGCGTACTTGATTTGATTAATTTATGCCTACTAAGGTGATTTTTCGTTTGTTTTAAAATATTTGTGATTTCAGGAACGCCAATATGATAAATTTATGCCCTACATATATAGAACCTGATTATTTTTGATTGTTAAGATTTTGGATTCAAGGTGAATTCAAACGCTTATGACGGAATACATGAAATAATCGTTAACAACCACTCGCGCAATTGAGTCAAAATTATCCGTATATTATCTGGGTTATTTTGGCCAAACACACCGTGAATCACGTAAGAATCGTGCCAAAAATTCTATTTTATTTTGTTGTTTTCGAAGCGCATTTTTTTGTCAGCGGTGTAAATTTAACCCGATGATACCCGATGAGAGAAGCATGACAAATTTTTAGAAGCAAAGAATATAAATCACTAAATGTGAATAATTAAGTGAGGAAAATTAAATCATAGCTTTTAATCAGGCCGATACTGATAGTAGCGAGGTACGATGTCGCGAAAACGATAAGGCTGTAATAATAATTTCGGAAAAAATAAATCCCGTTAAGAAAGTTGGCCAAGAGAAACTTACGGAAATATTTTATTAAATTTTCAACCCTAGGGGGCGAAAAGAATGGTTGGAAAAACCTTTTCTATGGAGTTATGGCTTACCATGGTTTCAATTTAAAAAAACATAAGTTTGTCACAACACTAAAATGAAGACTGCTATACCAAAATTATATACGTCATTAAAATGTTGATTATATAAAAGTTTGTCCCGTACTCCTTTTTGCTCAGATCAATAATAAAGAAGATATGTCGATTCATTTGCGAAAAATTAGGTTTATATATATTTAATCAACCCTGTCTCAATCTTCAGCTGGTTGGCTGTCGACAGATCCTCCCCGATAAAACTTTAAGGATATTATTACCTATTGTTATTGGGTAAAGCCATTAACAAAAAATGTATTCTTACTTGAGTGACAAAGCGGGAGTGGGTCAGACATATTTCTTGAGTGTTGACCATTTGTGACAGTGTTGAATAATCGATTTTTTGTGCGTTTCGAAAAAGTTATTTTACGTCACATCGAAATAATTTGTAGCTCGATGCAAAAGAGTTTCTGAAAAATGTGTATGAAACTCTAACGAGTAGAGAACTTATTCAACAAGAAGCTTAAAAAACTGCCTAATTACAAAAAAGCCAATATTATCGATAATGAATATTATTAATAGTGGAGAATTGAAGAAAAAAAATTAAAAGTACTGATTTTCAAACTCACCGCATGGACACTAGTGCTTTTATCAAAGCAAAGTTGTGTAATATGGAAAAGAAGTTTCAAGAAGATGAAACAAATATAAATATAAGCCGTGCCATCCTCCATAGAGTTGCTAGTAAAATGGAATTTAAGTACCCCAAAATAGATGAAGGCATATTACGCACTTGGAGATTTAATTACTTATTTACTTACTTTTATTTATTAAAACCGAAATCCAGGAATATTTGTTAGAGAATGATATTTATTTTAAATTCAGTTACAAAGAAAGAACAGCCTTTGGAAGTTTTAAATTCAAGGCTATTAAAAAAGAGTATGTATGTATGCATCAGAGCAGAAAATGTTGCTCCTACTTTACCTTACTTAAATTTGAAATTTGATTAAAAAAATGTAATTAATAACATACCAATTGAGAGCTGGAAAAATTCATTACAGCACATTATAAAAATTGGGGGCTCTTACATTTCTAGACAAAACAAGTCTATTATCATGACAACTCTGATAGTGAAACAGGATTAGATTTAGATATTTAGAATAAAAATGTAATTATATATTCTTAGCTACAAATTTATTGTATATATTTAATGTTCTTGTTTTTTCTTAGTGTAATTTAAGGTTATTTATACTCACCTAAGTAAATAAAGAAAAATAATATTTTACCAAAAGCTTTGAGAGTCCGTTCCTAATGTTCCGTCCTTTAATACCTACTGAATCCGAGTTTTATTGCCGTCGGCAGCACGATGAAGATTGAGACGGCTATACCTTCCATAGATCCCTTCACAAAACATCGAAAAAATTCACCTAGTATATGAGGAGCAATGGTTCCCTTACACATTGATGTGTCCAAAATGCATGTATTCGTTTTGTTTGTAATTTAGAGAACACTCAGATTCCCATTCGAGTCTGCTTGAATGAATTAAATATTTAACTAATCTGCTTAGTAAAAATGTCTGAATAACATAGCGTGAATTAAAGAGTTGATACTTTTGGAATCCCTCAATTTTAGTCTTTCTAATTATAGATATAAATATGTGTAAGAGAAAAATGTTATGATTACCGTTTAATATTGTGACGAGATATAACTATAGGAAAGAGCTAGCTTGCCTAATCTGCACCTAAACCTGCTTGAATACTGATTATTAAAATTGTACAGCACAAAGTCGTCATTTAACTTAGATCTTTACTGCATAGAATGAGTGAAAATCGTTGAAATAATTTAAATCTAAAACAATGAATATTTAAACACATTCGCAAGTCAACGATGACTCGTGAGTATATTCGAATGTTCTTAAGTTTGTAAAACCAAGGTTTCTTCGAGTATAGAAGATTTGTTTTATTTTAATTTAAATCTATAATAAAAATTGGAATATGGAATTGATAGATGATATAACCTAACAGCTTTGATCTTTTTTTTTTTTGAGAACCATCCTTATTTGAACACCTAGCTTAAGCTTAATAGCAATTAATTATCAGTTTGTATAGACTCTTGTTGGTTACACGAATGTGATGTGGTACAATATTACAGGCGTTCCTTCACCTATGTACGGCACATATCGCCAACTGAACACAGGCAGAAGAAGCGCTTCTCCGGAACCTTATCGCCGACCGGAATCCCCAGAAACTTTACATTCTCTGTCAGGTGGTAAGTTGAATTCACTTCCTTACCAACTTCAATACTATTAACCCGATCAGTGCGATATTGGGTTTTGTAAATCAAAAAGAGAAAACATGTTCAAGTCTAATACGATTGTATTTATTAAATACAAATTCTGCTTCAGAATAACGCTATACAATAAAAATAAACAATAATTAATTTAAATAATCGTATCAAACTTAGGCATTTTCTCGAACTCTATTTTGTACGCTTGAATTAACCACTGATTATATATATATAAGACCAATAAGGTGCTGTGAAGCTAAAAAATGTATGAAACCTACTAATTTTATACCGTACTAATAAAAGTTTATAAAAAGTATTTTTGAATTTTCGTTATTCCGCGTTGAAGAAGAGAGAATCCTTATAAACAAACGAATTATGTTTATATATAATATAATATTAACGAAAATGTTGTGTTTAATGACCTAATGAAATAACAAGTTTGTTTAACGCAAATTTGGAAAGTTTGATCCCATAACGCACCAAAATATTAAGTTAATTGTGATTTTGTAATATATTATGCTACAAGTTTTATAAACGTCATTTTAGGCGTCATTTTCTTTTACGATGTGATGAGTGCACGCTGAACAAATGGAAAACCATCAGAACTGACAAACATCAAAATACCATCGGCGCTTTAAATCTACCGTAAGCATCCGATAGCTCCCAAACATCGGAAGCCTTCACGACAGTGTTTAATCAAGATGATATTTTAAAATGAAAACTTGCGTTCGTTTTTTAGTTATCTTCTCTATATATACAAACCAAGATGAATAGCTAATCTTCACTTCTTCCGAGAAAGGTGTCCTATTGCTGCTCTAAATAATTGTGTGGAAGTCATGCGTCAATTCAAGAAATGTGTTGCTTAGAACTAACTTTCGGAATTTTCTCATGCCCATCTCAATCATAGATTTTGATCCTGACACTCTAGGTTTAGCTTCCAAGATACCAAGATACAAAATTCACTTACAAGGTATTAAAATCGTCACCGCTTGGGGTACATATTGAATCCGTTGAACCTATAGATTATCAGTGATAAATGTAAAACAAGACAAACAAGATGTGTTTGGGTCCAGAGGCATAAGTCCTATTTTAGTTATTTTAACGTCTTAACCATTTCTGGTGTGTATATTTATTGACGAATTTTGTATCTAACGAGACCTAACGAGAAAAATTAATATTATATAGCAATACTGTCAAAACCGTATTCATTCCTCCTCCGACTTAGTGTACATATGTGCCTATCGTAGATCTTAACAACTGCTATCGTTTGTTATTATTTACTGCAAATCGTTCGACAGGAACGAATTGCGTAAACTGTTACACTAAACCTGACAATGAAAAGCAGTACTCGCCTGTTTGCCATATTTTCCCATAGAGAAGAATCCGATCTTGCGTAACGGGAATACGAAATCGAAACTGTTGCAAAAATAGAACTAGTCTTTACGTATGTGAATGTGTAAAAACATTATATTTCGAAACACCTGTGAAATAGTCCCACACTGCAATTGAAAATGATATTTAAAATTCAGTTTCCGAACCAGCAACAACAATCTAAATAAAAAGCAAAATTGAGAAGTTTTTCTCAACTTCAACATTCTATTACTCTATTCTAATAGTTCAGGAAGTTAAGATTTTTATTTGATTCTATAATTTGAATAATAGTGTAACAGTAATTGTGCAATAAGGGAAACCCCGTATGAACTTAAAATTACCTCTGGAATATTATAGCACATATATTTGGTTCGTGCTTTCTTTAATACAATAACACCTTTGCACTTGCACGTGGAAAAGGCGTACTGCTAGTTGTACTACATATAAATAAATTTCAAAAACAACAATAAAACGGTGAAAATCTATGGGGTGTGTAAGCACTTTTCTCTGTGTTTGTATTTGCATTTCTTTATAAAGTTCATCAAATCTTAGTTTTTGTTAGTCATGTCGGAGTTTTTAATACTTTGGCCTTGTTAGTTGGTTGGCTTTCTCAAACCAACTCTCATATCCTATACTTTTTGTAAAACTTCCGAATTTCTCCTGCGTCGGTTTTTGTTGAGTCGAACTGTGGAAGTTTCATTGAAAAATTATGATATCCCATTTCACTAAAAGATTAAAGTTTTAACTATAGAATTAGCATCTTTGTTTGTGATGGCGACGCATATTGGAGCAAAGAGGCGGTTATGCGGAAAATATTAGGCAGCACACGAAAAACGTACAACTTATTCAGCCGATGTAAAAACATTATTTATTAACCGGGAGTTAATGAAGCAACAGCCCAGATGGCATTATCTATTAACCGGGAGTTAATTAAGCAACAGCCCAGAAAATAGATAAATATAGCATGTGAGGCAACCTAGACAATATCGTTTTCCGCAAACTATCCACCATCCACCGTGAATGAAATTCATTAACGCAGAACAAAACAGAAGAAAAAGCAATCAATCAATTTTTTTATATCTATGTATAAAAAAGCATATGGTGACAAAGTTTAATTTTTTAAATAAGCGTAACGCTATTTCATATTTCAAAACGTTCTAAACATTAACTGTTTCGTCCAAAAAATTTTATATTTAATTTTTACACATAGCTAAACGCGAGGACAATTAATCTTCGATTTTCTCAAAATTGGCATCAGTTGACTCCCATTCTGACTGTAGCGAATTGTAGATATAAACCTAAAAGTCTAAGCATTTAACACAACACAAATAAAAGTCTCAATCTAGATAATATTTAATAATAAGATACTTAATGAACACATTTTGGTATTAAAAAAATTATAGAAAGTAATAAGAACCGGCCCAATCTAGAAAATATAAAAAAAAATTATTTGGATCGATCATTATCATTTTTAAAAAAACGATTATTTTATTTATTTTATATCCAAAGCGTAGTTAAGCAAAATATGCAATAGTCAATAATTCAAGTATATACACAGTGTTTCATATCAAAAATCGATTTTCTATTGATTACCAAATATTAAGTTCTATTTGTGGTTTGGAAACGATTGCAAAAAAGGTACAAAGATTGTTTATATCTGTGTACGAGAGGAGTTTCCGTATAAAATTGTTCGATTGAGTCCACAATATAGATAAAAAACGCAGGCAACCAAATAATATGAAAATTAAAAAGAAGGCAAACGAGGAGAACCAGGAAAAAGTAAACGAGAAACGGAAGCCGCCGTCAAAACTGAAGTGCGAAAAATTTTAGCTTCGGAAATGGTCGTCGCGGCGAAAAAAATTCGATTACACCCGCAGATCGGTCGGTGGCCAAAACCGCGACACCGGTGTCTCAAAATAGTCCGCCGAACCCGATTTCGTGCCCCCACTATACGAATCCGTTCCCGAATCGCAGCGGGAGAGTCCCGGGACGCTCATTCTTCGCTCGCAATTCGTATTCGACCGACGTCTTGAAAGATATCGGGGATGATGACTTGATCTTTGTAGCTTACCAGAGCCGCAGAGCAGGCAACGACGACGACAGACTTTGATCCGTCAGATTTTTTTAGCGTTCTTATTTTTTTTCTCGAGACTAGCGCTCACACGTGTGGTGATTTATTGTGTGTTATTAGTGCTAATTTTTAATTTATTTGAAATTTTTCTCATCGATCTTGTGCGAAATATATAAGTGGTGACGAAATGAATCGACAACAGCAACAACAACAGGCGCAGCAATCGCAGCAGCAACACCAGCAAACGGTGACGCAACAGCAACAGCAACAACGGGTGACAAGAACAGAGCAACATGTCACAAGACAGGTCACCGGTCATATGACAGGTTAGGACTCATTGAAATTTTTCGCATTCGCTTGTCAGCTCGCCCGTCACTCGCTTGGGGCTGTTCTGCTAACTCCCGAAACACGTCATCATCACGAACGGATGTTGGGAGAAGAACTCCAAGTGATGAGAAATTTCCGATTCTCTAAGCTTGTCGGCTGAAAGTTTTTACGTAGTTCGCTGTTGCTTGCTGACGTTCATCCGATACCGCTAGATCTGCAATCTAGGTAGAGTTTAAACAAAATCTATCTACATTCGATGAACTGTAAAATATTGCATAAGTAGGTTTGTTGACAAGTCCAAAGCTCCTTGGCAATGGATAAACAATCGTCACATCTACTGAAATCCTCTCTTTTGGGCCACTTAACCGAGCTTGACTGATTCTACAAATACAAATGAACAGATAATTCAAAACATCTAAATTTATCTAACTTATGATTTGTTTCAACTGTATAATATCAACTCATAGTTTTTATAAACGACCAAAGCGATTATATATACGTTGGAGTATGTAATTTTGCTACCCCCACCTCAATAGTAAAAAACAAAAGGACCAAATGCAGCATTACGATTCGAGAAACGACACTAGCAAACTTAGAAATATGTCTTTTAGCAAAAATTGCAATTAATTCCAGGAAACAACGAAAATTGCGAAACATTTCGCCATCGTTTTATAAGAGATCATCACCAATTTTGGTTTTTATGAATATTTAATAACAAACGTCTGAAATCACACACAACACACAATCCGTTTGGAGTTATTTCCAGCGTGTACGATATTTCAAGCCGGGATAATTTTGCCAGCATTCAAATCCGTTAAAATGAAAAACTCCAGTTGGACGTAATCCAAATGGCGCGGGCAAATATTGTGCGACCATTTTTTATAGTGATTTTTCTTGCCGACGTTCTATTTCGGGAATTGGGGTAAATAAAACGCATTCGGAAGGAGCATAAAATTTCGACAAACACTTCGTTGCCGCATTCTGACGATTTTCAAAGTATATTTTTATTCGAAAACTTACAAAGTCTGATATTTTTGAAAATTGCGAAAAAATGGCACCACTTGTGCAACGGTATTTTAGGATTGGAAATTGGCTACGTATGGAAGTCGCCTTAACCGTATACAGGGTGTTTAGAAAGCATGCATGATTCTAGAGCTCATTTTAAGAAAAATAGTCCCAATAAACTCTATCTGGAAACGCCTTGTTTATAACATGCAAGGTGTCAATATATGTGGTTTTAAAATCGGGAACGCTCATAGAAGCTCAATATTTGACCATATTAGAGATATCTAATATATGAAAGTGATTTTAGGGACCAAGTATCTAGTAGACAATTAACTCTTGCATTTTGAAATTTTTCGTCTTTCCCCTATTTTCCGAGTTAAGTTAAATTAAAAACCGTGCTTTCTATTTTTATTAGAACTTTTCTTCTTAAAATTACTTTAAATATTGCGGTGTATGTTTCAAACACCTTGTATAAATAAGAAGAAACCGAATTTCTTCTCGTTTTTACGAACGAAGTGTAGACGGCCGTAGAGGATAAGCGTGTCGGACTTTTTATCCGAATCAATTATATTTACAACACTTATAATTGTGTTTATGGATGTGTTACAGATTAACGGCACATGCCACTGAAGCTCCCAAGTCGTACTCGTTTGCATGCGTATTTTTAGAAATTCTTGGCACTGGCGCTTTTACGTTTATAACCGATTGCTAATTATTTCTCACATCCACGAATTTCTGCGATTCAATGTGACGCTCGCGTTGTATTTTCACAACAAAAAATGCGGAGGCGGTGCAATATTCGGGGCGTTGCTAACCAAAACAAATTGTATTCTGCTATTTTTTATACAATTTGTTATTCTTAGATTTTTAGTTTTATTTATGTTAATATATTTAAAAATTTACAATGAGCAGTACATAGAAAAGATTGCATTTTCTAACTCTTTGAGAAAATGCAACCATGCAGTTGAAAAAATACCTCTAGTTTTAGTGGACTAGAAATTTATTTATTTTTTTATTTTATTTATTTTTTGCAAAATTGTTCAGATAAAACTCGTCCGTTGCTATTTTAGACTCGCTTTCACTTTCAAAAGAAATGAATACGTTGCCATTTTGCTGCATAACTTGGCCTGCTACTAAAATCTAGGTGAACTAACAAATATCACAGCTTTACCCAATATTTATATATTTATATAAATATATTAATTTTTACCATTATCGGAGATGGGCATAAAAGGAGGCAATTATCTTTTATTTTTACGTAAAATATTGTAAGAAAGACTGCTACTTTTTTATGGGAAAAAATTTATTAAAAAAATGTAGCTGGAATATCCAAATTTTAGCGCAGCAGCAGTGCGAACTGCATTAGCAATTTTTTTTTTGATGCGTTTATGCAAACCTTTATTTTTGAGTAGACCTTAAATATTCAATTTGCACTTAGGAACGCCATCCCAATGTCAATTGTCTTGGTCATCGACCTATAAACATCCCGAAAGATTGGTAATACCTCGCGATTGAAACAATTCCATATCAAGTGTCATTTAAAAAACGCACGCGGGTAGCGTACCTAAAAAAAAGGCACAGAATAGAAAGCCAAACGATTCGGAGGACGGAGCGTAAAAAAATTAAGTGGACCGAAGCAAGAACGTACCGTCCCGACGGCTAGCGTCGACAATTTTAGACGTCTTGGATCGCGTTTCAGGCCACCATTTTAGGAGCAACTATTTTTAATGCACCAATCCGATACGTGGCAATACGGCAATCCCATCGCATTGCTTTGGATTTCGAAAGTGAATCACTTTTTCGATCGATTACATTTTTGAGAATCGAACGACATTTCAAATTTTTTTGATGTATGAATAATAATTATATTTATTCTCACTCGACCGAAAATGAATTTCAAAAAATGAACCGACGGACACTCCATTAATGCTATTATTTAATCTAGCAGCTGTTCGTTGATGAGGATATCATAAAAAGAACGAAACCTATTGTTATTTATGCCTATTGTGGATTCCCATATATTTGCTTGATTACCGAGTACCGAATATTCCAAATCGGGAACGCAGTTCATACAACTTGGAAGCAGATGTTTGGACATTTAAGGATGTCGCATCCAAGGGACTAGTCCTTCAAACTAAATAAGAACTAAAAGCTCAGATTTTCACGAAATTATATATTTTGGCATGACAATTGTTTCTACAACACCGTGTCTTTATTATAAACGTAACAATTGTCATGTAAAAATATATAATTTCGTGAAAATCTGAACTTTTAGTGCTTATTTACTTTGATAAATGGATTTTCATCAAGTAAAAGCCACCTCAGTTCAATTTAAGAACTAGTCCTTAATTTTCCTCTGTTGCCGGATAGCCTTTAGCCGATTTAGCAAACGGCTTGACTTACAACTCCCGTTTCTTAAAGCTGACTTGTCATTCAACCGACTCACACTTTGTCCTATTTTAAAGCACCTGTGAGTGCCATTATGTAAGTCTCGAAGAGTCAATGGCACCTCTCCTCTGAAAAATAAGCACCCAATCATCTACAAATTTAGTCAGATTGCAGTCTTTATAGCGGAATCATCCCAGATAACTTGCAAAATGCTGGTTTTGATTTTAAGAATTAACTTAGTTATGGTGGTGCTTATAATAACACATTTAAAATTGTAACCCATTATACCATTAAAACCACTATATGAGATCTTAAAGGCACTTTTTTTTTTAGTTCAAGGAGGTCAGCTAACCCAGGAGCAACTCCAACAAATTCCGGGTTTCGGCCCAAATGCTCAACCACCTGTGTTCGAGAAGGTGTTTAGCAATGCGAGATTCGCCCAAGGAGGTGTGGCCGCGTTCGAAGGACGAATCACCGGCAAACCACAACCTACGGTCTCGTGGACTAGAAATGGAGCACCACTCCTTAATTCCCAGAAGCATCGACTTAGTTACAACGAATCGACTGGAGATGTTACACTCCAGATACACCAAATTGGTCCGGGAGACGAGGGCGAATACATATGCACTGCCAAAAACCAATACGGAGAGGCGGTGTGTTCCGTCTACATATCCCCTGAGGGAATGCAGATGCCCCAGAGGTTTTCGCAGAGTCAATTCGAGAAAACCACGACCTACTCAAATGGTACCGTAATCACGGAAGACTTCAAAATAGACACATTTGAATATAGGTAACACTATTTAAAAAAAAAGAAATAGTGCAAACTCTAAATAGAATTTCATTACAGGTTACTTAGAGAAGTATCCTTCCGCGAATCCATTACCAGGAGATCTACATACGAAAAAGACTCGCAGATATCGACAACAGTTGAACGGTCTCTCGGCCCACCGGCTCCTCCTCAAATTTCCCAAAAACCACGCAATTCAAAATTGCTCGAAGGGTCTGATGCAGTGTTTACGTCGAAGCTATCCGCCAACCCCCGTCCCAGGTTGACCTGGTTCAAAAACGGGCAGCGGATAGTGGAATCTCAAAAATATGAAAGCAGCTTCTCGAACAATCAGGCTTCGTTGAGGGTCAAGCAGGTTTCGTCTGACGATTCGGGCCATTACACTTTGCTGGCGGAAAACCCTCAAGGTTGCGTTGTATCGTCGGCGTACCTCGCCATTGAACCAGTAACCACCCAAGAAGGTTTGATCCATGAGTCGTCATTCAAATCTCAACAAACCGAAGTTGAAACTACCGATACTAGCAAAACACTCGCGCCAAACTTCGTTAGAGTTTGCGGAGACAGAGATATAACCGAAGGAAAGATGACCCGTTTTGACTGCCGAGTAACCGGTAGGCCTTACCCGGAAGTTACGTGGTACATCAACGGAAAACAAGTCACCGATGACCACAACCACAAAATCTTGGTCAACGAATCCGGCAACCACGCCTTAATGATTACGTCGGTGAGTCGAAACGACTCCGGCGTGGTGACGTGTGTCGCAAAGAATAAAACCGGCGAAACATCTTTCCAATGCAATTTGAACGTTATCGAAAAAGAACAAGTAGTTGCCCCGAAGTTTGTCGAAAGGTGAGCTCTTCCTGAGTTACTAGTTGCTATTTGACACTACTGCGTTTTTCAGATTTACCACCGTCAATGTACGTGAAGGAGAACCGGTCCTATTGAACGCTCGTGCTGTTGGTACACCCATTCCGCGCATTAGCTGGCAAAAGGACGGAGTTCCTTTGCAATCAAGCCCGGATGTTCGCATTGCCATAGACGGAGGCGCTACTTCGCTAGATATACCGAGAGCTAAGGTTTCGGATGCGGCTTGGTACCAATGTACCGCCCAAAACGTTGCGGGCTCAACCGCAACCCGAGCGAGACTATTCGTCGAAACACCACAAGGACCTACTCCCGAACCCAGACGCCTGCACTTGCCAAGACCTACAAAAGTCATCGAACCTGAGTACGTAATCACTTGCTTGCACTGCAAAAACACTCAATAAGGCAATACGTTCATGTTACAGACCCGAACCTGGCCCGGAAGTGATCTACCTCCGCCATGTGGAAAGATCAAGGCCACATCCAGTTCCCGGCGAAGAAGATCGTATTTATCCCCCACCTAGATTCATCATCCCGTTACAAGACGCAATTCAATTCGAAGGTGGCAAGGTTCACTTCGAGGCCAGGATTGAACCAGTCGGCGACCCGACCATGGTTGTTGAGTGGTTCTTGAATGGAAGACCAATGGCAGCCAGTAAGTAAAGCGGTTCAAAATATTGCGCGATATTAACAAAGTACTTTTGAAATTTGCAGGTTCTAGAGCAACTTCGATATTCCGCTTTGGCTTTATTGCTCTAGATTTAATTAGCTTAACCCTTAACGATGCCGGCGAATATGTGTGTCGTGTAAGGAGCGCAACAGGATGCGTAGAATCTCGTGCAAATCTTATCGTTAAAGCCAGAGAATCTATAGAGAAAACCAGTCAACACCCAGACAGTTTGCAATACATTCAACACTTGGAAGATTATTCCAAGTAAGTACTCAAATTTGAATCTCAATCTTCAACTTTTCTATGACGTGCGCATTTAGATATCAACGTCAAGAAAGCCTGGAAGAGAAAACAAATCAGAAACCTCATTTCATCCGTCCACTCCAGGATCTTGGAGAGCTCCAGGAAGGCAGAAATGCGCACTTTGAGGCGCAACTGACTCCTGTCAGTGATCCAACCATGAAAGTAAGATAATGCTTCTACTATACTTGGACTTAACTAATCCGTCGTCTCTCAGGTGGAGTGGTACAAAGATGGTCGACCGATTACGGCCAGCTCCAGGATCTCGACGATCTTCAACTTCGGCTACGTGTCTCTCAACATAATGCACCTACGGGCCGAAGATGCAGGATCCTACACCGTGAGAGCTGTGAATCATTTAGGTGAAGCGATTAGTACCGCTACTGTCCAGGTGTTCAGCAAGTAAGCATTTTAGTATTAAGTACGATCACGTCAAGTGGACCCCCCATTTACCACTTGGTCATAAAAATTTAATCTATATATATTTTTTATGAGCACTTATGATGGAAAATTGATCCCCCAAACGATTTTTTAAAATTTTGATTTTAACAACATTGTTTTTATAATGAATATTTTAAGAACTTTTAATTAAAAAATTGATTAAAAATCAACCGTAAGAGATAAATTTATGAACGACTTAAAATTATTTGTTTATTTTCGTATTATTAACTAACTTTTAAGTAAACAAATGAAGATTTAACTGATTTCTTGGTAAAAAAAAAATTGTTTTTTTATATCGGTCACATGCTTTATCCATTTAAGTTTAAGATTCCGGAAGAAAATTTCACTGTTCGTCATCAGTTTAAATAAAATGAATTTATTTATGACAGCGCGCCGGGCGTCGCACTGCCGAGGGTCTCGTGATAATTTAAAATAATAATACAAAATATTATTATAAAACCAATTTTATTATTATTTATGCTATTTTATTATAATTATTATTAATAATTTTTTTTAACAATGTTATAAAGAATACTATCAATTTTTTTTATTATTTTTACCAAACAGCGTAAATTTAGAAAAAAACAATCAACTTTAAATTTTTAAAACTGTTATGGTCTATACTTATTTTTTCTAGGTCATTTAGCGAATTACGGTTTTTAAATTTACTAGTCAACACTCCATCTTTAGTTAACGAAAGAAAAACCGCTGCGTTACGATTTTCATTTGTTTTTCGCGTATCCTAGTAAATAACAAAATCATTGTAGAAGTCATTCCTTTCTATTCGTGACATAAGCTTATACGCAAAGCATGAAATAATTATTAAAAATAAAAGCTGAAGTGTTGTTGAGTTGTTTTTTTAGTTAATATTTTAGTATTATAATTTTTAATTGTAATAATAATATTTTCTGTGATTTACAATGGGCCGAGTGAACTATGAAATTATGTGATTAAAAATTAGTTTTAATTATTATTTAAATCTAATTTTGCCAATTTAGTTAATCATGAAAATGATTTTGGTGTTGATGCTAATTGGACTTTTCTCGCTACATCTCATGGCAAAGGAGCGTGTGATGGCTTAGCAGGGAGTGTATAAAGACAAGCTTATCGTGATAGTCTCCAACGGGATAAAAAACACCCACATAACAACCCCACTTTCCTTTTTTCAGTGAGCCCAAAGGTCTTTTAAAAAAATACCAACCACGATTCGAACGCTTAACTAAAATAAAAAATACACGCCAATTTCATTATTACAAACCAGTGGAAAATTTTTCACTAGAATGCAGCCTGGTGAAGAGGATGAAAAAGTATTTATTTAAAAAAAAAGGTTTTTAAAAAAAAAAAATAAATTGCGACAAATTTATAATTTAATTATTTAAGCTTGTGTTTTCTATTCAGTATGTTAATATTGTTACAAAATAAAATGTTATTAATAATAATTATAATAAAATAACATAAATAATAATAAAATTTGTTTTATAATAATATTTTGTATTATTATTTTAAATTATCACTGATAAAACCTTCAATGCAGTTCGAGACGCTCGGCAGCGCGGCGCTTCCACAGCGCTCGGCGGCCGGCGCGCTGTTATAAATAAGTTCATTTTGTTTAAACTAATGACGAGCAGTGAAATTTTCTTCCGCAATCTTAAACTTAAATGTGTAAATCATGTGACCGATAAAAAAAAACATGATTTTTTTTACCAAGAAATCAGTTAAATTTTCATTTGTTAACTTAAAAGTTAGTTAACAATACGAAAATTAACAAATAATTTTAATTCGTTAATATATATTTCATAAATTTACCTCTTACGGTTGATTTTTAATCCATTTTTTAACTAAAAGTGCTTAAAATTTTCATTATAAAACAATGTTGTTAAAATCAAAATTCTAAAAAATCGTTTGAGGGATCAATTTTACATCATAAGTACTTATAAAAAATATATATAGATTCATTTTTTATGATCAAGTGGTAAATGGGGGTCCACTTGATGTGATCTTACTCTGTTGTTAAAACCTACGGAAATTTCACTCTGTTTCATTAACTAGATTGACGGTGACTGGTGATTTGGGAATCCCAGAACAGCAACGCTATATCGAAAAAGTCGAGGAACTAGAAGCTTGGCAACAGCAGCAACATCAGAAATACGTCGTAGAAAGCCCAGAAAGTATGGCTCCGCCAGAATTCAAGACACCGATTAAAGATCAACTTGGAATTCGCGAAGGTGGTTTCGCACATTTCGAAGCGAGATTAGAACCCGTAGGAGATGCAACTCTTAAAGTCGAATGGCTTAAAGATGGGCGCCCGGTAGAAGCCAGCTCTAGAATTACAAGTTTCTTTAACTTTGGTTATGTAGCTTTAACGATTAAGGAAGTTACCATTCACGATGTCGGTAACTACACGTGTCGCGCGTTCAATGCATTGGGAGAGGCGACTACGACGGCACAATTAAGTGTTGTGAGTAAAAAAGATATAATATTCGACTCGCAGCACCCCGGAGGATTAGAAAAAATCCAGCACTTGGAAGACACGAGTCGATATTTAAGGAAGGAACAAGAAGAAATTGAAGTTACGCAGAAACCCCGGTTTTTGGGACCACTGAAAGGTACGAACAAAATTGTCGAAGGACAGAGAGCACATTTTGAGGCTCGAGTCGAACCACAAAGTGATATGACTTTGAAAATCGAATGGTATTTCAACGGAAGACCCATTCAACCTGCAAACCGAATTCAAACCTACCACGATTTTGGGTATGTCGCTCTTGACATCCTCAGCGTTAGAGAAGAGGACGCAGGAACTTACACGGTGGTAGCTAGAAACGCTTTGGGTGAAGCACAAGTATCTGCTAGCATGGTAGTCGAAAGTAAGTATTTAAGTGCTTTGTGATAATGCACAATATCAATATATCCGATTTTTGTTGCAGCTCGAGCAAGTATCGACACAAGAAGTATGCACAAAGGTGCGTTCGACAAAACTCAGCACCTAGAACAATCCAAGTTTGTTGAACCCCAATACCACATAGAAGAAATTTCAAAATCGAAACCAATATTCGTGGTACCGCTTTCCGACCCGCAGCCTTGCCAGGAAGGCAGAAACATCCACTTAGAATGCCGCCTGGAACCGATGGGCGATCCGACCATGCGCGTGGAGTGGTATTGTAACGGAAAACCAGTAACCGTTGGATCTAGGTTTAGAACCTACAACGATTTCGGGTTTGTAGCCCTTGACATCATCCACGCTACAGCTCAAGATTCAGGGGAATATACTGTTCGTGCCGTCAATCATTTAGGCTCAGCCCATACCTCCGCTTGCGTAAGAGTTATCGCGAAATCGGATATTATTACCGAGAGTCAGCACGAACAATCTTTGGAACAAATTCAAATGCTCGAAGATTCTTCCCGATACAGGAAACACATCGAAGAAGACGTTACCGTGTTGCAAGCCCCACAATTTACCAGACCTCTGCATAATATTGAAACCGTCGAAGGTACCAACGTGCATATGGAATGCCGTCTTCAACCTGTGGGTGACTCATCTATGAAAGTCGAGTGGTTCTGCAATGGACGCCCGGTTAAAACGGGTCATCGGTTCAGACCGGCCTACGACTTTGACTACGTCGCACTGGATTTACTCAGCGTATATCCTGAAGATTCTGGAATTTATACTTGCCAGGCACGAAACCAACTTGGAGAAGCAGTTACTTCGTGCAGCGTCAGAGTCATTGCAAAAAAAGACTTATTGTTCGATAGCCAGCATCCTGCAGGATTAGAGAAAATACAACACCTAGAAGATGCTTCCCGGTATAAGCGCACGGAATATGTGGACGAACAGGTCACCGTGAAACCCAGATTTGTTACCAAACCCAAGAACTTAGAGAACATGGTTGAAGGTCAGCACGCCCATTTCGAATGCAAAATAGAGCCGGTGACTGATTCCAATTTAAAAGTGGAATGGTTTAAAAATGGAAGGCCGGTAACCGTTGGGCATAGATTTCGTCCAATACACGACTTTGGTTACGTAGCACTTGACGTAGTAGATCTGATAGCCGAAGATTCTGGCATTTACACCTGCCGGGCAACCAACTTGATAGGTGTAGATGAAACTACTTGCGCCCTAAAGGTAAGACAAACCGGCCAGATTATTACCAGCACCCAGAACGATACTAGCTTGCAACAAATTCAACACCTTGAAGACCGCTCGAAATATCAAAGGCGAGAAGAAATCGAGGAAACTACCAAACAGGCGCCAATATTCACGACTTCCTTAAAAAATATAGATATTAAGGAAGGGCAACGCGCTCATTTTGAATGTCGGTTGATCCCCGTATCCGATACCACAATGAAGGTGGAATGGCTACATAACGGCCAACCATTAAAGTCAGGATCCAGATTTACTGAAACAAACAGCTTCGGCTTCGTCGCTCTCGACATATTATACACCTACCCTGAAGATGCCGGCACCTATACATGCCGTGCCACAAACGCACTCGGGGAAGCCGTTACCTCTGCCGTATGCAATGTTCAATCGAAAAAGTCGATTTATCTGGAATCAGTACACGAAGGCGCTTTGGAAAGACTATCGGAGTTGGAGGACTCGTCCAGATACCAACGCAAAGAAGTTCACGAAGAAACGATCAGTCAAGTGCCAGTATTCACCATGCCAATTAAAGACTTAAGAGTCGCTGAAAATCAAGCAGCTCACTTCGAAGCTAGATTGATTCCAGTAGGAGATTCGAGGCTAAAAGTGGAGTGGTTACGTAATGGAGTGTCGATCCAAGCTTGTAAGTTCTTAAAATACTGATATTTTTGTCGCTCAATACCAGCCGTCTATTTTTAGCGAATCGTATAACTACCATGCATGACTTCGGGTACGTAGCTCTAAATATGAAGTATGTCAATCCAGAAGATTCTGGTACATACACATGTCGTGCGGTAAATGACCTCGGCGAAGCAGTGACGTCTGCAGTACTCTACGTTCAATGTGAGTAAATTACATACCATCATTACCATGGCGTACCTAAAATACATTTTTCATTCAGCTAAGGCATCTTTACAACTTGAATCTCAACACGAGGGAGCATTGCAAAAGCTGCGCCAGCTCGAAGATTCCAGCCGATACCAGCGCAAGGAGGAACAAGAACTAGAGGTCACGCAAAGTCCATTCTTCTCCACTCAACTCAACGGACCTGCTGAACTGATCGAAGGTCAAAGCGCGCACTACGAATGCCGAATCGAGCCCTATCCTGACTCCAACTTGAAAGTGGAATGGTTCCATAACGGAAAGCCTTTGACAACCGGCCACAGATTCCGCACAGCCTACGATTTTGGATTTGCCAGCCTGGACGTGCTTACTGCATATGCTGAAGATTCTGGAGAATATACATGCCGTGCGACCAATCGCATCGGGCAAGCTCAGTCCTCTGTACAGACCAGCGTTAAATGTATGTATTAATTTTCAAGTGTCGATGTTATGTTATTAATATTCTCTTTTTGTAGCAAAATCATCAATTATTCGTGATACACAGCACGAAGGGGCCCTGCAAAAGATTCAATACCTCGAGGATGACTCTAAATACAGGAAGGTGGCGCAAGATGAAGCTATTCTGTTAGAAAAACCGAAATTCGGAAGAGGGCTTAAAACCATCGAAAACCTCCCTGAAGGTGCCAGTGCCCATTTGGAAGCGACTCTAACGCCGGTTAATGATCCCACAATGAGAGTAGAGTGGTTCTGCAACGGAAGACCCATTCAGACAGGTCACCGATTTAAAACGACCTACGATTTTGGATACGTGGCTTTAGATATTTTGTACGCTTATGCAGAAGATTCGGGAGTGTACATGTGTAGAGCAAGAAACGTTGCTGGGGAAGCGGTGACAACTGCAAATGTATCGGTGGTCGCCAAGTCTGGACTTTACTTGGATACAATGGACGAACAAAGATTAAAGAAAATCAGAGATCTCGAGTCATACGAAAGACCCAAAAAAGAAGAAATCGAACCAGTGGCGCAAAAACCTGTATTCCTGACACCCCTCATAAGCTTAGATAATCTAAAAGAAGGTGAACATGCCCATCTGGAGTGTCGCGTAGAACCGATAAACGATGCCAACCTAAAAATTGAATGGTACGTTAACGGCGTAAAACTCCGCGCTGGACATAGGTTCAGAACAACCCATGACTTCGGATACGTGGCGCTTGACGTCTTGTACGCTTACCCTGAAGATAGCGGTACCTATATGTGTAAAGCTACAAATCTCGTTGGCGAAGCAGTTAACACTTGCACCATTAAAGTTGGTGGAAGGAGCAGTATTTTGCTTGATACTCAACACCCAGAAGGTTTACAAAAAATTCGAGAACTGGAAGCTCAAGGACATCCTACTAGACTAGAAATTGACGAACCCGTACCTACCCCTCCCAGATTTATTACCGAACTGCGAGGCACTACTGAAATCTATGAGGGCCAGACCGCTCATTTTGAAGCCCAAGTCGAACCTATCCATGATTCGAATTTGAGAATCGAATTCTACCATAACGGTAAACCGTTGCCGTCTGGAAACAGGTTCCATATAACCTTCGATTTTGGATACATTGCACTTGACGTAACGCACGCCGTACCCGAAGATGCTGGTGAATATTCTGTTAAAGCAATCAATAATCTTGGACAATGCGTTTCGTCTATCAATTTAAGAGTAATTGCTAGAGACAGCATTATAACAGAGTCGCAGAGACCAGAAGGTTTAGATAAAATCAGGCAGCTGGAGGAACACCAGGCGTATAAACGCCCAGAAGCAGAGGACCAGGTCACGAGGCAAAGACCAGTGTTTACTCAGCCACTTCAAAATATTGACTTTATTAATGAAGGGCAAACAGCTCACTTCGAATGTAGACTGATTCCAGTTGGTGACCCAACACTTAAAGTGGAATGGTTTAGAAATGAGAAACCATTGGAAGACAGCTCGCGTATAACCAAAGTACATGACTTCGGTTACGTCTCCCTGGACATCAAACAGATCAGAGAAGAAGATGAAGGCATTTATCTCTGTAGAGCTTCCAATCCACTGGGAGAAGCTGTAACGACTGCATCTATGAAAATTAGAAGTAAGTATTAAAAAGTATCCTGTTTGACTTTGAAGCATTGTGTTTCACTTTCAGCCAAAGCCAGCATCCAGCTGGATACTCAACATCCAGAAGCTCAACGCAAAATCGCCCAACTAGAGCAGCCACTGGCGCCAAGGCCAGAAGAACCGGAAAGAATATTTGAAAAACCCATATTTACTCAACTTTTAACTGGACCGACAGAGCTCTGGGAAGGTCAACACGCTCATTTTGAAGCTAGAGTTGTACCTGTGGGTGATGCGAGCTTGCGATTTGAATGGTACATCAACGGAGTAGAACTAAAACTTGGGTCACGGTTTAAAGTTACTCATGATTTCGGTTTTGTTACTTTGGATGTTATGTCCACGGTGCCTAATGACTCCGGGGTTTACACTTGTAAAGCCATCAATAAATCCGGTGAAGCGGTTTCGTCCATATCGATGAAGGTTAAATCGAGATCGAATATCGTCGGAGAACCTCTACAACCTGAAGCTTGGGAGAAGATCAGATTAAAGGAAGCTGAAATGAACAAAGTCCCTGAAATGTTCATCGATACAACTCCTCAGCAACCTCCAGTATTTACGACACATCTTAAGAGTTATGACAATTTAAGTGAAGGACAACACGTTTATTTAGAAGCTCAAGTAGAACCACGTGCGGATCCAAATCTCAGGATCGAATGGTTCAAAAACGGAATTTCTTTATCAACTGGTACTAGGCTCCGTAGCACCTTTGATTTTGGATTAGTCACCCTATCCATTAATGGGCTAAGAGGAGATGATTCTGCAATTTACACATGCAAAGCGACCAACAAATTAGGAGAAGCGATCTCCACATCCTCACTTAAAATTCAAGACAAACACTGGCTTTTGGGTCAGACTCTACATCCGGAAGCTATTCCTAAAATTGAAGCTCTCGAAAGGCCACAAGAAGGTCGTCCGGAACAACCCGAACCGACTTATGAAATTCCAATGTTCATCTCCCACCTGAACAATGTCGAATGTATTGAAGGCGACAATGTGCACTTTGAGTGCAATGTTGAACCATCTAAGGACCCGACAATGAAGATCGAATGGTTTATTAACAACAAACCTTTGACCAGCGGAGCAAAATATAAGAGCACTTATGATTTCGGATATGTGGCGTTAGATATTACTCACGCTTATGAAGAAGATTCTGGAGTATATACATGCAAAGCATCGAATAGCAAGGGTTCCGTTACTACGTCGGGTTCCTTACGGTGCACGGGCAAAAAGAGCATTTATTATGATACGCAACACCCTCAAGGAAAGGCTGGATTGGATGCCGTTGAAGAAGTAGATCAGGCATTTGCGGCTAAATCCCGACCAAAAGATTACGCCCCAGATAAGGAATATCCCAAACCAGTATGGACAGTACCACTGAATCCAGAATTCACGGTGCTAGAAAGTAAACCTCTTCATTTAGAAGGATCCGTTGAACCAAAAGAAGATCCTAACCTAAAAATAGAATGGTTCTTTAACGGAAAATCATTGGATCACGCATCGAGGTTCAAGCTCACTAGCGACTTTGGTTTTGTTACACTAGACCTAACTGATGTATACGAAAGGGACCAAGGAGTGTACACAGCAAAAGCTTCAAATAAAGCAGGAGAAGCTTTTACATCCACCACTATTTATTGCACCAGCAAAGCCAACCTCATCGAACGAACACAACATCCTAAAGGGCAAGAGGGTCTGGAAAAGATACAAGATCTTGAAGATTCTTTGCATAGACCCGAAATGCCTTTAGCAGAAGGAGAAGAGGGACATGCGCCTGTATTTACATCCGAATTTACCAACTTAACCAATCTCAGCGAAGGTGAAATTGCTCACTTTGAAGCAGGTTTGACACCTATCGGAGACCAAACCATGGTGGTAGAGTGGTTCTATAATGGAAAAACAATTGAAGCTTCTCACAGATTTAGAACAGTTCATGCCTTTGGTATGGTAGTTCTGGAAGTGTTAGGAGTGAAAATTGAAGATTCTGGCACTTTCACATGCAAAGCAACTAATAAATGGGGCGTGGCTGAACAAAGCGTTACTTTAGAATGTGTAGACAAGACATCTGGTCAGAAACCCAGATTCACTACACACATACAGGATATTGTCGGATTGCGTGACGGTCAATCTGCTCATTTCGAATGCACCCTCGTACCCGTTAATGATCCGAATCTTAAAGTGGAATGGTATCACAATGGACAGCCGCTATTACAGTCATCCCGTATAAAATCGGTTTCTGATTTTGGCTTCGTTGTATTAGATATATCTTACATCCAAGACCAGGATTCCGGAGAATACGTTTGCAGAGCACATAACAAATACGGTGAAGATTTCACCAGGGCTACGATATCTGCCCATGGAAAAGGGGGAGTATTTTCAGAAAGCTTGCAACCCGAATCACTTGCTAAAATTCGCGAACTTGAAAGCCTCCAAGGGCAACAAGCTCAGGCGCCGCTAACTCCCGTAACGGAACCTCCGAAATTTATCACTCAAATTCAAGACGTCACAAAACTTGTAGAGGGACAAAGCGCTCACTTCGAAGCTCGCCTTACGCCGGTCACAGATCCAGACTTGGTGGTTGAATGGTATTATAATGGAAAGAAGCTTCCCCATGGCCATCGATATCGCACATTCCACGATTTCGGAATTGTTATTTTGGATATTTTATACTGTTACGAGGAAAATTCCGGAACATACGAATGTAGAGCTTATAATAAATATGGACAGGACTCGACCAAAGCTACACTTAAATGTGTCTCGAAGGCGAATTTAATCTTGGACTCGCAACTCCCGCGGGTAAGTTCATTTGAAAAATCAAAATTGGTTCATTTTTTTAATCATTTCCCTTGCAGGGCATGGAGGGTGGATTAGAAAAAATCCAGACTTTGGAAGACTCCATGGTGCGCACTAAAGAAGAACGCGAAGAGGTGACCAAGGGTAGAGCTCCAGTATTCACAGTCCCCTTATCCAACATTGACAGTTTGCGAGAAGGCGAAAGCGCTCACTTCGAGGCAAGACTTATTCCAACCGATGATTCGAAACTTAAAGTTGAATGGTTCTGGAATGGAAAGCCATTGAGAACTGGCTCCCGGTTCAGAACATTCTGCGACTTTGGTTTCGTAATATTAGAAATTTCGCCCGTATATCCGGAAGACTCTGTCGAATACTCTTGCCGCGCTACTAACGAATACGGCGAAGCTGTCACCACTGCTTCCATGAAAGTATCCGGAAAACGCAGCATTATATTGGAGTCGCAATTACCAAAAGGAATGGAAGGCACGATTGATAAAATTGCCGAACTTGAAGGTTTAGGTGTAGCACCTTCCCAGTTAACCCCTGAAGATGACAGCGGCAAGCCGCCCGAATTTATCACAACCCCGTCGGATTTGATTTTGGGAGAAAATTCCCTGGCACACTTTGAATGCAGACTAACACCAGTCAACGATCAGAGTATGAGAGTGGAGTGGTATCATAATGGAAAACCGCTTTGGTCCGGTTCCCGAATCAAAACAATAAACGACTTTGGTTTTGTAATCCTCGAAGTAGCTGGTGTATACCAAAGAGACTCTGGTCTGTACACGTGTAAAGCAACGAATCGCCATGGCGAGGCCAGCGTTTCTTGTACTTTACAAGTGAAAGGTCGTCAAGGAATCATTCTCGAACCTCAGTTGCCATCGAACTTCCGAAGTGGCACTCAGAGCATCCAGAAGCTTGAGGAAAATCTGTACAAAAAGGAAGAAATTACAGTGGAAGATGAAAAACCTAATCCGCCGAGGTTCATTGTCGAAATTAAAGACAATGTTGACGTACCCGAAGGTAACCCGATTCACTTCGACTGCAGAGTTGAACCTAAAAACGATTCGTCAATGAGAATTGAATGGTTCCATAATGGTAAACCTCTAGCTACTGGATCCAGGGTCCACCAAATAAACGATTTTGGGTTCATTTCACTTGACATCGATTACACCTATACCAGAGATGCAGGAGAATATCTCTGCAAAGCCACTAATAAGTGGGGTTACGCTGTTACTAAAGCCAAAGTGACTTCGAAATCGAAGAGAACTATCGATTTCGAAAGTCAATTACCTTCCGGTATGAGTGCTGATAAACTAAAGGAACTTGAAAAGGGTCCAGTATCTGCTCCTCCTCAAGAAGATAAAACATTTGGGCCTCCGAAATTTATTACTCAAATTACGTCTGTTACCGTTGAAGAGTCAGAGTCCGTTAGGTTCGAGTGTAGGGTAGAACCAAGAGACGATCCCAAACTAAGAATTGAATGGTATAGAAACGGAAAACTCTTACCATCAGGTCACCGCTACCGCACAGTTTATGATATGGGATTTGTATCACTGGACATTTTGTACGTCTACGCGGAAGATTCCGGTGAATACGTTTGCAGAGCTGTCAATGACCACGGCGAAGACTTCACCAAAGCTAACATTTCGTGTAAGAAGCTACCCAATATTATTCTGCAAAATCAAGTACCTAAAGGCATGAAAAAATCCGAGGCGCTTATGCAAATGGAAGCCGCTATTAAGAAATACACTTCGGAAGTATACCTAACCGAAGATGACTTATACGACGTGGACAAGAAACAACCTCCGAGATTTGTAACGCAAATCCAGAACCAAACCGAATTGGTAGAACGTCAAACAAGTAAATTCGAATGTCAATTAGCACCCGTAGGGGATCCCAACATGAAAGTGGAGTGGTTCCTTAATGGCAAACCGTTACCACATAGTAAGTTTTCGTTTTCTCGTGACGTTTTCGTTTGATGGACTAACCTTCTTTTTCAGAAAACCGATTTACCCCTATATACGATTTTGGTTATGTGGCTATGAATTTCGGCTGGGTATATCCGGAAGACAGCGGTGAATACCTTTGCCGCGCAACCAACTTGTACGGCATGGACGAGACCAGAGCTGTCATTCAAGTAGCTGGTAAGCCCGGAATCATTTACGACTCTCAGCTTCCGAAAGGTATGAAGAGTATCGAAAGAATCAGAGAGTTAGAAGCAGCGTGGCAAGTGTAAGTAAATTACTATCTAATTAATTCAGTAATCATTGAGATGAATCACCTGTAAAGGGTTCCCGAGGAAGCAGAGGAAGAATCCAAACCTCGCTCGGCACCAGTGTTCGTCAGCAAACCCGAAGCGGTAACCGTAGAAGAAGGGGAATGGGCGAGATTTTGTTGCAGGGTAACCGGGTTCCCCAAACCTAGAGTGATGTGGCTGATCAACGGTCACACCGTCGTTAGCGGTTCTCGTTACCGATTGACCTACGACGGAATGTACCATTTGGATATCCCAAAAACCCGTCAATATGATACGGGCAAAGTTGAAGTGGTCGCGAGAAGTTCCGTAGGCGAAGCCATAGCGGAAACGGAACTGAAAATCATTCCGAGACACGACGATTACAGAGGAGTTCTAAAGAATTCACCTAGACGTAAGTTGGTACCCATTCGAACACTGAGTTTAATTCGTGACTTACACAAACATTGTTCGAACGTAAAATTTTATTTTATATTATATATTTTATAACGTACGTAATTGTTTATGTAAGTCACTTCCGGGGTCGTACAATAATACTTTACACAATGCACAATTTTTTACAAGCAAGCCATAGCACAAACTTAAACGCTCTAACACAATTCGACACGTTCCAAACATACCCTTTTTTCCATCCACTCCGATCCCTAAGGCCATCACAGTCGTGCTTCGAGCCATTTTATCAACGGAAGTTTTTCATGCTTTCTGCAAAAAAGGAGTTTTCACACAGGTACGCATTATTTGTCGTCGTTATATGTTAGTTGTGCATGCTTATTTTTCCATTAGTTCGCTGGATTAGAATAACGAAGTCCACTTATCTAAACGTTTAAAAGAAATGCGAATAAAATCGTGCACTCGATCGGTTTTTGTCAGAGAACTATTTTTTGGATGTGCATCTTGTGTACTGTACCGCGCGCTATTGCTGTACTTTCATGACCACCCGCAGCCACTGACGTTTGTCTTTCTTTAGCGTGGTACGACCTAGAACTGGCTGAATACCAAAAAGAGCGTCACGAAACCGAACTTGAACGAGTATTCGACGAACGTAACACAACTCTGCGGGAATCGGGACTCCACGTCACGGGAGTGCACGTGCAGCCCAAAGAATTTAAAGAACCTGAAACCGAATGGCAAAGAAACGTGAAATCCAAGAGAAGCGATGAGGACTATTACAACAGGCTTCAGGAACTCGAAAACGAACAAGTAATCAAAGAGATTAAACTCCGCGAAGCTTCTCACCAGTACACCATCCCCGGAGAGAAAATTGTTAGCAGTTCTTTGACTAAAGGAATGGCACATCAGTATCAAGAAAACTTGTAAGTATTGCGCTCCTAAAACTTAGGAATTACCTGTCACTTTTCAAAACATAATTTAACTTTAGCAATACAACAAGTCTGTGCCATATAATTATTTTTCCAATACAAATTGAAGTTACGTCCAATAAGTGTCTATATAACCAAAACTGTTTTTTATTTGGAAGCCCTGTATATTATTTCATAAAAAGTCTTTTTACGCTAATCGTTACTGCGTCGCGCCAACGCTGCATCTTTTGTTTAATTATGACAGTTGTTACATAAAAAAAAATACCAAATTGAAAATAGGGCCAGCGAATATATTATATAAAAATATACACCTGTTTATTGACTAGGAATATTGTGCTATTGCATTTTCCATAATGGCATATAATTATTTTTCTATTTTTTATTTGGAAATCAATGTATATTATTTCATAGAAAGTCTTTGTATGCTAATCGTCACTTAGTTAAGTGTTTTTTCTGAAATAATTACCAACATTAATATTGCATTATCCCTAGCGTAAAAAAGTGTTTAAATTGTTTTTGGGCTCATAATTTTATTTTTATTGAAATCTCGGATTTAGTCAATTATTTCACCATTACATTTCGTATTAACATGTAACGAAAGAATTGAACTTAATGCGTTGCTGTAGACTTTTCACGTTCAGGTAATATTTATTTTGTTTTTAATCTTTTGTGATATTTTGGCGCAGTTTCAAAATTTTTAGTATTATTTTCGTAAAAATGTGTATACCTCAAAAAATACTAAATTTAGGTACGCTTAATAAAATTGAAAGAAAATTAATAGTAGTAGTTAATGGAAGTATAATGTACAGTGTGATTTGTCTAAACCTTGTATAAACAATTGGTACTAACTTCAGGACAAGTATAGGATAAATGACTGAACCACAAAATTGTTGGCATAACATTATTACAACTGTTGGGAACGGCGTCAAAAATATAGGGTATTAAATACAGGACATTTTTGACCTCACATCCGAAACATTCAGTATAGACCATAACAACTCCGCATTGGGTGATTGAGTATATTATGCCATAACACACAGGGTGTCCAATTAAAAAATACATGTTTGATTTGCCACATATTTATGATTCACTCTGTATATTTAAAAATAATTTAAAATTATTTCTTTTAAAAGTTCCCTTAAAAATAAATAATCAACAATATTATATGTATACGAAATGATTTAACCTTCTCACGCTGAAAAACAATTAATGAAAAACTCCTGTTTTTAACTACCTAAAATTAAATGGAGACTATGAATAACATACCATTGGTAAACACAGATTTTAGTTTGAATACCCCGCAACTCAAGAAAGAAATCGTCACATCAATTGTTTTTTCTTTTATTTCAGGGAACAAAAGCCTGAAATCCCACAGCTACAACCAATTCCGAGACTACCGAAAGCGGATGCTGCGAAACCGGTGCCACACAAAGATCAAGTGACCTTGAGAAAAACCGACAAGAGCAAAGAAGAAATCCAAACGGAATACGAAATAGACAGTAAACGGGGCGCTTATCCACCGGGACCTACCGAATCGGGAGTTCACGGCAGGGAAGTTTACGTCACCAAGCAGAAACAAACGCAGAAGGAGAGGCAAGGCGATCTGGAAATCACTCGCAACATAACCTCCACGGAAACTACCGACGTGGAACACAAAGCGAAGACGCAGGAAAGAGTAGTTCAGGGGCAGGTGTTGCCTACTACACCTCCGGTGTTTACTAAAAAGATCCAGCCGTGCAGAGCGTTCGAGAACGATTCGGCTAGGTTCGAGGTCGAGTTCGATGGTGAACCGCTTCCGAAAGTAACATGGTTTAGAGAAGACTTTCCCATTACAAGCTCTCCAGACTTGAAGATTTATACCTTCAGCACCAAATCTATTCTGGTTCTAAGGCAAGTGTTCATGGAGGATTCTGGAGTATTTAGTGTCATAGCGGAGAATAGAGGAGGTACGGCTAAATGTAGCGCCAATTTAGTGGTTCAAGAGAGAAGGAGACAAGGTAGAGGGGGAGTGATCCCACCAAGCTTTAATACCACAATCCAAAGCGCGTCCCCGAATGTCGGACAACTCGTGAGATTCGATGCCAGAATCAATGGCACCAAGCCTATCGACGTCTACTGGCTCAAGAACGGAAAGAAAATTACGTCCGATATACGCTACAAAACTCTCGAGGAAGACGACCTCTATACGTTGTTGATCATTGAAGTCGCACCCGAAGACACTGGAAAGTACGAATGCGTCGCTATCAATTCCGGCGGTGAAGCCAGATGCGAAGCTGACTGTACCGTCGTTGCCCCGTCGGCGCCTCAGAAACCTTCAAAACCGACAACCCCGGGTTCAGAAAAGGCCCCGACTATCGTGGAACCTTTAAAAGACCAGACCATCAGAGAAGGACAGGCCGTAGCCTTTCGATGCAAAATCACCGGCAAACCGACACCTACAGTGAAATGGATGAAAGCTGACAAAATCATAAAACCGTCGAGGTACTTCCAGATGAGCAAGGAAGGTGACTTTTGTACGTTGAGGATATCGGAGGCATTCCCCGAAGACGAAGGTGTTTACAAATGTGTTGCCGAGAATCCCGCAGGCACCGTCACTGCGCAAGCTAAATTGATAGTGTTGGCACCGGAATCGCAAGAAGTGGCTCCCTCTTTGACACCAATGAGAGACGTCGTTGTACCCGAAGGAAGCCCCGCTCAATTCAAGACTACCATTTCGGGAAAACCCAAGCCAACAATTCAGTGGTTAAGAGACGGCTTCCTTATACCCGAGTCACCAGATTTTCAGGTAATTCCAGTTTTTTATCAACACCATTGAAAAGAATTTAAAATCAACTTTCTTTAATAGTCCAAACTTTCTGACGCTTGTAGAGACATTTTCGAGCTATTGGAATATCTCAAACTTTTAGGAAATTCGAATCGCCTATTATGGCTACCTTTTAGAATTATTTTCATTATTATACAGGTTGTCCTACTAACCAAAAGCGCTAAGGTGTGAAAGTTTTGTTCTTCAAATATTTATTATAGCGTGTTTGATCTTTGGTAAAATTGAACCTAATTTTAATGTTTCATATACTCAATTAAGGCATTTTACAGTAAATATTAAAAAAATACAATGTGTAATAGACAATATTTTATACCCTAGTTATAATAACTAGTTATAAGAAATCAAGTTTTTTTGACATAACTTAAATCTTCGCACCTTATGTTCATTCTATTGTTCGAATTTTAGCATGATTTAAAACTAATTGTGAAAACGAACTAAAAGTAAAATTTGTTGAAATTCGGCTAGTAATGTCCACAAGATTCAATATTATGGTTATTTTTCACCATTTTTTAATTCATTTTCTTATTTGATTTAGAAAACTAGACGCCATTGGCATCCATAAATATTTATTTAGTGACGTTTGCTGCTAGGAATATTTCTGTTTTACCTCAAAATCCGTAAACACACTGGATTACCTCACGCTTCCCCTCACCTGAGTCCCCACAAAAACTAGAGAATGACGTCATTTGGTGACCCAGTTTCCAAAGCGCATATCAGCGCTCTCTTTTCAATTCATTTTAATCCGTATAGCTGTGTTCTGTTCTTGTTCACATAGCAGTGATTTCAATATATAATATACAGGGTTAATTTCGTAACCAGTATTTATAAAATCCAAAGTATTTACCATAATAATAAGCAACAAGTGGTCTATTTTTTGTCCACCTTATTCCTTCCGATTAAATACTAAGTTTAAGTACTAACCAAATATTTATAACGAAAAAAAGGCTGGCGTTTTTTTTAACTCTAAATACACGTACAAGTCTTGTTTAACTAAAACAAACATTCTATATATAACAATTTTATTTGAAAAATAATAGAACAATGGACGTACAAGATTCTCAAATTTTATTACTAAAATACATCCATGGTTAATGCATTTGAAAGGTCCTCCTGTGCTCGAAACAATAGCTTCCTTTTTATCAATAGGAGTGTCTTTGCTAGAATTTGCTTTAACGAAGTTTCTATTTTATGAAGTTTATCGTCTTGATACTCCATGTCCACACTATTTTACATACAATAAAATATGAGTTTACTACCAAACTACAGGTAGTTTATTACAATAATAAATATAATGGTAACTATAAATGACTATAAATATAGTTCTGGGCAGACAATTGAGATATTATTTATTCTAAGATCAAGTCAATAAAAACTTGTGTAAAAGTAAGAATAATATGAAAATCGACAAATTTTAAAATATATTGTTATTTAAAAAAGTCCACGATACTAATTGCTGGAATTTGTAATCTTTTACGTTTTCCAGTCGATCATCCTTACATTATAGGCTTGCCTCGAGCTTTTTAAATGTATATCCTGCCATGTTTTGTCACAATTATATATTTTTCAATTGCCCAAGTTTTCGTTAAAGGTAATTCTTGTTCTCCACAATTTCTTTTTACCCAAGAGTGGAATGAAATTATCCTTCTTCATTTCAGACATCATTTCCAGACATTATACCTATCCGTCTACATTTTAAACTCCATATCTTGACCATCATCATAGGTACTATGAAATTAATTTATACGCCTATGGAATCTAAGACCACTACATTTTACAATTCCATAATTTATAACCTCTCGCATCAACAAATCGAGCTTAAATAATCAAATAATCTAATCAAATAAAAAAAAACTGAAACAAATGGACGGGTTCTATCACCCGGTACAGCATGAATAAGACTGGATAATCATAATAATATTCTGTCGATTTATTTTTGGCTTTCATATCGCCTACCGCTGTTTGGGAGTCTGGGTAATTCAAACATCTGCTGGTGATGTTTAAATTGGTCGCATTTTTTATTACATCGTATCTACCAAAATAACTAAAACCGAGCAAGGTAAATCGACACCTATTTTGAAAAGAAAAACTACATGGGCCGTGTTTTATGCCACGTGTTCTTGTTTCAGATGATCCAAGAAGGGAACAACGCCATCTTGTTGATATCCACCACATACGAAGAAGATTCGGGCTTGTTCACCTGCAGGGCCACGTCTTCGGCTGGTCAAGTAGAACAGTCCGCCAAACTAATCGTCAAAAGTAAGAAATAAATTCTGCAGTTTTCTTGTAAACAAAAAATCGAAGGGGTGCCGTTTTTGCGATGCCCGAAATATTTTTGATATCGATTTTTGACCGATTCACGCGCATTTTTATTGTAGATTCGTAGTTACCACACAGCTTCGTCGCTGTCTTAACCACTATTTTTTTTCTCGGTCGAAAAACGGCACCTCGATAAATTGCTGAAGTGTTTTTGGTGGCGGAAAAATTTTGTAAAGACAAATTGTTTGGGTTCCAAGTGGTTTAATTTTAGGATTGAACGAGAAGCTTTTGGCACTAAACAAATGCTAAACAGCTAGTTGTTTATTTAATTTTATGTCTATAGAACTGTATGTTGAATATTGATGCAAAATTTGTTTAATAAATCGCTATTGTTAAAAAACTACTGCGTTTATCGTGTCACATACCTAAGAACTCGAAGTTTTTGACATAAATATTACTATGCAGAGTTCAAATGCGCTTCAATTAGGCGGCTCCGTTTCACAGAGAACGTTATTGTGTTTAAAAATAAAAATTGAGTCACATAAAAAAATGACAAGATCCATTTGTTATTCATCTTAAAAAAACGCGCTTGTTCAGTAATTTGGTTTTGGCAAAGGTTGACTTGGCGAGCGACAAAGTATTTGTTTCTTGAAATTGCGCCCGGATAATTTCTAAGCATTAATACGTCGATACAATCGTTTCGTTTTAATCCATCAACAGCTTTTTAACGTGAATATTTAAATTAACATACGTTGAAATCTCGTAATAATCCGTAACAACGACTTTTTACCCCTGGATCCCTGAAAAAATCTTAATAGTTGCGGTCTGTAAATTAAAGCAAAACTTTTACATTTTTTGATTTAATTTTATTAAAGATTTTCCAAATAAAATTGTGTAGAAACATTTTTCAAATACTTTTGAGTTATTCTTTTTAATAGTGCATAATTTCATCAATTAATTCATCACTAAACTTTGTACAATATACACAGTGTTTCGATATAAGATGCTTAGGGGCCTGAATCCTGATCTTAAAACTAATTTCATATTAACTTTTGCAGAACAAATTAAATTAACTTTGTAAACATTTCCAAGAAATCTGGCATACTACAGCTACTTTTTAATATAGAAGATTTTTTCATTTTTTTAATCATGGACATCTGTACAGAATGTAGACTAGAATTTTTTTGCAAAAAAATGTATACTTCCCTGCTTTTCCGGAAGATAAATATTATGCTAAGTTCTAATTCATTTTAGGTCAAATTTGAGTTTTTGACTTTTTGTCGGTCCGATTTCCAATGAAAATACGAGTTCTTAAACGTAAAGGAATCAAAATTATTTTTATTTATGTCATAATGAGTTAAGATGTTTATTTGAGATTTTCTCATAAAATCAGCTGAAAATTCACCTATTTTTTAGTTCGCCCAATAAAGAAAGGAAATAAGGAAATTTTCTGCATTTGATTTGTGTTCTTTAATTTCAAAGCTAAGCCTAAATAAATATATTCTTCAAATTAAAATTAAAAGGAGCAAGAGATGAGTATAAGGAAACTTTGACAACATGGGTTCAAAGTTTTAGTAAAATTGGAAAATAAGGCTGTACAGTGATATTTAAAAAACCTTATAAAATGGTATTTCTATAACCACAAGATCTCACTTCGTATACACTCTATACACGTTTCATCCAAACCCTAGTGCCAGGTCAGTTTTCTGCGAAACAATTGCTAAAAATGGCGGCAATCAATTTTCAATTCGTCTCTAAAAATGTGGCAATACCAGATGGTTCACCATTCACTTTGAATCAATCTTTCTTTTCAAATGAATCAGCCTTATCGAAAATTTACCATGTTAATGACAATTATGTGTAACATAAGCGTTTCCTAAAAATAAAAAAAATGAAACCGACTACCGGCATGATTTGTACGCGATGAACCGTTGACCCAATTCGCGAAAACACATTTATCGAAAAACGCGAGTCGAAGCGTTGAGTCAGATCGCGAAAATATGTGGCACGATTCCACCTGGTGCAATTATCTCAGGTGAACGGCGTTGCCAAAAGATAGACAGATAAACAAAAGGTTTATTATTGAAAATGGAAGCGTCGTCGTACGCGGAACGGTTTTCCGAAGGAGATCGGGCCGTGTGCAACGCAACTATTTTAAACTTTGCGTGTACAGATTACGTTTCGTGCTAAATTTGGAGACCTCTCGCAGCGTACGTTTTCCCGAAGCCGTGCACATAGACGGACACGGGCTCCGCGCACCTTTCCACCTCAAAACTTTTACTCGCAGGTGTCGAGAAATAAAACAAGCGCCGAAAAATGTCAAAAGCGACAGTTTATTTATACGCAAAGAGGGAGACGATTTTTCTTAGCCGCCGAATTCGTTTTGTTTTACTATAGAAACTAGACCGAATACTACGGTTGGATATCGTCCAAATGCTAGTTTAGTCACCACGATGAGACATTTGTTTACGGCAATTTGTCAGCTATCAGTCGCCGTTTTATAATGTTAAAAACTACGTGGAACCTTAAACAATTTTTTCTTACAAAAGACAGGTCTTCCCGGTTCGCGTAGCGCCGCACGAAATGGAACGGCTTCGAAATAAAACCGTTAAATTTCATGCGGCACGCGTTACAAATTACGAGTAAACTTAATCTAACACTTCGACGCCGCACGGTTCAACTCAACACTAAACAAACACCAACTGCGAACTTACACCCAGCACTGCGCTCGTAGAAATGTTTTCTGTCGATGCGGGACATCACAGGAACGTTAAGACATAAAACGGGGCTCGTGTTCACTCACCTTCGGGAGTCTGTGTCGCCCGTGAGTCAACGGTTTTCGAAATAGACGATTCGGCGTAAAGTCGCCGACGGAATTGAAGCAATTATGAAAAACGGGTACAGAAATAGAACAAACAGTACATTTCGCTCCGTTTTCGAACGGAGTGGGGGGCAATCCGCGGGATAGGGGGAATTCTTGTGAACGTGCGTGTGGCCGATAGTATTAACTTTTTGTTTAGGCTCACGCGGAGTTCGTCGATTTCAAATGTTTACGCGATCCTAGCTTCGTATCCATCGTCGAGTTCGATTTTAACAGATTTAAAAAAAAACACCGACGTGTTTATTTCCCACTTAGCGGACAATATTAGAGAACGTACTTCTTCCAAGAAAATTAAACCATGTGATATCGCTAGAAAAAAAATGGATCACAAACAGATTAATATTAAAAATAAATTATATATAAATTACATATAAAAAAACTGCCTAAACACATTATCATATATTAAGAGGGATAGAAATAATAATAGTGGTTTGTGGAAAAGTGTACAAAGAAGTAATTCTCGATAAAGCTAATACAAATACAAAGCACGGATGGCACGACAAAAAGATGATTACTTCAGCAGCATCAGTCAAGAACTAGCCATGTTATAAATAAAAGAACATCATATAACATTTGCAAAAGAATACCGGACGCACAGTACTGAATCTAAAATCCAAAAAATCTGGACTTGACGTTATATGATCGGAAACACTCCAAAAGATTCGAAACTTCTAACTCATATCAATTTTAAAAAAGGCTAAATCTGGCAACAAAAAAACCCTACAAATTTTGTTGAAAAAAAATTTTTTGAAAAAATTATAAAAAACAGGATTGGCTATCTTGAAAAATTTAAATCGTTACACCACCATTAATTTGGGTTCCAGAACGGTAAATCCACCCAAGATGCCATTACTACACTGGCAGAAAAAAGATAAATCGTTAGACAGAAATCTTAAATCACTCAATCACAGAAAGCATTCGATAGCGTAAATCACAAGAAGTTGATTGACATTTTGGGGGGCATACGATTTTGGGAAGTAGTCTTAAAATTAAGGTCCAGTTATTCAGGATACTGTACTTAGTTGTGAAAGAAAGGTTGAATATGGAGTTCCGCAGGGAACTGTATGGGGTCCAATTCCCTTCTTTTTAAATATGTTTTGCATAAATTCAAATTGGAATATTTTGAGTTTTGCAGATTTTCTATACTGATGCATTATGGGTTGTGCTCAAAAACAACGTCGAAAACTACTTAAAATTTGTATATAATTACTTTTCCTATAACGAGCTAACTTTAAACTTTTCAAAAACTGTTTTCCTTCCATTTTCCTGTGATTCGCGTACTTTGTCAAATTTCACAAAACTTCGAATCGAGACTAAACTAGCACATAATTACACAGCGATCTAGCGTGCGGGAAGCGTCACTTTACCACGTCAGTTTTATTTCCCACGGATCCGAGCCACTTCGCACATTTCTGACTGCCAGGGCAGTGAATGTATTCGTGTTGTTTTGCGAGAATGTACCCAACAACCAACGGTCGTAGAAAAAGTATAGTATGCAATACGTTCGGTAAACTTTTTAAGTCACTCGTTTATTAATCAATGTCAAATAAACTCGTGAGTCAAATGCCGTTTACCGCACTTGTTGCATAATATACTATTTCTCTAGAGCAAAACAATTGAAATATTACCAAGAAGCATTACGGCTGTATTTTGTTTCTAAATGTATACTATATGTCATATATCGGACAGTTTATATTAAATATTACGTTAAATTTTTGTTCACGAGTTCACCTGTTCTTAGCCATATTTAGAAAGGTCTATTTTTTTTGACAACTTTTAAAATTAAACCTAAAAATCTGTCTTACTTCAAATGCATGACCATTGTTAGTATCGGCAACATTTCCAACTATATCCAAGTATCTACAGATCTTATCATTGTACTAATTGGTATAATAAAATACGAACTAATATGTCGCCTTTGACAAGACGTTACTCTGTCGAACAAGCGGATAGTTTAGCAGAAATTTGACTATTTAATGATGACGCATCCAACCGATCGGCAACCATTGCATCTCGACCTTCAGGTAGTTCACAACCACCTAGTCTGACGTGGTTAACGGCTTATCAATGACTGACCTGTAAGGCGAATAGAAATTAATTATAAAGAGCAGCATCTCTGAAAACCACCAAAAACATTTTACACGAGCGTTAATTTTATAACATGTTATTTACAGGTTTTTGAAACAGGTAGGTTTTTATTTTTTATTCGTAACGACTTTATAGGACGTCCTGGAACGTACAGAAAATCTTCTTCCACCGAAATCCCCCAGCAGGATGAATCTAGCGCAGCGTACAAACCGTTCGCGTCTGATTCGGGTTCAGCGGTAATGGGCAAAACCGCAAAAAAATTAGTACCGGGTTCGAAAGGAGGTGGTCAACAACCCTCCGACGCGTTGGAGTTACCGATAGGTGACGAAACGGTACCGTGGCGTCAAAAACGTGTACCAAAACTACCAGTGGAGGAACTACTTAAACCGTTACAGGCTCAACCGTGGACACAGGAACAGGTAAAACTGAAAAAGACCAAAGTCGAGAAGAAAGAGACGGTGCAAGAGAAAATAGAAGAGGTAACACTTAAACCCACTAAACCCACAAAAAAGGAAACACCAAAAGAGTCGTTTGAAAAGGTCGACCTCAAACTGACCAGCTTAAAAACTCAAATGCAAAACTTGGAAAGACAAGAATTAGAAAATATCGAATCACAAACCGTTGAGCGGTTGTCTCAAGTGGAAGATAAGATTTTGCTTTCTGTGGATCAATCGGAAAGAGAGAAAACGAAAAGAACTGCGGAAGCTCCACAGGCAAAAGACTGGCGACAACCAAAACCGAAAACGGCTGCTCAACTGCATACGGAAGACACCACTTTAATTTCAGTTAAAGAAACAGAACAAGAAGAAGTTGCGAGAACTAGTGAGACTAAAGGATGGAGAAAACCAAAACCGAAAACGGCTGCTCAACTACATACGGAAGATACTACTTTAATTTCAGTTAAACAAACAGAACAAGAACAAATTGCGAGAACTAGCGACGAGACTAAAGGCTGGAGAAAACCAAAACCAAAATCGGCTGCTGAACTACATACGGAAGACACTACTTTAATGTCGGTTAAAGAAGCAGAACAAAAACAAGTTGCGAAAACTAGTGACGAGACTAAAGGCTGGAGAAAACCAAAACCGAAAACGGCTGCTCAACTACATATGGAAGACACCACTTTAATTTCAGTTAAAGAAACAGAACAAGAACAAGTTGCGAGAAATAGTGACGAGACTAAAGGCTGGAGAAAACCAAAACCGAAAACGGCTGCTCAACTACATACGGAAGACACCACTTTAATTTCAGTTAAAGAAACAGAACAAGAACATGTTGCGAAAACTAATGAAGCGGCTAAAGACTGGCGTAAACCGCGATCACCTCAAAAACCGGATGAAAAAGACCAGTCCAGGGACACGTCTCAAACACCAACGCCATGGACGCAAGAAAAAATTAATCTTAGAAAAGTATCCATCGATAGGAGAGAAATTCCCAAAGAAAAAACAGAAAGTGAAAAGGATGAAGTAACGTTGGTAACTACAGATGAGAAGAAAATACAACCTACCAATCAAAGGCCGAACACAGAAGAGGCCAAAGAGAATGCGAGTGTTCCCAAGCAAATTCCCAAAAAGGAAGAACCCGTGCCCTGGAACCGTCAAGAAATCAATTTGAAGAAAACTTTAATTCAGAAAAAAGAAATTCCTAAGGAGAGTGTTGAACAAGTTGCCCTAAATCCGCTGGAAAAGGAAACTCCTGTCGCCGATGTACAAAAACTAAAACCGCGGGATAAAATAACCAAAATCGAAGATAAAACGGAAATTGCGGAAAAACCATCGACCAAAGTAGCATATCAAGAAGTCAAAGATAAATCTATAATAGATGCTAGTGAAAAAGAAGCAGTAACAACAAAGATACCAAAACCCAAACCGGAAGAAACCAAACTCGAAAGTAAACCTTGGCGAAGAATGAAGAAACAAGGGGTACCTGAATCTACATCAGAAGAAGTACAGCCAAAACAAATTCCGCCCAAGCAGGAGTCAAAGCCGTGGATAGAAGAACAAATTGCATTGAAAACAACGCCGGAACAAGAAAAAAAATTACCAAAAGAAGAGGAGGTACTTGAAGAACAACCGCTGAAGGCAATTCCTAGTCAACTGATTGAAGATAAAACTGGAGAACAACAAAATATTGTAGAACATACAAAACTGGAACCCAAATCATGGAGGAAGATTAGACAACCCAAAGAGGAAATTTCATCTCCAAAACTCGAACATACTGCTGACCAACTAAACCAAAACAAACAAAAAGATGAACCTAAACCCTGGATAGAACAAACAGTTACTCTTAAACCAACTAGAAGAAAGGAAAAGGAAGTTCTTCGTGAGAAACTGGAAGATGTTGTTTTGAAGCCCGTCCATCCCAAATCCGCTGAAACCGATGTTATAACTGAATTACCTGAAGAAATACAGTATTCATTTGTGACAGAAGATGGCATAGTTAAAAAGAAGACCATTAATAAAAAGACTTTCGTGAAAAGGCACGGAGATAAAGAGGAAACTACCAGAATTGTCACGTTTTCTGAAGAAGGTCAACAACCACAAAGCACCGTCGTTGTTGAAGAAGAAAAGATACCTGTGGATTTAGTTGACGAACCTATTTATGCTGTATACGAACAGCCTGAGGAAGTTTTAGTAACAACAGTTGTCGATCGAGCGGTTCCGATAAAAGAAACCCAGAGAAGAAAAACCATTGTAACTCATAAAGGTAATGTTAAAGAAGTTACCGAGATTATATCCAAACAACGCGAAGGAACTAAACCTTTGACTACAGTAAATATTCGCGAAGAACCTCTACAAAAAGAAGAGCTCCCACAAGCAGAGTCCAAATTAGAAGAAATGCCAGTGATAATTCAAGAAACGGTGCTCACTGATCGGGGAAGTACTAAAAAACAAACCATAAAGAAACGTACACTTAAAAAGGTTAAAGATGGGAAGGAAGAATTAACACAACTTGTGACTGTACAAGAGGATGACCGTAAGCCTGAAATAACGGCTATTATAGAGGAACACACGATTTCACAAGAAGCCGCAGGAGATGAGCTCGATTACCAAGTAAAGGAGCTACCTTTAGAAATACAGAAGACGAGCGTAATCGAAGATGGTGTAATGAAAGAAAAGGTTGTTGAAAAACGCGTTATTCAAAAAAGAAAAGGCAGTAAACAAGAAACCTTCGAAATTTGCACGGTACAGGAAGCTGGTAAAGAACCTCAAAGTGTTGTCAATGTAACCCAAGAAGACGTTGAGCTAAGAAGGAAACCAAAGCGGATACCCGAGAAAAAGGAAGAAAATATTCCTTGGACCGAACAGGTAAAACTTAAGAGTAAGCCGATGAAAGTTAAAGAAACTTCGAAAGTTTCGATTCAGGAACTTCCAGAAGAGATCCAAAAGACTACGATTAAAGACAAAAACGAAATTAAGGAAATAGTCAAACGGAAACGTGTAATTAAGACAAGGAAGGGATCGAAGGAAGAAACTGCGCAAATTTTTACAGTTGAAGAAACAGGAAAATCACCTGAAACGAGCATTCTAATAGAACAGCATGAATTGCCGATTGATGCAATTGCCCAACCAATATACTCCGTGGAAGAACTACCAGAGGAAGTTTCACAGACAGTAGTGCAAGTGCAAGGACGACCTACCAAAAAGATGGAAAGAAAGCGTGTGATTAAAACCATTAAAGACGGTAAACAAGAAATTACGGAAATAGTTACGACTCAGGAAGAAGGAAACGTACCCCAAACTTCTGTAACTGTTCGAGAAGTTCCCGAAGCGATACAAGAAGAAAAGCAACCCACATATGTAGTAGAAGAACTACCGGTACAAATTCAAGAGACTGTTGTTTTCGATCGCGGAGTACCTAAAAAGCGAACCGAAAAGAAACGTACTTTAAAGAAAAAAATAGATGGAAAAGTGGAAACGACCGAAATTTCGTTTATTGAGGAAGCAGGAAAAGTCTCTGAAACAGCAGTTCAGATCAGAGAAGAACCGGCTACTGAAGAAATATTTGAACAGCCCGTACTAGAAGAACTGCCGGAAGAAATTCAAGAAGTTAAGTTCGTGGAAGGAGGAATAGAAAAGAAAAAGGTTATCAAGAAACGCGTTCTTAAAAACCGAAAAGGTTCAAAAGAAGAGACGATTGAGATTGTAAGCTCCGAAACCGAAGGGAAGAAACCGGAAGGAACAGTTAAAATTACAGAGGAGGACGTCCCCCAAAAGAAACCCAAGAAAAAACTTGTGGAACCGGAAAAACCAACTTCGTGGCTGGAGCAGGTTCAACTAAAACGCGCACCTAAGCGAAGTAAAGAAGTAGTAGCCGAACCGCTTGAGGAAGTGCACTTAAAACCGCTAAATAAAGCGGAAGTTATTGAAGAACTTCCGGAGACAATTAAAGAAACTCTTATAATGGAGAACGGTAAAACCAAAAAATTGGTAACCAAAGAAAAAGTGCTTAAAAAGAGAAAAGGCGACAAAATGGAAACTACTCAAATTTTGACAATACAAGAGGAAGGCAAACCTCCGCAAACTACGGTTACGACAGAAGAAGTTTCAGAAAGTATTACTGCACCGATTTACCTAGTGGAAGAACTTCCGGAGAAAATATTTGAAACTGTTGTTGTTGACCATGGTGTAGAGAGAAAAAAGGTTGAAAAGAAACGAAGCATTAGGACGAGAAAAGGCTCAAGTCAACAAGTAACGGAAATTGTGACGATAGAAAAGGAGGGTAGTCAACCTGAAACAGTGGTCAATATTATTGAAACTGATATTCCAGACGAGAAACTTTTAGAACAACCCTTATACACTGTTGAAGAACTACCTGTTGAAATTAAAGAAACTGTAATTATTGAGCAAGGAGTTCCGAAAAAGAGAGTTGAAAGTAAACGAACAATTAAAAAGAAGAAAGACGGAAAGGAAGAAGTTACCCAAATTACTACGGTTGAGGAAGAGGGTAAAAAGCCGCAGACCACAGTGGTAACAGAAGAAAAAGTAGTCCCTGATGAAATTCCAAAAATCGTCTCGCTCCAGGAACTCCCTGAGCAAGTGGAAGAAAGCAGAATAGTAGAAAGTGGAGTCGAAAAGAAAATTGTGAAGAAAAAGCGACTAATCAAGAAGAGGCAAGGCTCAAAGGAACTCACCACTGAAATTGTTACTATCGAACAGGAAGGCAAACAACCAGAAACAACATTAACTGAAAAGTTTGACACTATTCCTGTTAAGCCTAGATTAAGCATAGTAGAATTGCCAGAGGAAATACAAGAAGTAGTGATTAAAGACAAAGATAAAACGCGAAAACAAATTATAAAAAAGAGAACATTAAAAAGACGAAAAGATGGAAAAGAAGAAACTACTAACATACTTATAACAGAAGAGGAAGGCAAATCTCCTGAAACCGTGGTAATAGTGGAAGAAGAGGTAATCCCAGACGAAGTGCAGAAGAAACCCATTTACGCCGTGGTCGAACTCCCAGAACAAATTTTAGAAACTACAGTCTTAGAAAAAGGAGAACGGAAGAAAAAAGTTCAAAAAATACGCAAAATAAAAACTAAAAAGGGAAACAAGGAAGAAATCGCTGAAATCTTTACCACGCAGATAGAAGGCAAGTCACCGGAGACAACAATCTCCATAAAGGAAGTCGATGTGCTTCCTGAAGAAATTCCTGAAGACGAAGTTGAGTACATAGTAGAAGAGATGCCCACGCAGATTCAAGAAATGACTGTCGTCGAAGCAGGGAAACCTAGAAAGGTAGTAGAGAAAAAGCGAACTCTCGTAAAAAGGAAAGACGACAAAGAAGTTATAACTGAGCTTATAACTGTAGAAGAAGAAGGCAAGTCACCGCAGACTTCAGTTATCGTTCATAGTGAAACGTCCTCTAAAGAACAACTCGTTCAGCAGCCGACCATTGAAGAGTTACCAGAGGATATACGAGAGACTTCTGTAATAGAAGAGGGAGAAATAAAAAAGAGAATCACTAGGAAGAGAGTAATTAAAAAGAAAAAAGACGATAAAGATGAAACTATAGAAATTGTTACGGTTCAAGAAGAGGGTAAAGCGCCACAAACAACAGTCTCTGTTACAGAAGCTAAACAAAAGTCTCAGACCAAAGTATTGGAGCAAAAGGACCAGACAGGGGAACAAGTGAAGCTTAAGCATGTTGGTAGAAAGAAGGGCACTACGCAAGATTTTACTGAAGAAGTAAATCTCAAACCCATCGCACGTGTTGCTCCAAAACTGACCGAGGAAAAAGTCCACATTCAAGAGTTGCCGGAAGAAATTAAATCCACAGTTGTTGTTGATAAAGGGGTGGTTAAGGCCAAAACTGTGAAGAAGAGAACTATTAAAAAACGCAGTGGTGACAAGGAAGAAACTACTCAACTTATAACAACAGAGGAGGAAGGAAAACCCTCGGAAACAACTATAATAGTGGAGAAAAGTAATTTCCCAACAGAATTATTATCTCAACCTATATATAGCGTTGAAGAATTACCAGAACAGATTTACGAGACTACTGTAATCGATGAAGGTACTCCTAAAAAGAAAACGCTCAAAAAAAGAACACTAAAAACGAGAAAAGGCGACAGAGAAGAAATAACACAAATTGTCACTTCAGAAGTCGAAGGAAAACCATTGGAAACCATCGTATCGGTTAAGGAACAAGTACCTACAGAACAACCGAGCGAATCAGAATATACTGTGGTAGAATTACCCACTGAAATTCAAGAAACGGTAATACTTGATAAAGATTTACCCATTAAAAAATTGCAAAAGAAACGTACCATTAAAACACAACAAAAAGACGGTAAAGGTAAAACTACGGAAATAATTACTTTTGAAGAGGAAGGTAAAAAACCTGTAACAACAGTAAACGTGTATGAAGAAGAATTATCAGAAGATATTTTACAGCAACCGGATATCATGGAACTGCCGGAGGAAGTGCAAGAGACAGTAGTTGAAGGGCCGATTCCGAAAAGGAAAGTAATAAAGAGAAAAGGCTTCAAATCTAAGACAGCCGGAAAAGAACAAATAACTGAAATAACTGTTCAGGAAGAGGACGGTAAGCAACCGGAAACAACTATTAAAGTAACGGAACAAGTGGTGGAAGAACGGAAACCCAAATCAAAGAAAATTATATCTGAAAAGAAAAAGGAAATTCCTTGGACAGAACAGGTTAAACTAAAACACCGCCCTAAAGCAAATAAGGAGGAACTTGAAATTGTAGAACTCCCAGAGTTAATCCAAGAGACTACACTATTAGAAAATGGAGAAGTTAAAAAGAAGTTAATTAAAAAGAGGGTGATTAAAAAGCGCAAGGGCAGCAAGGAGGAAACCACCCAAATTACAACCGTGGAAGAGGAGGGTAAAACACCCGAGACAATAGTTTCTATTGAAGAAAAAGAAATTCCAGAAGAAACGCCAGCACAACCGATATATACAGTTGAAGAACTCCCTGAACAACTTTATGAAGAAACAATTATTGAAGATGGAGTACCTAAAAAGAAAGTTTCTAAGACTAGGACGATTAAGACGAGGAATGCAGAAAAGCGTGAAATTACTCAAATAATTACTACCCAGCAAGAAGGTAAAAAACCTGAAACCGAAATTGTTATACATGAAGAAGTACAACCTGAAGAACTTCCATTAGGCCCAGGGCACCCTGTCAAGGAACTACCTTTAGAAGTACTGGAAACTATCGTTATTGAGGAAGGAATTCCTAAGCGAAAAATACAAAAGAAGAGAACCCTGAAAATTCCAAAAGGTGACAAAGAAGAAGTTTTGAAAATAGTTACTCTAGAAGAGGAAGGACAAAAACCGCAAACTTCAATTTCCACTCATGAACAACCGACACAAGAAGATTCCGAAGCTCCAATACACATTTCTGAAGAAATTCCTGAAGAAGTTAGGGAAAATATCATTGAAAATAACGTTACTAAAAATGTGAAAACTAAAAAGAAACTGATTAAAAAAGTAAAAGGTGGCAAAGAAGAAGTCACAGAAATTAGTACGATTGAAAAAGAAGGAGAGAAACCTATCACCAAAGTTACTGTAGAAGAAAGAAAAATTCCACAGGAAATAATATCCACATCCAGACCCGAAAATGAAAAGGTATACAGAGTAGAAGAACTTCCTCTAGAAGTAAAAGAAACCACAATAGTCGATAGAGGAATAGTTAAAAAGAAAATAGAAAAAAGGAGAACAATTAAAAAACGTAAAGGAAGCAAAGAGGAAACAACATATATAGTAGTCACCGAAGAGGAAGGAAAGAAACCCGAAACAACTGTAACGATAGAAGAAAAACCCACAACAGAAACCGAAGAAAACATTTATGTTGTACAGGAAATGCCAGAGCAAATATCGGAAGCCACTGTTATTGAAAAAGGAATACCCAAAAAGAGAATAACTAAAAAACGAAAAATTATTAAAAAGGATGGAGACAAAAAAGAAACTACTGAAATTGTGACAGTGGAACAAGAAGGTAAATTGCCAACCACTACCGTTACGGTCACGCAAGGAATTAGTGAAACTGAAATAACTGAACCGGTCTATACCTTAGAAGAAATGCCGACAATTGTTCAAGAAACGGTCGTAATAAGTGATAGAGGCCCTAAGAAAAGAACAGTAAAAACAAAAACATTAAAAAGAAAGAACGGACGTAATGAAGAAACAACCAAGATTGTTACTGTAGAAGAGGAGGGTAGGAAACCAGAAACAACTGTTACTGTATTTATTGATGATCAAGAGAGCCCTACTGAAAAGACCACGATGGAGGAACTTCCGGAAGAAATTCAAGAAACCACATTCACCGATAATGGCATAACAAAACAGAGCAAAACTAAGAAAAGAGTTATCAAGAAGAGAGACGGTAAAAAAGAAGAAACCACAGAAATAGTGACAATCGAAGAACCCGGCAAAAGACCAGAAATCCACGTTACTGTGGAATCTAAAGACGTTGAGAAGCCAGTAGGGTTAATGCCTTGGACAGATGAAAAGATAAAACTTAAGCCTGTAAAGAAATCTACTAAAGAAATAAGAACTAAGAAATTGGAAGAAATGCAGCTAAAACCGTTGGAAAGATCTGAACAACCCTCTTTTAAGGTGGAAGAACTGCCATTGGAAATAAAAGAAACCACAATCGTAGACGGTGATGCTGTCAAAAAGAGAATCGAAAAGAAACGCGTAATTAAAAAGCGCAGGGGCGATAAAGAAGAAACTACGCGAATACTAATAGTAGAAGAAGAAGGGAAAGGTCCTGAAACTTTCGTCACAATTGAAGAAGCGCCAATTATGGATGAACGTAGACCATGTTATATAGTCCAAGAATTACCAGAGGAAATAACTGAAACCGAAATTCTAGAAAGGGGGGTCCCGAAGAAAAAATTAACTAAAAAAAGAAAAATTGTTAAGAATGATGGCGAAAAAAGAGAAGTTACCGAAATTACAACGATTGAAAAAGAGGGCGAAAAGCCAGTAACTGTAGTTGAGATTAAGGAAGAAAGAGCTCCGAAAGAAATTGTTGAAGTTGTTCAACCTGAATATACAATACAAGAATTACCAATAAAAGTAGAGGAAACCATTGTCTTCGAGCACGGCGTCCCTAGGAAGAAAACAATAAAAAAGAAGACGTTAAAAAAACAAAAAGGAGATCGTGAGGAAACAACAGAAATTATCACGGTACAGGAAGAAGGCAAAAGACCGGAAACAACTGTTAGCGTTGTCGAAAAAGAAATACCCGAAGAAGTTACAATCGTACCGGTAGTTGAAGAATTGCCGGAGGAAATTGAAGAGTCGTTAATCACAGAACAAGGAACTACGCGAAGAAAAATTGTCAAACGAAGAAAAATCAAGAAACAACAAGGGGATAAAGAAGAAACAACGCAAATTGTTACAGTTGAAGAACAAGGCAAACAACCTCAATTATTTGTTTCCGTAGAAACAAAAGATGCAAATGTACCCGAACAAACCCAACCCACAGAGGAAGAACCTACATTCAAAGTTGACGAACTGCCTGTAGAAATAAAAGAAACTACTACAATAGATAAAGGGATGGTTAAAAAATCAATCGAGAAGAAACGAACAATTAAGAAGCAGAAAGGACACAAGGTAGAAACCACAAAAATAGTTACAAGAGAGGAAGAAGGGAAAACTCCAGAGACAGTGGTCACTGTGGAAGAGGAGAGAATACCAGAGCTAGCAGAATCTGTTTATATTGTACAGGAACTACCTGAAAACATAGTAGAATCCACAGTTTTTGAAGGCGGAAAGGAAAAGAAACAAATATCCAAAAAGAGAACGATAATTAAACGAGAAGGCGACAAGAAAGAAACAACCGAAATTATAACTGTAAAGAAAGGTGACGAAAAGCCGATAACTACCATAACAGTTAAGAAAGAAACATCTTCTTCGGATATGGAATTAATTGAACCTCAATATAAAATACAGGAGTTACCCGTTATTGTACAAGAAACAGTTATCATAGATAATGGGGTACCGAAGAAGAAGACAATTAAGCGAAAAAGTCTTAAGAAAAAGAAAGGCAATGTGGAAGAAGTAACGGAAATTGTGACAGTGGAAGAGGACGGTAAAAAGCCTGATACGACAGTCACGGTAACGGAGACAGAATTATCTGACCAGGAACCCACTACAACCGCAGAATTTCCCGAAGAAATTCAGGAATCAACCATTGTCGAAAAAGGCATTGAAAAGCGTCAAATAGTTAAGAAACGGAAAATTTTAAAGAAAGAAGGGGGAAAAGAAGAAACTACGGAAATAGTTACCATTGAGCAACAAGATAGACAACCTGAAATTCAAGTAAGGACCGAAATTAAAGAATTAAAAACTCCAATTGAAGCAATACCTTGGACGCAAGAACAGATACTTCTTAAACCAGTTAAAGTAAAGAAAGAGAAATTAAAAGAACAAAAACCAGAAGAAATAAAACTCAAACCGTACGACAAAGGAGAAGAAGAAAATATTTATAAATTAGATGAGCTCCCAGTAGAAGTTAAAGAAACGACTATAATTGATCAAGGAGTTGTTACAAAGAAAGTTCAGAAAAAACGAACAATTAAGAAACAGAAAGGCGATAAACAGGAAATTACACAAATAGTAACAGTCGAAGAAGAGGGTAAACATCCAGAAACATTTGTAACAGTGGAGGAAGAAACGATCGGTCCACAATCGGGGCCCACTTACATCGTCGAAGAACTACCGGAACAAGTAACGGAAACAACAGTTTTTGATAAAGGAGTACCAAAAAGGAAAATTACTAAAAAGAGAAAAATTCTTAAAAGAGACGGCGACAAAAAGGAGACCACCGAAATTACAACGGTTGAAAAGGAAGGTGAAATGCCAGTCACCACAGTCGATGTAAGAAACGAAACTACTGCTGACGATGAAATACAAGAACCGGAGTTTATCATAGAAGAGATGCCTGTCACTATTCGAGAAACGGTAGTAATTGATCAGGGCATACCGAAAAAAGAAACTGTTAAAAAGAAGATATTAAAGAAGAAAAAAGCCGGGAAAGAAGAAATAACCGAAATAGTTACTATTGAAGAACAAGGAAAACAGCCTCTGACAACAGTTAGAGTTTATGAAAATGATCAGCCCAAAGAAGAGTTGTTTAAACCTGTGGTGGAGGAATTGCCAGAAGAGATTGAAGAATCGACGATTACTGATAGGGGAGTTACAAAACGACGCGTAGTTAAGAAAAGGACAATCAAACGAAAAGAAGGAGATAAAGAAGACCTTACCCAAATAGTTACCGTACAAGATGAAGGAAAACAACCTGAGAGTCAAGTAATCACACAAATAAAAGAAGTTCCGCGGACCGAAGAAAAAACCAAAAAAGCAAAGAAAACTAAGAAAGAGAAAAGAGACGAAGATATATTAGATTCTGATGAAACTAAGGAAACAATTTACAAAGTAGAAGAGCTACCGATCGAAATTAAAGAGACAACGGTCATTGACCAAGGGGTGGTTAAGAAAAAAATCCAAAAGAAAAGAACAATTAAAAAACAAAAAGGAGACAAACAGGAAATCACACATATTGTCACTATAGAAGAAGAAGGAAAAAGGCCGGAAGTGACGGTTACTGTAGAAGAAAGCACTATTAGTCCAACTGAAAGTCCTCTATACATCGTTGAGGAATTTCCAGAAGAAGTCTCAGAAACCACCGTCATCGATAAAGGAGTTCCAAAGAAAAAGATAGTAAAGAAAAAGAGAATTGTTAAGAGAGATGGCGATAAGAAAGAAATTACGGAAATTAGAATAGAAGAAAATGAAGGCGATAAACCTATTACAAGCATCGAGGTCACCGTAGAAAGAGCAGATAAAAGCATTTCAGAGGAATTACCTGAGTATCTAGTTGAAGAATTACCAATTGAAGTATTTGAGACTGTGGTCGTCGACAACGGAGTGGCCAAGAAGAAAGTTCTAAAGAAACAAAAATTAAAGAAGAGAAAGGGAGACAGAGACGAAATAACAGAAATTGTTACGGTCGAGGAAGACGACAAAAAGCCAGAAACCACTGTTACTATCTTTGATCAAGTTATAGATCAGACCGAAGAAAAGGCTATAATAGAGGAAATGCCAGAAGAAGTAAAAGAAGTAATTGTCACTGAAAAGGGAATACCCCGGAAACAAGTAATTAAAAAAAGGAAAATTAAAAAGAGGGAGGGAGATAAAGAAGAAACTACTGAGATCGTAACAGTTGAAGAAGAAGGAAAGCAACCTGAGACAACTGTCACCATTGATATAACTAAAGAAGCTTCAGCCAAAAAACCTAAAACTAAAACTAAGAAAGTTAAACCCGAAAAAATTGGGAAACCAGAAGAAGAGGTTATTGTCGAGACGGTGACGGAAGTAGAAGATACAATTGTACTTAAAGGTGATGAAACGAAACCACAGAAAATGAAAGTGAAGAGAGTTATTATCTCGCAACAAGAAAAAATACCAGAAATCAAACAACTTAAACATGTTGAACGTCCAGAGAAACCACAAAAAGCTGAGGTAGATGAACACCTATTCCCGGAACTAGTCAAGCTAAAACCTGTCGCTAGACAAGAGCAACCCGAAGAACCTGAAGATCTGAAAAAAGTTATTTTAAAATCAGTTTCACGACCAGATCTTATAGAAGCTGTTGTAATCGAACCGAAGCAGAAGAAAATCAAAAAGCGAAAGTCGATTGACTTACCAGAAATTGAAGATCTAGAGAGATATGTCCCTGAAGTAGCTAAGGATATGAAATTAGAGGAAAATCCGAAAGAAAAAGAGACAGAACAATCAGTCCCTTGGCGCAGGCAAAGTAAACCCAAACCAGAAATACCTGCAGAAGAATTCCCTGGTTTGAAAATTGGCAAAGGAAAAATACCCGAACAAAAAGACGAAAAGGAACAAATTAAACTTAAACCTATTGAATTGGAGTCGCAAGACAACATCGCGCCGTCTGAAAGATCGAAACCAATTAAACTTTCTGATGGAGAATTTAAACCTAAAGATTTTGAGAAGGAAACAGCCGACTTAGGACCGATTGAAAAACCTACGAAACCAATACCTGAGCAAGAGACGGTCGTTCAACTCAAACCCACGGACATTGAAGAGAAGGAAATTAAACCGGGAGAGAGTGCACCATGGCGGCGTAAACCAAAGAAGAAAATCGAAGAAGTACCTGAAACCAAAGAATGGCCCCGCGGGAAAAGAAAGCCACTACCCGAAGAAGAAAAGGATGAGATTAAACTAAAGCCGTTTGTTAAAGAACGTCCAGAGGAACCGGAATATAAAGTAACGGTTGAAGATGTGCCCGTCAGTAAAGCTTACGAAATTCCTGAAAAGGAGGTCGACGATAAATTAAAACTTGAACCCATGGCGAAAAAAGCAATCCCCGAAGATAATCAAAGTAAGAAGCGCGTCAAAAAAATAAAGAAACTCAACGAGCAAGAACTTGTGCCGACCAAATTGCAAGACATTGAGCAGCCGTTGAAAACAAGCGACACTGAAAAGTCAGAGGCTTCCATTACGCTAGTTGAAAAGAAAGAACTCAATGATGTAGAGAATGCAGAAACAGTCCCAGAGGAAGATCAGACAGAATTCCGTAAAGATATTGATGTGCAGATCGTTTCTAAAAAAGTGCGAAAGGAACAGAAACGAATTGTTTCTTTTGAAGACAACCAACCTTTACCAGAACTTGAAATTATCTCTCAAAAACGAACGACTGAGGTAACTGACAAAATACCGGATGAGACTCTGACGGAACAAACCGGAATACATGAGGAGACCACAGTTCAGTCTTCAGTCGTTCAAAAAACTATCGGCAAAAGAATTAAAGCTAAAACTGTTGCACCTAAGTTTGTGAAACGAGTTGAGCCTGTGGTAGCAGAGGAAGGTAATCCGACGCGACTGGTCTGTAAAGTTGAGGGAACTCCTTTCCCGGAAATAACTTGGTACAAAAATCATGACGTGTTCTATCCTACTGAACGCGTTTTCGTTAACATTGTCGAAGGAACTGTTACTCTTGAGTTTGCCGAGGTGAACCCACAAGATGTCGCCGTGTATTCGTGCAAGGCTACAAATTCTGCCGGGGTGGCAACATCGACTGCCAACCTCGTTATACTAGGTACAATGGAGTTGCGTTTTTCGTGTGATACTTTTGTACAAAGCTGGCTACCTGTACCTATTTCTATTCAGCAGCTGTGTCGATTAAGGCAGGAAGTCATTCGCAATTAATTAGCTTACCTTCTGACCCATTGCTTTTACTGCCGACTTAAGCTAATTAATGATTTTGATACTTACCAGTATTTATAGCCGATTTTTGCAAACTTTATTATTCACTTAACATAATCTCCAAAATACCTGATAGAGTTTTCTAATTGTTTCATTATTTCAGAAAAAGAAGATACGGGTACCGCGCCGCATTTTACACAACCTCTAAAACCAAAGATAGTGGAAGAAAAATCGACTGCTATTCTAGAAGCCACAGTTGTCGGACAGCCAACTCCCATCATTAAATGGTTCAAGGAAAACGCCGAACTTACGCCAAGTGCAAAGAACATAATCACATTTAATACGGAAACGGGACTGACGACTCTTCAAATCGAAAATCCAACGGAGGACGACGAAAAAATATATAAGGTCGTGGCAGAAAACAAATTCGGTACTGCCCAGTGCAGGGCAAATTTGGTAATAAGCAAATCTCTGGATGTCATTCAGCCCATAGTGATGCACGCACCTAAAATCGTTAAACCTATTAAGGCGGTCGTAGCTAAACCTAACGAGGAAATTTTGCTCGAAGCTGAAGTTGAAGGAATCCCGAAACCGGAAATCGTGTGGCTTAGGAACGGCAAGGAAATAAAACCCGATGACAAAATCCAAATAATAGAAAGTGACAAAAAGACGATTCTGAAAATTAAAAGGACGGTGGATAAGAAAAAGAAAGCTGGAAAATACGAGGTGCGGGCCACGAATCCGAAGGGGGAAGCCAAGTCTACAAGCACCGTGGTTATTACCGAAGAGATAGACGAAGCGAAGCCGCCGAGATTCATCCAACCCATTAAGCCACAAATTATACAAGAAGGAGAAGTAGTAATTATGGAGACCACGGTTGAAGCTTACCCAACGGCAACGTTCCAATGGTACATAAACCAAATGCCCGTGACCTCAAACCCAGATGTGAGAATAGTTAGCGACAACAATAAATCTACTTTGATAATAAGTGAAGTGACTCCAGAATTTGGTGGTCCCATAACATGTAGGGCGGAAAACGTAGCTGGATCTGTCACGCACACGGCCAACCTCAATGTCGTTAAAGAAACCAAATGGGAGGAAACCCAGGAAATTGAATACCCACGATTTGTCAAACCAATAACGCCCGTTAGCGTAATGGACGGCGATAAAGTTTCATTCACGTGCGTGGTTGTAGGTAAACCGACACCAAAAGTTCAGTGGTTCTACAATGACTTGCCAATAAAAGAAGCCAAAGATATCGTCATTTCCCAAGATTCCCAAGGTATCTGCACCTTAGCCATCCAGGAAGTATTCCCAGAACATGCGGGAGAATACACTTGCAAAGCGTCTAATAGGGTTGGAGAAGCGGTGTGCAAGACGTCTTTGATTGTCGAATCTTACGAATACGTTCCGGATTCCGAGTTAGCACAAATGACGGGATCTGAAGATGACTTACTGGATGACAAGACACTAAACAGTGAAGAGCATAACCTGTCTGATACCGAAATCGAATTTGCTCCAAGGATTACCAAGAAACTGCCAGAGTTAATCACTAGTAAAGACGGAGATGTTACTAGGTAACACAATTTTGCTTCGCAATCTTCGCAATACCATCACACGATTTACTTTATAGATTGGAAGTGAAAGCGGTTGGTAAACCAACACCCAAAGGTCGGTGGATAATCAACGGGCAGGAAATCAAGCCGTCGAAAGAATTCGTTATCGAAAACCTGGAAGACGGTACGTCCGTGCTTACAATTCCCGAAGTATATCCCGACGACACCGGAGATATAGTATTTGAAGCCTACAGCCCATTGGGTGTGGCTACCACCACCACCCACCTACTTGTAGAATCGGTAGAAGGTACGCTTTAAATAATGTAGAACCAGAGATTAATCAGAAAGTTTTCGTTTCAGCTGGGCGTCGAAACCTTTAAATTTTTATTCCCATTCCATGCACCACCACACTTGCACATTTTTTTATAACGCGGTTAGATCATACACCTCACTAATCGATTTTTAATTTACAGGCGTCGTCGGAACAAAACTTTACCGCAAACCGGAATGGGTAACGCACATGGAAGAACTGTCGGAGGCTCTAAAAGGTAAATATCACACGCGCTTAGACTCAGAGCATGTGCATTCCTGCGATGTGTCTACGGACAGCTTGGAAGCTCCGACGATAATTCAGAGGGAAGGTAAAGTATCACGCCAAGAATCGAAAAACTGCTCCGTGAGTGAACTCACACCACCAAAAGCGTTTTATATAAATCGAGAAACTTCACCTCGAGGCTCCGTTAGTAACGAATCCGAGTCACGAAGAAAAAGTGACGGTGACCTAATCGAATTAACGATGACGGACTATCTCAACTCTCACCGACATTCGCTGGGATCAATTATGGAACTTACGAGTTCGAGGACGCCGCAACATTCTATTTACGAACGGTTCGATTTCGTCGACGCCGATTACGAGGAAATTACCGACGAAGAACAAACGGGGGCGTTCGATGAGCCATTCTATATTTTGTCACCTATCGAGGAAAAAAGCGAACCGTCTACAGGCAGTAACAGTCTTAGAGGTAGCAGCGGCTCCGAAAGGAAACGCATTGCTTGCGTTTCGAGCTCATGCAACGCTTTACCTAGTGCGTACGAACAGCTCGAATACACATCGTACGAAAAATGTCAGACGTTCCCCAGAATAAAAAATCAAAGTGTGTCGGACCAAGAGCTCAGTAGAAACTTGAATAACAATACGATGTATCCTTTGGAACCTAGAGAACTTGATCCTAGTGCCTTTCACCAGCTACACACGGCTGATAGCCAGGAGGAGCTTCAGGAGTTTCTACTGCTGGAAAGTGAATGTATGGGCGAGAACAGGGGACGAGGCTTGGCGTCAGCTTTCAGTCCTGAAAATGACGACACCCTTACACTTACTTTCCCTAGCGCAGGTAAACTAACATAGTTGGTTTGTTGTGTGTGTGGCTCATTAATATAACGTTTGTTTTTCCGCATCTTGTTTAGACCAATAATTTCTCCCGATAGCATGGCGAAGCAGAATCCCAACATTAGAACAGGTAATTCCATACAACACCTTAAGATTTTGAATTTATTAAATTGACATTTCAGTGTCGGTTATGCTCATAAAATGTTGTATCCGTGAGATATGTTCCTTAAATGTTTTAATACAGTTTTTCGTTGTATATCGACAGTTATTAGGCACGTTTTGAACATATTTTGTGGGAATATATGAATTTCACCTTCCCCGAACGAATCGAGGCATCTTGCAATGCATAAAAAATAACATAACGACAAACCACCACCGGATTTTTGATTGCGGTAACCAAATTCCAGTGGTGGGTCGCTTAACAGTAAGACACTACGTAGTTTCTGAAGGTTTGTTTGTGTTTTAGCCGTAAAGAGTCCCCCAACGTTCGTAAAAGAAATCACAGACGTCCGAACCACCGAAGCTGAAACCGTCAAATTTGAGTGCCTGTTCGCTGGAACACCTTTGCCAGGTATGTTAACAACTATTTATTATTTACAAAATAAAATTGTAATAAATAAGAGCTTCACTACCGATTCTTATTGCTATTGCTTTTCCAATTTAACTTGTACATAAAAATATTGTATTACACCTGAAAGCGACACAATTGCTTCCATCTAACTATCGATTGGGTTAAGTCTGTTAGTAACGTTTGTGTTTCCGGGAACAAATTGGGAGGATCGTGGCATGGATGTTGTTTTCCTAACGTATACTAAAATGTTTATATTATAGAAAAAGCGGCATAGGTCAACTTGTCAAAAGACGAAACCCATTCATCTTCTAGGTTCTTTTCTACATTCCTCCTGCTTTGCTATATAATTCGCGTCGCATGCGACGCCATAAAAAATCAATTTTAGCAAGACAACCAATTAAATATCTACCTATCCTAGGAATTCATCTACCTACACCAACAAGCGGCATATAAGTATGTTTTCAATCTAACGGGTGATTCAATAAGAGTTTCCACATTACAATCTGAAATATTTTTGAAACGCTACTGTATTTGTTTATTATCATATAAGATTTCTAACCTCAAAACATAAACAAACTTAGTTATGGAGCAATATACGACTGAACAACGTGTAAAAATTGTGCCATCCTATTATGAAAATAGTCGATCAAGGAAAAATGAGAGGACAATTTGGAATGTGGTTCAAAAATTTGAGCAAACTGGATCTGCAACTAACCTCAAAGTCCCTTAACGAGCTCGTGCAGGTCGGTCAGATCAAAATATTGCCATTTTTCGCGAAAGTGTAGCCGAAGATCCAAACACATCGATACGTCATGGATCGCAGCAAGTGGGCCTTACGTATTCAGCCGCACAGCGAATTTTAACAAAAGACTTGCATCTACGCCCATATAAAGTCTAAATAACTCAGGAGTTGAAACCTCGAAATCATCAGCAGCACCGCGTGTTTGCAGAATGGATACGAGAACAAGGGGTTCATTTTTCAACGAAAATCATCTTTTGCGATCATTTTCACGTTGGTGGCTTTGTAAACAAACACAATGCTCGTATTTGGGGATTAGAAAATCCAAGAGAGATTGTTCAAAAAGCAATGCATCCTCAAAAAGTGACTGTTTGGTGCGGAGGAATAATTGGTTCTTTGGGAGCAGTTGGAAGGTATGGACATTGATGATTTGTGGTTCTAAAAGGATGGAGTCACACATCCAGAGAGACGATGCAATTGCTGCGGGGCAAGTTTCCTGGTCGGATTATGTCACGTAACGGCGATATCAATTGGCCGCCACGATCTTACTTCCATAGATTTTTTTTTGGGGTAACTAAAAAGCAGAGTGTAGAGAAATAAAACCAAACACTATTCCAGAGCTGAAACAGGAGATTAGACGCGAAATAGCCGGCATAGAACCTGAATTGTATCAAAAAGTGATAGGAAATTTCAATAAACGAATTACGTCATGCGACATGAGTCGCGGGGGTCATTTGAATGACATCATCTTTCATACCTAATTGTAATACACTAATCTAAAATGGCAAATAAAAATGTTTGTATATTTTTATATTCTTCCGAGATTTTTTTATTATTTTAATGTGGAAACCCTTATTGAATCACCCTTTATTTCGCCGAGCAAATCTTGAACCAATTAGAACAAAGTAACAATTTATTACGTTCTATTTCATTACATTTCTAAGAAGTATCATTATTAATATACAAAATATTAAATATAGTAATATTAAAGTATCAGTCAGTTAAAAAATCGTCACTGATTCATTTCACGGTCTCCACATTTTAAAGAGTTAAAAACAGAAACCTTCAAAAACTGTTTAATTGTAAAATTCTAATAAATATGTATCTGTATTCTTATGACGTACTTTTATCTACCGCGAATATAAACTATAGCGTTAAAAAAGACTGTTGCTGTTTTCAAATCGAGGAACTATGTAGAATCCACAAAAATACAAGAAGAAGAATGTTGTTAATCGACAGGCACACAAGACAAAAATGATTATTTTCAAACTTACCTGTAAGATAAATACGTAATACGTAAATACGTACTCACTGGATCGATCACTTAGAGAGATCAATTAGATTAAACACTTAAGAACGATACATATCACCGGACGTTAAAATAAACGCTTCTGCTTATTCGAAAATACCCCGCAACATCAATCAATGCTTCAATATATTCCAATATTCGATACCATCTCAGGCAAGACCTACTTAACGTAGAATAAACATCTGTTGGGATGGGTTTTACCACGGTCCTGCGAAGGTCTGCGGTTAAGGTACTGTAAAATACTTTTAAAAAATGACTTAAAACTTAAAGCAATATATGCACTATATTTTTGGTCGTTATGGTTTCTTTAAATTACAAACATTGCCAAAATTGACCTCATTATTTCTTCTTTCCAGATATTATCTGGTACCACAACGGTAAAATTCTGCGCAATACCAACAAAGTCAAAATCCGTATCGAAGACAACAAAACTCTGTGCACCATAACCGACGTTGACAAAGAGCACGTGGGAACGTACCTGTGCAAGGCTGTGAGCGACGTCGGAGAAGCAGTGACCAAAGCCCAACTCTACGTTCAAGAAATCCCCGAGCACAAGAAACAAGAGATCCTCATCCGCAAGGCCAAGGAGGAAGAAGAACGCATCAAGAAAGAACGCGTTACAATAGAACAAAAGAAGAAAGTACGCAAGATTAAGAGGGCGTCAGCAACCACAGAAGAGGAAACTAAACCGGTAGGCATTTCGGAAGTACAACCGATCGAACGTACCGAAGAAATAGATGTTACTCCTGCTGAAGAACAAAAGGCCAAACCGATTCTCGATATTCAAGAACCGCTTAAAACTGAAGCGATCGCTTCGTGTAAGAAGATCGACGAAAAGGAAAAAGAGGATTTGCCTCAGGAAATCGTCCAGGTGAAACTCTCACCTACCGAGCCGATGTATATCGATCAAATTCTCGCTGAAGAAATCATTAAAGACATCGAGAAAATTTTACCGGATACCGGCAAAGCTAAACCCCGAACCCAAGAGGGAGTTACCGAAGTGGCGGACATTACGGAAGTGAAACTCGAGCAAATTATAGAACGTTGTGAAAAAATTATCCGCAAAAGCGAGCTCAAGATGGCAAAGGAAGTGACAGAGATGCTCGATTTTATAAATGCCAAGGAATTTGGACCAGGTCAAGCACCGTTACGGGAAATCGCGGAAATTGTTTACCTGATCAAAAACGGAATCACCGTTAAGGAAGTGACGGTATTATACGACGAGGACAAGTTTCCGTCTCTGAAATCGCCTGAAGTTCAATCAGCAATGGTCAACGTGGTTGAGAGGAAAGGTCATGGAGCCTTGATCACGGAGGTTCTAACCGAAGAAACCACAATCGATGAAGCTCAACTAGCCGCTACCGTCGGTTTCAGAGCGTTCATGAAAATGGTCGACGCCAACTACATAACCGTAGAAGAAGTCCTCATCAATTTTACCCCTGAAGACTTCATCCAAAGAGCTTGGGAGGCTACTGAAATAACAGAGGTGAGTGTTAGAAAACGACATAGAAGTTCAATAGTTCGTGTATTTCGAGGAGTTAGTGAATATACATCTTTTTGATTTGGTTTTTGTTGTGCCCTGCGTGTCGTAGAGTAGACCTTTCCAATGACATCTACCATGATTCGAAAAGTGGAATACTGTCATTTATCTATACCACTAATTATGCCAATTACACCCATTATACACACAAAGGTAAATTCTGAAATTGAACTGAGGTGGCTTTTACTTGATGAAAATCCATTTATCAAAATAAATAAGAACTAAAAGTTCAGATTTTCACGAAATTATATGTTTTGACATGACAATTGTTTCGACAACACCGTGTCTTTATCAAACTTTTTGCTACTATATATACCGAAAAATAACCATAAAACGTTAATTAATGTTGTTGTGAGAATTTAAGTTCAATAAAGGAGAGGTATTTAAATCTAATTGATCGTTAAGCAATACATTTGAATGTCTCATTTTGTTAATCTCCATAGCTTCCAATAAATTTAATTTTCTACTTTTTGTGGCTGTATGTAAAATATCAAAATTGTCGTCAAAAATGTGTTTTTCTGTGTTTAAGTGTGTAGCATAATTAGAATCTAGACTATTGTTTTTAAACGCTCTTTTATGTTCGTTAATGCGTTTCTTGAAAGACCTACCTGTTCGTCCAATATAAATTTTAGGACAAGATCCGCATTTCAACCTGTAGACACCTGATTTTTGGGATTTTGGACATTTCGTTTTATTGTTTTTTAAATATTTTCCTATTGTGTCGTTAGTTCTGAAAGCTATTTTTAAACTACATTTTGACAAATGTTTTGAAACTTTCTGAACGGTTCTCCTATGTATGTAATTGTTTTAAATTGTTCATGTTCTGTATTAGGTTTCGGATAAATAGAGTTTACTGTTGTCTGGATTTGTTTCTTATTTATAATTTTATCTATAATGGACAGATTGTTGCCGTTGTTCAGTTCAATTTGTTTAATGATATTAAGTTCTTTGTTGTAATTTTGTGTTGAGATTGGCGTATTAAGAAGTCTGTGTATAAAAGAGTTAAATGCAGCCATTTTGTGTGTATCAGGGTGATTTGAGCTGTTATGTATGATTCTGTCTGTGTGTGAAGGTTGATGATATATTGAAAAATCTAATTTGTTTTGCGCTTTCGAAAGCGAAATGCGGATCTTGTCCTAAAATTTATAATGGACAGATAGGTAGATCCTTCAAGAAACGCATTAACGAACATAGTTTGTAAATATTACATTTGATAAAGACACGGTGTTGTCGAAACAATTGTCATGTCATAATATATAATTTCGTGAAAATCTGACCTTTTAGTTCTTATTTAAGGTAAATTCTAGTTTTCGATTAATAAGAATATCTAAAACGGAAAAAATGTTTCCTATTTCGATAGTGAAATTGATATTAGAATATATAGAGTTTTTCTAATCTTTGTTGTACCAATCTCCTAAATATTACAGGTCTTTCTATTGCCGGACATTTTTTTAGAATAATAGTTGTTAGTTTGTAAGTCCCTAATCAAATGTGAATCAATCTAGGGACCGAACCTAAACTGAACAAGTAGGGTCACCCTCCTGCGGGTTAGATCGAACAAGTTTCCGTCACCATTATTGAAATATCAATTTCAGTTTTTTTTTTTTAACTTGAGTTCGATGTTAAGTGGTGCAACGAAATGATTACGAAAACACGGCGTTGAGAGAAATATTAGTAAGGAGTCTTCCTCCTTCAGTGGCACCATACATTATTTATCAAATTGAAAAAAAAAACTGGGATAATTCAAACTGGTGGCTCAAATGTATCACTAATATTGCGTACCTTTTCAGACGACCTCAAAGACTGAAACTGCAAAGGCGACTATCAGCGAACAAGTAGAGGTGCACGAGGGTGAGTTGCGTGTTTGTGTCAGTTTTGCCAGGATGTGCCTTCGAATACGTTTGTTTGTTGCAAAACACTATACGTGCGGTGCTTACACCTAAAGACAAATTTATGTTGTTGTGATTGTGCTTGTTTTGTAAATTTCTTTTTTTTTATCTTAGCGCTAATAAATTATGTTCCGTTAAATTTGATTAATTTCGTCTTGTTGTTCGTTTAGATACGACAAAAATCGTCAAGAGAAAAATTAAAAAGAAGGGCGACCTGGAAGGTGAGTGTTTTGAGGTTGCCGTGTGTGTCTTATCGAATAAAAAATTTGTATAATGTAATATGTAATTGAACTGTCATATTTGTACGTGTGTCGTTGGTAAGTCGACGTCACTGGCTTAAAGTGCAAATGTCCGATTGATTGACCGATCGCAGCTCTGCGCAGCTTCAACGCTTCAACAGTGGTAGCTCCTGCGCTGTTGCCGCCAGTAAATCTTTAATATTGCAATAAACATGCATTATATTTCAGAGTTCAGTTTTGCTTTCGGTGAAACTAAATCACGTCAAAATGTTTATTGTCAGGAGCAAAAAAAAAACTGACAGATACCTGTTAAATCGAAAATTTGCAATTTTTAGAGATTCCGATAAGTAGTATGTTTACCCCTTTTCAACGCCCTCCAGCCCACGGGGGAGATTTTGAGATTGCAAATTTACAGATACCCAACCAACCCAAAAAAATAAAAAAAATTAATTTCACCAGTCTACGAGAGATGTCGCGCATTAATAGCTCAGGTTTTGATCGCCAGATGTCACCCTTAATGGGGGTAGGGGGTAGTTTTTGTGATTGTACTTTTTTGCCAATTTTTTTCGTCCCCTGTACTTTGCGTCGCGGGAGGCGAGCCCGGCCCACGGCGCTACGTTTATATCGCGGAGCAAGATTATTAGATCACCGAGGTCGCGCGTAATCTATGTTAATAAAACAACCAGACGCTATTAATGTTAATCGGGATCCCCGAGTCGAATATGTTTCTTATCTCCAGATGCGGTTTGTTTTTTTGCATGCGGTTGTTTGCAGCGAAGAAGACGTTTAATGACACTGACATCGAACAAATTGCGTTATTAAACATATATTATAGACAAAACCCCATCAGGATAGACAAATATTAATAAATATAGGCGAAGGATATGCATACATAAATAACATATATGGACATAAATAGATACATAAATTAAACACAAATATAAACTAAAAGGGCTCGCTTCCCGCGACGCAAAGTACAGGGGGCGAAAAAAAATAGTCAAAAAAGCGCAAACACAAAAACTACCCCCTACCCCCATTAAGGGTGACATCTGGCGATCAAAACCTGAGCTATTAATGCGCGACATCTCTCGTAGACTGGTAAAATTTATTTTTTTTCGGGTTGGTTGAAAATCTGTAAATTTGCAATCTCAAAATCTCCCCCGGGGGATGGGAGGCTTTGAAAAGGGGTAAACATACTACTCCGACATTCCGATATTCATTTTATTGGAAATGAGAAGTGGGAGCAGAATACTGAGAAATTAGGAAGTTCCCCTGAACATTCGTTTAGCAATTTCATGCGATCTTCTTCTCTCATCCGGAATAGTTTTTGTCTGTGAGAATTTTATGTCTTTCAACGAGACCTGCAAGTTTCGAACGGCCAGGATAATTTCATTTTTAACTGCAACTCCAACCCTGTAATTCAAAAGCTCCAAAATGGAATTAACATGTTATTTTCTTTAGTAAATATCTCGGAATTGTAATAAAACATTTAAAAAAAAAAGTCTACAAAAACAAAGAACGACGAAACGCAGTAAAGAAGTGTTGTTTTCAGCAAAAGATGATTCCCAAAAAATCAATTTATTATACGGAACTTTTCCCAAATTTGAATTCCCCGTACGTCTTACCGTTTTCGAGATTCCAATCCAACGTTGAGATACAAATCTGAAACAACATTTTTGAAATGACAAAGAAAAAACATATGAAAAGAGCAATTCCAAAAATAATCTTATTTCTGCAACATTAAATAAAAAGAGTTACTTTAGGAACATCGTCGGTGTTAGGGAGAGACATAAATATTTTTTGTGATCATATTTCGACGGTAGCTTCGCATAGGTGCCGCATATTTAGCGCAATAACTTATCAGTGTTTCTGAAGTGATAAAAAGGTTCGCTAAGTTAGTGCTATCTAGCAGCAGGCATGGCTTCGGCGCTTTTTTAATGCTTTAAGGTGAGTTAGCTCTTCAATATTTTTATTCCTCACAATATTCATCCATATTCACCATAAACACATCCAAACATAATAAATCTCTCAACTCTATATAACAAATCTTAAAAACTAATGCTTAAACGACTCTATTTACACGCCTTATAACTTTTCATATATAGTAAATCGTTGTTTTGTATGATAAAAGAAAAACACACAAAAACACTTTCACAGAATCTGTCAAAGTCGAGGAAACCATCGAAACTACCACGAAGGGCGACAAAACCACACAACCGAAAAAACACTCCGTGGACATCACAGAAATCACTGAAACAGTGAAGGAACAAGGAAGTGACGTCGAAATTGAAATAGAGACGGAAAAAGAGGTTAAGGTCACGAAAACAATTAAGGCTAGAAAGCCTAATGTGGGGGAATATCTTTTCGACGAGGAAAATGTGGGCGACGTACCAGAACTTGAAACTAATTTCCAATCACAAGTGCCACTGAACGTACCTATGTTATCATCTGAAGCCACGTCCGCAGACGAAGTAGCTCAAATTGAAAGAGGCACTAAATCTGAACTAGCAACGGTAGACGTCGTGCCGCTTGCAGCAATTTCTCAAGAACAGCCCTTGATAAACGAGAAAGAAGAACTTCAAAGACAGGATAGTTTAGTCACAAACACAGCAACCAAATCAGTTGAAGAACTGAAAGCACTGCAAATATTGCAAACCAACGTTGAAAACATCCCAAGTCAGTTTGATTCTACTTTTAGACCAACTAGTTACAACGCCTCTCAAAATGTAGTTCCTAAAGAGGGACTCACGATTGAAGAAACCATTACCAACGATACTCCTTCCCAATTTCAATTGCAACAACCAATGAGAGAAACGGCGTATGTGGAACTTCTTCCACAAGAGGCAAAGAACATCAGCGAAGTTCAATATTCTGACAAAGAAACAATTCTTGAAGATTTTAGAACCGAAGTAAAGAAACCCTTAACCATACAAACATCGGGACAGTATTCAGAAGCTATTTCCACAAGCCAAGTAGCTGAAATAAATGAAGATTTTAAAACAATAAATGCTGAAACCAATGTAATTCCACATTCGGCTCTGATTCAGGAACAGACCGATATCCAAGAACAAGAGACTGACCAAAGACCATTCTCCACTGTCGTTTCGCATGCACAAAAAACAATTGACTCCGTAGAAGCTTACGAAATCACGGAACAAAACGTTCAAAATCAGACGGCGATATTTGATAAAACATTTGCTCCATCATTATCCACAGCCCAACCAAATATTGTATCATCCGAGGGTATTTTTGTACAGGAAATCAATTTAGGTGATGTGCCGTCTGGCCTAGAACAAGACGAGAAAGTCGAAGGTAACGCTTCGATTTTAATAACGCCACAAGAGGCTAAATATATTTCCGAAGTTGAAGTCTCAGACAAAGAGCGTCATTTGGACGAATTTTCGGCACCCAAAGGAGTACAGGCAAATGACTCGTTCGTTCCAAATGAAAGTATTAATGTGGAGGAGGTACAACAGGCGTTGTCCGAAGAGAAATTTGATTCCACCAAGCCAACAACTGCTAAACCAAAAATTAATATTGATTCTAAAGAAGGACTGATAGTCGAAGAAGTGTTAACCGGAGATAAACCTGGAAAATACCTTCCTCAGGCATTCGTTCCCACAGAAGTGGCCACCAAAAACATTATAACTCAAAAATCACTTGCTCAGACCGAAATTCAAGCTTCGGAACTAGAAGGAGACTACACCCCCGGAAATTTGCCTCCGTCCCAGATTGCCAAGCTAGATGTGTCCGCTGGCGAGAGTATTATGGTTAGCGAAACCCAGGCTCAAGAAAAAGAACGTCTGTTCGAAAAAGCCCTGAGCCCTGAAAGAGGTCTAGCGTCGGAAGACCTAATTCTATCGGAAGGAATCACGATTAGCCTCACCGACACCCAACAACCCCAAAATGAATTAAATGCAGAGGAAAAGGAAAAACACACTGCGATTGTCAGTTTACTGACAAAAGAAAGTGTTCAAACCGAAACGATAATTGCTGGAGAATCTGAAGATAAATACGAACATAAACCTATGAGCTCAAAAACTGCTCAAACCACATTCAACTGTCTAGAAATAGGCGGTCAAATGCTGGTTACAGTTCAAGACTCGGAGAATGTTCTCCCTGAAAATGAAAAGCCAACACAGGTTTTGGCGAAGATGGGAGTTTTTCCCAATGAGGGATTAATCATTGAAAACGTTGAAACAGGCGACGTACCTTCAGATTTTGTAGAGCAACCGAAATTTAAAACCGATTCAGCAACCGCCGATCTGCAAACGCAAAAATATATGAACGTAAATGAAGTTCTTGCAGCTGAAACTGAAAGCGGCTACACACCCGCACAACAAGAGCACGTAAACATCGAGTCCTCACTTACGAGAACCGAGGAACAGATTGAGGTGAGCGAATCTCACTTGATGGAAAGCGAGAAACAATTAGTTGATTTTGAACTGCCGGAATCGTATAAAGGCAAAACGGTTTCTTCACACTTATTGCCTACGGGACTTACCGAGGAAATCACTCCAGAACACGGAGTAGGGCCTCTATCGCAAGCACCATTCGAAGAGGGTAAAGCCGACGTAAATCAATCAGTACATACGGAAACTATCATAAGTGAAGCCGAAATAGGAGAGCCATTTAGAAACATAGACCTTGAAAGCCCTAATTTAAAAGAAGCCGCTTCGGCCATGATCCCGCAGGAAGCAATAAATGTAACCGAAACAACAGTAGAAGATAAGGAAAAATCATACGTACCTACGGATACGCCGGCTTACCAACAAGCTAAAGTTGATATCGATTCAAGCCAAGTGGCGAGCCAGGCGATAATTCAAGCCAACTATGGAACAGACCAATTATCGATCGAGACTCCCACTACTGTTCAAGCCAATTCTGAACAATCTACTTTGGAAACTGTTCAAGTTACCGAATACGAAACAGGCGAGAAAGAGAAACAATACTCCGCTGATAAACCGGAAGAGAAGATAGCCGCCATCGAATTGAGTGAAGGTTTGTCTGGCCACAACGTAACACAGATTTTATACAACGAAAAGGAAGACGAATATATACCAGGCATAGGACCTTCGTCTGGTTTCGCACAACCTGGCATTACGACCCAAGAGGTGATAGTTCACTCAGAAACCGAGACAGTGACTCACGCCGATAACATAGTGGAGGAAGAGTTGATAACGGGTAAGGCGAAAAAATACGCGAAACCATTTACGGAACTTATAGTAACCGAAACAAACGTAACGGATGTGGAAAAAAATCTACCTGCAGATATTCATCCTTACTCGAAACAAGCAAACGTGGACGTTTTACCGGACCAAGCACTGTCTGTAACGGAAACCGTAGGCGACTACAAAGAAGGAGCGTTACCGATTGTTGAAACAGAGCTGTCAACGGCAGATATTAACGTGTTAGAGCAACAAGTTGCTCTAAAAGAACAAATAATAGCGGAGACGCTACCAGGCGAATATAGGAGAATGTCTCCCGAAAAGCAATTGGCGCATATGCAGCGAGATATATCCGTTCCTCTATCACAATTAGAGATCACGCTAGGGGAAAAAGAGGACGAGAAAACGCAGGATGTTATTCCAGATGCTAAAAATGCAGGTGTAGTGTTCACTGAAGCCACTTACGTAAACGTTATGGAAATAACGTCAGAGGACAAAGAAGGCGACTTACCCAAAGCCGAAGTGCCCAATAGTGCGACGAGCGAGTCGTCGATAGCCAGTCACATGTTAGCAGTAACACAAGAAACTCAACCCGAGGATTCGGTAAATAAATTTGAAAAAGAAACCGACCGTACTGAAAAAGCGAAAGTAGAACATTCGCTTCTGGACATGGTAGTCACAACTGAATCAGTGGCAGCCGAAACGGAAGCGAAACTTGAAATCGAGAAGAGGGATGCTAAAAATGCGTACCCCGAATTTGAAGAAGCTGAACCTGTGTTAGTGAGTTTCGTAACGCCGGAAATTAAAGAAAAAGAATTGGACCGCGATAAGTTAGATGTCACTCAAGCAGACAGCAGCATTTCACCGATACACACTTTAGAAATTGGGGAAATCGTGGCCAATGAAACTTTAACTGACTTCGATAGTTCACGGCCTACAGAAATAATTGCTCAAAAAACCCAAAATCAGTATCAATGTCTTATAAACACCGAAGCCTTTCTAGGTGAATGTGAGTCTTCCTTTAAGGGAGATCAAACTGCGCCAGAACGACAAGCTACAGCCGAGTATGACACCATTGAAGCAATTCAAACCGCCCAAACCTTACACTCCGAAAAAGAAAGTGATTACTTACCGACTACTGTGGAGACGCAGTCGGCCGTTACATCAGTGGATGTCCAGCCAGTGGCGGAAACTAAAGAGGTAATCTCGCAAGACTTCGTCACCGAAGTGAAAGATGAAAAACCGTTAGAAGCTGCGGCCAACGTTGAACAGTCGCTCTTGGAAAGCATAATTCAAAGTGAATCTCTTGCTCAAGATAGCGAATCTTACTTTGATAAATTTGAGTATAAGACGACAAACGCTGACCAGAGCTTTATAGAAGATAAAGGCCTCACGATAAGCGAAATTATCAGTCACGAGATGGAATCTATGATCGAAATTCAGGAAACACCGTCGACTAAACAAGCCGACGTAGACGTTCACGCTCACGTCGTCCCAGTAAACGCAGAAGTAAACGTCAACGAGTTATATGACAGACTTTGGACTTCGCTGCCGGTAAGTGTACCCGCGGTACCGGAAATTGAAGCTTTAGGAGCGGCAACTAAAACCGAAATAATCGCAACAGAAACGGAAACTATCGGAAGCGACTTTAAAAAGCCTGAATCGCAAAACGTAGACGTTACTATTACTGAAGATCAAAGCGTTGTCGTGGAATCCGTAATAACACAAGACAGCGAAACCGAATTGATTACGCAACCACAAGCTGATGCCCGAGCAATAAAAACTATTACCGAAGCCGGAAAAGTTGTGTCTAAGAGTGAAATCGAAGCCAATGTAACTGCGCAAGATCTAGAAATCGTTAAGCCATCAGAAGCAACGGCATCCGACTCTACAATACCGTTCGACGCCGTCATTCAAACTCAACAAGTGTCGATAGAAAAAGAATCCGAGTTTGAGAAAACACAGGCGCATTTATCATCATCGGCTACGATCAACGTTCAACCGAGGGAGGGAATATCTACGACGGAGACAGTTCTTGCACAAAAAGAAACCGACTTATTGGAATTTAAAGTCCCCGAAAGCAAGAGCGCCGTCCATTCGAGATATATTTCAGGAAAAGTAGCGGAAACAAACGTTACGGAGGTGTCGGAAAATCCCGATTTTCTAAAAACTAAGGTTCCCGAATCATGGACTGCAATAGCAACCGATGAATCAGTAAGCGGTGTCATCGTAACCGAAAGTATGATTCATGAAAAGGAAAGCGATTTTACCGGTAAATTCCAACCCGAAACTACGAAGGTTGAGGTTTCCTTAGAAACGGGGAAAAAGGCAGTCACGATTAACGAACTCATTCCTGATTATAAGGAGGGCCTTATGAATAACTTCGACACCCCAAAAAAACAACAAGCTGGAGTAAACTTAGATTCGGTTTGCGTACCCGAATCGCAAGAAGTCATCCCAAATGAATCAGTAAAAGACACGAGTGTAAACATTCCCGATGTGGCAAACGCATTTATAGAACAAGCGCCGATACAAGAACTCGTTCACAGTATACCAGAAGTTCGGGAGAAAGAAGGGGTCTTCGACAAATCGCTCCCTATGGATAAAAAACTTGCCTCGATCGGAGTGGAAGAAGGTCAATCAATATACGTCGATGAAATTGTTTTGGCCGAGAGCGAATCAACCATGGAGCTTTCGAAACAAATATTTACCAATGCTGAAAAATCCGTAACTGGTGTTTTAACTGCTGAAGTGACTGAAGTTATTTCGTCAATGCAGCCGGAGGGATTGAAATCGAAAACGCCTATACCTGCCATTGCGAATAGAGAACAAGACACGCTTATCAGTTTAACTCAGACGGAACAAACGATTATTGAGTCACCAAATGAATATGAGAGCATCGTGAGTCCAGAAACGAAAAAGGCCGAACGTACCATTGATACCGTGGGAGGAATTAATGTTGCGGAAGTGCTAGCCAGTTTTGCACCAAGCGACTTGACAATAGAAAAAGGGAAAATGGAAGAAGCCTCATCGGTAGTGGATTGCATGAAAACAGCACAACAGTCTCTAGTAATAACGTCCGACAATGTTGACGAATTCAAAGATGAAACAAAACAGCCTGTTCAAATTAACGTAGTAAAAGATTCCATGGACGCATTAATTCTTTCCGAAAATATTGTACAGGAATCTGAAAATATTCTAGGAGAGAAACCAAAGCCGGAAACCAAGACAGCTGAAAGTATATATGACCAAGTCAAAAGTTTGAATATATCCGAAGTAATCGTCCAAGAAAAGGAGAATCCATTAGCAGAAGAAAAACCGGAAGGACAATTCTCCTCTACGAATATTCAACCCCTACAAGCCGCCTCCCAAGCAGCAGTGTTAGTACAGGAAAATACAGACAATCTTCCACACGAGAAAGCAAAAGAAGAATCGGCTGATATTATTCAAACAGAATTGAAGAGTGTGATCGTTGCGACTCAAGAGATTCACGAAAAGGAAAAACCGTTTTCAGATCAGAAAACGAATTCGAAACGAGCGAGTATCTCACTTACAGAACAACTATCGATGAGCGTAATCGAAACCCTAGCCAGCGAACAAGAAAAAGGACTCCTAAAACAAGAACCAGTTTATGCAACCGCTGATAAAATAGTGTCACCTCAGGATGCTACTGAAATTACCGAAACTAGTACAGAGGAAAATATTTCTCCACTATTAATTAAAAAACCAGAAGATAATCAAGCTTTTGAAGAAAACGTCCCGCATAGTGCGGTTCATATCACCGAAAATGTGGTTGCCGAAAAGGAAAAACTCTTTGTCAAAATAGATGAAGCAAAGGGTGTAACCGCGGATGTTAACTTAGAGGAAGCTGCTAGAACGGCCAACATAACCGAAATTATAACAACGCAACGAGAAGGCGATTTTCTTCCAGACCAGCCGAACCAAGATTCCGCGCTCCCTTCGCTCATAGAGTTGAAAGTTCTAGAGACGCAAATGGTGGACACGTATGAGAGCACAGACAAGTTGGTAAAGGATAAATGTCCCCAATCAACGAATGTTAGTGTTAATATAGAAGAATTTGGTAAATCGTCGATGGTAACAGAAATATTTACAACCGATAAAGAATCAGATCTAATTGCAGAAAACGTCAAAGAAGATACGGCAAGAACTACTACAATCGCGCACAATATTATTGAAGCCCAAGTAGTTAATGCCTACGAAAACTTAGAGAAAGACATTCAGAGTCAAATTCCTGACGAACTAATTGCAAATGTCACCTTGGAAGATATGGGAACAATAGCCAGCACTTCCGAAGTCATACTAAACCAAGGCGAAAGTGAATTACAAACTGATAAACCGGACAAACTGTCGGCGATTCCAACGATAGAAGAGCATATAGTACTCGAAAAACACGAAATCGAATCATTAGAAACCCTGGATGAGCGAACTATTACAGCCCAAGTTAATGCCAGCATAGCCAATCTTGGTTTAGAGGAGGCTGGCCGATCAGCCAGTACCACAGAAACATTTAGCGTCCAACAGGAAGTAGAGTTGAAATGTGAGGCGCCTAAGGAAGATTCAGTGCACGTTTCTCTATTGGAACTTAAGGGAACTGAAAGTTATGAGGTAAAGGCATTTGAAGGTCTCGGAGAAACAGAAAAATTTAAAATTCCTCAGACCATAGAGGTCGTTCCCAGCCTCGAAGAACATGATAATAGCCTTAACATTTCTGAAATTATAACTAGTCAAAGAGAGTCTCAACTGGTGACGGAAAAACCAAAATCAGATTCGGCAAGTGCTACGTTCAAGGAATGTATAGCATCCCAAACACAAGTCGTTAAACCATACGAAAGCACAGGTCTCAAGCCAGCAGAATCAGTTCCTAAAGGAGCCACTATTGACATTGGAGTGGAAAACCTGTGTGAGGCTGTCAGCATGATGCAGGTACAACTAGGTGATGGTGCCACTGAGCTTCACCAGGAAAAATCCATTGAAGATAACGCTAAAGTATTAATAAACAAGTACGAAACAACAGAAAAACAGCAAGTAGATGTATATGATAGCCTGAATACCTTAGCACAGTCCACGGACGCACCATCTTCTACTGCTGAGATTAATTTGGAAAAAGCTACGAAAATAATAAACATCTCTGAAACCACAACTAACGAAACTGAAGGAGTTTTCAGGCCAGACGAAATTAAACCGGATTTTGCGAATGTGGATGTCCACGAACAACAAGTCATAGAGGAGCAAAGTGTGAAAGTATATGACAGCTTGGGAGATATGGCGATAGAAAGTCACCCATCCACTACAACAGCAGGAATTACATTGGAGGATGTTGGGAGATCGGCAAGTGTTACCCAAATTCTTCCTAACCAAAAAGAATCGGAACTTAAGCGAGATATACCTGCAACAGACTTCGCCGTGCCTTCTATTATAGAACAAAATGTAGCCGAGAAACAACTGGTTAAAATATTTGAAACTTTGGAGAAAATGCCACTAGATAAAGTACCTGCCGCTACAACAGCGAATATAAATTTAGAAAAAGCCGGAAAAAGTGTCAGCATATCAGAAATCGAAACAATTCAAACCGAGTCAGCACTTTTATCAGAAAAGCCAAAGAAAGACAGTGCAGTTACGTCGATAATCCAAAACGAGAGCGTTGAAAAGGAATCGATTAGTGCATACGAAAGTATACGAGACATGAATACAGACGAACAACCTCCAATCCATAAAGCAACTTCAGAAGCGGATGCTATGCATAGCGTAACAGAATCTGAGGTAACTGTACAAGGAACGACAAAACAGTTTGAAATAAAGGAAGCCCCAAAAACTTCGGCAAACCTCAACATAAGGACGGAAGAAAGTATCTTGGTAAGCGAAGTAATAGTTCAAGGCAGTGTAGGTAAAGAAGTATCCACCGTAAATGCTACAGAGGCTACCGCCCAACAAGATATATCCCCTAGACTAGCAAATTCCATAGCAGAAACTACGCTTTTCGAAAACATTGAGGATGTAAAACACGATGCAACAAAAACAAGCAAAGCCCAAAGTGAATACGCCGATACACAACACAGTATAATAGTGACCGAACAGAAAACCTCTGATTATGCAACGCCATTCAAACTACACATTCCTGACAGAAAGACGACGAAAATAACACTGGAGGATACCCAAACACCATGTCTACAAATTAGCGAGGTTCAACTACACGAACGCGAGGGTAAGTTCACTTACATAACAAAACAATACAGATTAAATCATTTTGAATTAATCGTAAAAGTGAAGAGTTTTGTTTTTTGCTTGGGCCGGATAAAATAACAGGTACAAAAAACACAAATTTTACACAAAAATACTTCACATCATCATCAGCATCTTTTATATTAATCAAAATCGAATCTAACGACATTACATTACAGGAATACTGGAAGACACCACAACACATAAAACACATGCCCGAGTTACACAAACAAGCACAGTAACAGACATAGCAGACGAACACCTCACCACATCAAGAAAACATTCAGACACGGAAGAGTCACACGAATTTATAACACGCTTTAAAACAACTCCAGAAAGTACAGAAGCTGCGCAGGTTGTTACAAAGCGAACAATTATAAGAAAATCCCACAAAGGTGAAAGTGATGTGGTAATTGATGAAGTATTTTCGGAAATTACCCCAGAAAGACAAGAACAGGGTCCAACAATAGAGGAAGTAATAGATATAGGCCATGAGGAGGAAGAAGGGCAGGAAATGAACTATATCGTAGAAGAATTACCAGAACAAATTCCTGAAACAACTGTAGTTGAAGAAGGTGTACCTAAAAACAAGGTCATTAAGAAAAAAATTATTAAGAAACAAAAAGGTAACAAATTGGAAGTTACTCATATAGTAACTGAAGAAAAGGAAGGCGAGACGCCGAAGACAACCGTGACTACGGAGGAAACTATAGCACCAAAAGAAATTGAATATGTGGTTACTGAATTGCCAGAAGAAATCCAAGAAAGCACCGTTCTTGAGGAAGGAGTTCAGAAGAAAAAAGTTACCAAGAAACGGGTTATTAAGAAAAGGAAGGGGGACAAGGAAGAAAAAACTGAAATTGTCACAGTTCAAGAAGAAGGTAAAGTGCCTGAAACTACGGTAATAACAGAAGAACGAGAAATGCCTGAAATAGAATACGATATCGAGGAATCACCAGAACAAATTCAGGAAACAACTGTAGTTGAAGAAGGCGTACCTAAAAAGAAAGTCATTAAGAAAAAGGTTATTAAAAAACAAAAAGGCGATAAATTGGAAGTTACTCATATAGTAACTGAAGAGAAGGAAGGCGAAACGCCGAAGACAACTGTGACCACTGAAGAAACTGTTGTGCCAAAAGAAACTGAATATATAGTCACTGAATTACCAGAAGAAATTCAAGAAAGCATTGTTACTGAGGAAGGAGTTACTAAGAAAAAAGTGATTAAGAAACGAGTTATCAAAAAGAGAAAGGGCAACAAGGAAGAGAAAACTGAAATTATCACAGTTGAAGAAGAAGGTAAAAAACCGGAGACTACGGTAAAAACAGAAGAAAGAGAAGTGCCTGAAATAGAATACGTTATCGAAAAATCACCAGAACAAATTCAGGAAACGACTGTAGTTGAAGATGGTATACCTAAGAAAAAGGTCATAAAGAAGAAAGTTATTAAAAAACAAAGAGGTGATAAATTGGAAGTTACTCATACAGTAACTGAAGAAAAGGAAGGCGAGACGCCGAAGACAACCGTAACTACGGAGGAAACTGTAGTACCAAAAGAAACTGTATATGTGGTTACTGAATTCCCAGAAGAAATCCAAGAAAGCACTGTTATTGATGAAGGAGTTCCCAAGAAAAAAATTACCAAGAAACGCGTTGTTAAGAGGAAGAAGGGCGACAAAGAAGAGAAAACTGAAATTGTTACAGTTGAACAAGAAGGTAAAGCGCCGCAAACTACGATAACAACAGAAGAACTAGAAATGCCTGAAATGGAATACGCTGTTGAAGAATCACCAGAACAAATTCAGGAAACAACTGTAACTGAAGAAGGCGTCCCTAAAAAGAAAGTAGTTAAGAAGAAAGTTATTAAGAAACAACGAGGCGATAAATTGGAAGTTACTCATATAGTAACTGAAGAAAAGGAAGGCGAGATGCCGAAGACAACCGTGACTACGGAGGAAATTATTGTACCACAAGAAACTGAATATGTGGTTACTGAATTACCAGAAGAAACCCAAGAAAGCACTGTTATTGATGAAGGAGTTCCCAAGAGAAAAGTTACCAAGAAACGGGTTATTAAGAAGAAGAAGGGCGACAAGGAAGAGAAAATTGAAATTGTCACAGTTGAACAAGAAGGTATAGAGCCGCAAACTACGGTAACAACAGAAGAACGAGAAATGCCTGAAATAGAATACGCTATCGAAGAATCACCAGAACAAATTCAGGAAACAACTGTAGTTGAAGAGGGCGTACCAAAAAAGAAAGTCATCAAGAAGAAAGTTATTAGGAAGCAAAAAGGCAATAAGCTGGAAGTTACTCATATAGTAACTAAAGAAAAGGAAGGTGAAACGCCGAAGACAACTGTGACTACCGAGGAAACTATTTTACCACAAGAAACTGAATATGTCGTTACTGAATTACCAGAAGAAATCCAAGAGAGCACTATTATTGAGGAAGGAGTTCCCAAGAAGAAATTAACCAAGAAGCGGGTTATTAAGAAGAGAAAGGGCGATAAGGAAGAGAAAACTGAAATTGTCACAGTTGAAGAAGAAGGTAAGGAACCGAAAACAACGGTAACAACAGAAGAACGAGAAGTGCCTGAAATAGAATACGCTATCGAAGAATCACCAGAACAAATTCAGGAAACAACTGTAGTTGAAGAGGGCGTACCAAAAAAGAAAGTCATTAAGAAGAAAGTTATTAGGAAGCAAAAAGGCGATAAGCTGGAAGTTACTCATATAGTAACTGAAGAAAAGGAAGGTGAAACGCCGAAGACAACCGTGACTACCGAGGAAACTATTTTACCACAAGAAACTGAATATGTCGTTACTGAATTACCAGAAGAAATCCAAGAGAGCACTATTATTGAGGAAGGAGTTCCCAAGAAGAAATTAACCAAGAAACGGGTTATTAAGAAGAGAAAGGGCGATAAGGAAGAGAAAACTGAAATTGTCACAGTTGAAGAAGAAGGTAAGGAACCGAAAACAACAGTAACAACAGAAGAACGAGAAGTGCCTGAAATAGAATACGCTATCGAAGAATTACCAGAACAAATTCAGGAAACAACTGTATTTGAAGAGGGCGTACCAAAAAAGAAAGTCATTAAGAAGAAAGTTATTAGGAAGCAAAAAGGCGATAAGCTGGAAGTTACTCATATAGTAACTGAAGAAAAGGAAGGCGAAACGCCGAAGACAACCGTGACTACCGAGGAAACTATTTTACCACAAGAAACTGAATATGCCGTTACTGAATTACCAGAAGAAATCCAAGAGAGCACTATTATTGAGGAAGGAGTTCCCAAGAAGGAATTAACCAAGAAACGGGTTATTAAGAAGAAAAAGGGCGATAAGGAAGAGAAAACTGAAATTGTCACAGTTGAAGAAGAAGGTAAGGAACCGAAAACAACGGTAACAATAGAAGAACGAGAAGTGCCTGAAATTGAATACGCTATCGAAGAATCACCAGAACAAATTCAGGAAACAACTGTATTTGAAGAGGGCGTACCAAAAAAGAAAGTCATTAAGAAGAAAGTTATTAGGAAGCAAAAAGCCGATAAGCTGGAAGTTACTCATATAGTAACTGAAGAAAAGGAAGGCGAAACGCCGAAGACAACCGTGACTACCGAGGAAACTATTTTACCACAAGAAACTGAATATGCCGTTACTGAATTACCAGAAGAAATCCAAGAGAGCACTATTATTGAGGAAGGAGTTCCCAAGAAGAAATTAACCAAGAAAAGGGTTATTAAGAAGAAAAAGGGCGATAAGGAAGAGAAAACTGAAATTGTGATAGTTGAAGAAGAAGGTAAGGAACCGAAAACAACGGTAACAATAGAAGAACGAGAAGTGCCTGAAATAGAATACGCTATCGAAGAATCACCAGAACAAATTCAGGAAACAACTGTATTTGAAGAGGGCGTACCAAAAAAGAAAGTCATTAAGAAGAAAGTTATTAGGAAGCAAAAAGGCGATAAGCTGGAAGTTACTCATATAGTAACTGAAGAAAAGGAAGGCGAAAGGCCGAAGACAACCGTGACTACCGAGGAAACTATTTTACCACAAGAAACTGAATATGTCGTTACTGAATTACCAGAAGAAATCCAAGAGAGCACTATTATTGAGGAAGGAGTTCCCAAGAAGAAATTAACCAAGAAACGGGTTATTAAGAAGAGAAAGGGCGATAAGGAAGAGAAAACTGAAATTGTCACAGTTGAAGAAGAAGGTAGGGAACCGAAAACAATGATAACAACAGAAGAACGAGAAGTGCCTGAAATAGAATACGCTATCGACGAATCACCAGAACAAATTCAGGAAACAACTGTAGTTGAAGAGGGCGTACGAAAAAAGAAAGTCATTAAGAAGAAAGTTATTAGGAAGCAAAAAGGCGATAAGCTGGAAGTTACTCATATAGTAACTGAAGAAAAGGAAGGCGAAACGCCGAAGACAACCGTGACTACCGAGGAAACTATTTTACCACAAGAAACTGAATATGCCGTTACTGAATTACCAGAAGAAATCCAAGAGAGCACTATTATTGAGGAAGGAGTTCCCAAGAAGAAATTAACCAAGAAAAGGGTTATTAAGAAGAAAAAGGGCGATAAGGAAGAGAAAACTGAAATTGTCACAGTTGAAGAAGAAGGTAAGGAACCGAAAACAACGGTAACAATAGAAGAACGAGAAGTGCCTGAAATAGAATACGCTATCGAAGAATCACCAGAACAAATTCAGGAAACAACTGTATTTGAAGAGGGCGTACCAAAAAAGAAAGTCATTAAGAAGAAAGTTATTAGGAAGCAAAAAGGCGACAAGCTGGAAGTTACTCATATAGTAACTGAAGAAAAGGAAGGCGAAACGCCGAAGACAACCGTGACTACCGAGGAAACTATTTTACCACAAGAAACTGAATATGTCGTTACTGAATTACCAGAAGAAATCCAAGAGAGCACTATTATTGAGGAAGGAGTTCCCAAGAAGAAATTAACCAAGAAACGGGTTATTAAGAAGAGAAAGGGCGATAAGGAAGAGAAAACTGAAATTGTCACAGTTGAAGAAGAAGGTAAGGAACCGAAAACAATGATAACAACAGAAGAACGAGAAGTGCCTGAAATAGAATACGCTATCGAAGAATCACCAGAACAAATTCAGGAAACAACTGTATTTGAAGAGGGCGTACGAAAAAAGAAAGTCATTAAGAAGAAAGTTATTAGGAAGCAAAAAGGCGATAAGCTGGAAGTTACTCATATAGTAACTGAAGAAAAGGAAGGCGAAACGCCGAAGACAACCGTGACTACCGAGGAAACTATTTTACCACAAGAAACTGAATATGTCGTTACTGAATTACCAGAAGAAATCCAAGAGAGCACTATTATTGAGGAAGGAGTTCCCAAGAAGAAATTAACCAAGAAACGGGTTATTAAGAAGAGAAAGGGCGATAAGGAAGAGAAAACTGAAATTGTCACAGTTGAAGAAGAAGGTAAGGAACCGAAAACAATGATAACAACAGAAGAACGAGAAGTGCCTGAAATAGAATACGCTATCGAAGAATCACCAGAACAAATTCAGGAAACAACTGTATTTGAAGAGGGCGTACCAAAAAAGAAAGTCATTAAGAAGAAAGTTATTAGGAAGCAAAAAGGCGATAAGCTGGAAGTTACTCATATAGTAACTGAAGAAAAGGAAGGCGAAACGCCGAAGACAACCGTGACTACCGAGGAAACTATTTTACCACAAGAAACTGAATATGCCGTTACTGAATTACCAGAAGAAATCCAAGAGAGCACTATTATTGAGAAAGGAGTTCCCAAGAAGAAATTAACCAAGAAAAGGGTTATTAAGAAGAAAAAGGGCGATAAGGAAGAGAAAACTGAAATTGTAACAGTTGAAGAAGAAGGTAAGGAACCGAAAACAACGGTAACAATAGAAGAACGAGAAGTGCCTGAAATAGAATACGCTATCGAAGAATCACCAGAACAAATTCAGGAAAAAACTGTATTTGAAGAGGGCGTACCAAAAAAGAAAGTCATTAAGAAGAAAGTTATTAGGAAGCAAAAAGGCGATAAGCTGGAAGTTACTCATATATTAACTGAAGAAAAGGAAGGCGAAACGCCGAAGACAACCGTGACTACCGAGGAAACTATTTTACCACAAGAAACTGAATATGTCGTTACTGAATTACCAGAAGAAATCCAAGAGAGCACTGTTATTGAGGAAGGAGTTCCCAAGAAGAAATTAACCAAGAAACGGGTTATCAAGACGAGAAAGGGCGACAAGGAAGAGAAAACTGAAATTGTCACAGTTGAACAAGAAGGTAAAGAGCCGCAAACTACGGTAACAGAAGGACGAGAAATGCCTGAAATAGAATACGCTGCCGAAGAATCGCCAGAACAAATTCAGGAAACAACTATAATTGAAGAAGGCGTCCCTAAAAAGAAAGTCATTAAGAAAAAAGTTATTAAGAAACAAATAGGCGATAAACTGGAAGTTACTCATATAGTAACTGAAGAAAAGGAAGGCGAAACTCCGAAGACAACCGTGACTACGGAGAAAACTATAATACCAGAAGAAGATGAATATGTGGTTATTGAATTACCAGAAGAAATCCAAGAGAGCACTGTTATCGAGGAAGGAGTTCCCAAGAAAAAATTAACCAGGAAACGAATTATTAAGAAGAGAAAGGGCGGTAAGGAAGAGAAAACTGAAATTGTCACAGTTGAAGAAGAAGGCAAAGAGCCGGAAACTATGGTAACGACAGAAGAACGAGAATTGCCTGAAATAGAATACGCTATCGAAGAATCACCAGAACAAATTGAGGAAACAACTGTAGTTGAAGAGGGTATACCTAAAAAGGTAGTCATTAAGAAGAAAGTTATTAGGAAGCAAAAAGGCCATAAGCTAGAACTTACTCATATGGTAACTGAAGAAAAGGAAGACGAAACACCGAAGACAACCGTGACTACGGAGGAAACTATAATACCAGAAGAACTTGAATATGTCGTTACTGAATTACCAGAAGAAATCCAAGAAAGCACTGTTATTGAGGAAGGTGTTCCCAAGAAGAAATTAACCAAGAAACGGGTTATTAAGAAGAGAAAGGGCGGTAAGGAAGAGAAAACTGAAATTGTCACAATTGAAGAAGAAGGTAAGGAACCAAAAACCACGATTACAACAGAAGAACGAGAAATACCTGAAATAGAATACGCTATCGAAGAATCACCAGAACAAATTCAGGAAACAACTGTAGTTGAAGAGGGCATACCTAAAAAGAAAGCGATTAAGAAGAAAGTTATTAGAAAGCAAAAAGGCGATAAGCTGGAAGTTACTCATATAGTAACTGAAGAAAAGGAAGGCGAAAAGCCGAAGACAACCGTGACTACGGAGGAAACTATGATACCAGATGAACCTGAATATGTGGTTACTGAATTACCAGAAGAAATCCTAGAAAGCACTGTTATCGAGGAAGGAGTTCCCAAGAAAAAATTATCCAAGAAACGGGTTATTAAGAAGAGAATGGGCGATAAGGAAGATAAAAATGAAATTGTCATAGTTGAAGAAGGAGGTAAAGAGCCGGAAACTACGGTAACGACAGAGGAACGAGAATTGCCTGAAATAGAATACGCTATCGAAGAATCGCCAGAGCAAATTCAGGAAACAACTGTAGTTGAAGAGGGCGTACCAAAAAAGAAAGTCATTAAGAAGAAAGTTATTAGAAAGCAAAAAGGCGGTAAGCTGGAAGTTACTCATATAGTAACTGAAGAAAAGGAAGGCGAAACGCCGAAGACAACCGTGACTACCGAGGAAACTATTTTACCACAAGAAACTGAATATGTCGTTACTGAATTACCAGAAGAAATCCAAGAGAGCACTATTATTGAGGAAGGAGTTCCTAAGAAACGAGTGACAAAAAAACGTATTATTAAAAAAAGGAAAGGAGACAAGGAAGAGAAAACTGAAATTGTGACAGTTGAGGAAGAGGGTAAAAAATCGGAGACTACCGTAACAACAGAAGAACGAGATGTTCCTGAAATAGATTACGAAATCGAAGAATCACCAGAACAAATTCAGGAAACAACTGTAGTTGAAGAGGGTATACCTAAAAAGAAAGTCATTAAGAAGAAAGTTATTAAGAAACGAAATGGCGATAAGTTGGAAGTTACTCATATAGTAACTGAAGAAAAGGAAGGGGAAACGCCGAAGACAACCGTGACTACGGAGGAAACTATAGTACCAGAAGAAACTGAATATGTGGTTACTGAATTACCAGAAGAAATCCAAGAAAGCACTGTTATTGAGGAAGGAGTTCCTAAGAGAAGAGTGACCAGAAAACGTGTTATTAAAAAGACAAAGGACGACAAGGAAGAAAAAACTGTAATTGTCACAGTTGAAGAAGAAGGTAAAAAGCCGGAGACTACTGTAATAATAGAAGAACGAGAAATTCCTGGAATAGAATACGCTATCGAAGAATCACCAGAACAAATTCAGGAAGTTGGAGGTGATATACCTAAAAAGAAGGTCATAAAGAAGAAAATTATAACGAAACAAAAAGGAGATAAATTGGAAACTAATGATAAAGCTGAGGACCTCGTGCAGGAATTACCTTATCCTATCAAACTGTTGGCAGAGGAATTTTCTTTGGCCTATCCCGTTGAAGAACTGCCTCTACAAGTACATGAAAAATTTGAAATAGATCAGGGAAATATTAAAAAGGAAACCCTTTGCAAGCGTACTCTAAGGAAAAGGAAGGGTCATATACTTGAAATAACACATATTGAAACACTTCTCGAAGAAAACAAACCTCCTCAAGTCTCTGTTAACATCGAACGAGAGCTTACCTCGGAAAAATTCGAAAATTTTGTTGATGAAATCCCTATTCATATCCAGGAAACTATAGTTATTGATAACGGGGTTCCCAAAAAGAAAACAACCAAAACCAAGATACTGAAAACAAAGAAAGGCGAGACACCAATTATTACTGAATCTGTTACCACAGAAGAAGATGGTCAAACACCACAAAACGTTGCAACCATTATTGACGAGAATATACCGATATATGCGGTTGAGGAACTTCCAGAACAGGTACAATCATTCGAAATTTATAAAGATGGAAAAACCCATCAAAAAATTGTTAAGAAACGTGTGATTAAGAAAAAGGAAGGTCCTTTGGAGGAAACGACAGTCATAACTACCGAAGAAGAGGAGGGAAAAGAACCGTTAGTCACTGTAGTTGTCACTCACTCCGAAGACACAAAACCAAAACGCGGTAAAAGGCAAAAGAAAACAAAATCTGAAAAAGACAAGTATCTCTTCGTACCATTGTTAGCCGAAGAGAAAGAGATTCCAACTACTCCAGAAATGTTTGATCTATTGAAATTGGAATTAATCAAGATATTCCTTTCTCACCCCCTGCCGGATTTACCTGGACAAGTGGCACTGCCCATCGGACAACGCGTTCTAATAGAATTCCCTCTTGAAGTTGAAAATATTGCACTAGAAGACGGTCGAAATTTGACAATACAAAAAAGAAAAATTCGTAAGCAGCTAGGAAATACTGATGAGTTGATCACAATTACATCTAGCAAATATCCGGACGAGGAACCGATCATCGATGTTACGATAGAAGAAGTTTCACCAATCAACGTTGACGATAAAACATCTCTAATCCCAATTATCGAACTTCCTGAAGATGTTGAAGTGTTTGAGATCAGCACCTCGGACAAAATCCCCAAGAAGAAAATAACCAAACGTAGAAAACTTCTTAAAAAGGTAGGCCCAAAAATTGAAGAGACTGGAATAATCAGCGTTGTGGAAGACGACAAGGTGACCGAAATTAAAGTCGCTGTTAAGGAATATGACGTTACCTGTGCCCCATCCGAATTATCCAAAATCAAGCAAACTCTGAAATACGTGGAAGTAAAACCGAAAAAGGTAGAGATTTGTCACAAAGATGATTTGCCTTCGCTGGGACCATCAGGACTGAACAAGCGTAAGTTACCTGCAAAGCAGATAAAGGAGGTTAAATTTCCAAAAATACGACTTAAAAGTAGAATTCGCTTTATAGTATTTCCACCCGAAAATGAGAAAGAACAACAAGCCATCGTGACAATTTTGGCTCCATGTATTAAAGATCGCGGTGAATTATCCAGGAATGCATCAGAAGCGGAAAAAGTTCTCAAGCGTAAAAAACTCAAAAAGTTTAAAGATATAGAATACGAAAGTCCAGAATTAGAGAAACCGGAAGAATATGATCAGCTGGAAAAACCTGAGAAGTCGGTTCCCGAAGAAAAGGAGAAATACAAAAGGAAAAGTCCTAAAGAAAGCAAGCCCCAACAAGAAACTATAGATCTGCAGTTGGGAAAAGGCAACATTCCCGAAGAAGTTGATGACAGTGAACAAGTCAATCTTAAAAAAATTCCGAGGAGAGATCAGAAAATCCCCGAAGACGAAAAAGTTAAGCGGGAAAAGGAAGTTTCACCTTCTAAAAAACGTGTGGGAGACAAACCCGATCGCGAAGAGTCACCAATGAAATTTGAGGGCCGCGATATCGACAAAGAAGATATCGATAGAGAATTTCCGAATAAATTCGAAAAAGAAGGCGAAGAACAGTTAATCCAAGATGATAATAAAAAATACATGAGGAAACCGAAAAAGAAAACAATACCCGAAACGGATAGCACCGAAATTAAAGAAGGAGTTCCGAAACCAAAACAGTCTCCTGAAGATGAGGATGTAAAATTTAAAATCTTCCAAGGCCCGAAATCAGATGAACTTAAAGATGACATCAAGTTGAAACCATTTATTAAGCAAGTTGAAGAAGAACCGACGTATAAAACTCATGTTGAACAGTTGAAATTTTTAAAATCATTTGTTTACGAACTGCCCGAAGAAGAAATGTTTATTACAGAAACTTCACCGGAAGGAACAGCGGTTAAGAAAATCAAAACTAGGAGGATAATAAAAAAACGTCGCGGTCCTATCGAGGAGACTACAGCGATTGAGAAAATTACACCTGAACACGGGATTCCTGAAACATCAGTATCGATCAGCGAGGAAGTTATTCGAGAAGACGAGCATATTCCATTTGACGCATTAGAATTGACGGAACTTCCTGAACAAGTAAGTCTAATAAATCAAGAAGTTGAAGGATCGGTAACCACTAAACATTTGAAGAAGCGAAAACTGATTAAAAATAGAGGACAAGAAAGTGAAACAACTGAAATTATTACCCTCGAAGAGGAAAACAAAATTCCAGAAATAATTGTTACTGTGTACCCCGAAGAGATTTTAGACGAGGAAGATTTTAAGCAGCTAGAACCTAAAATACCAAAATCTGATAAACCACTGGTTCTGGAAATGCCGGAAACGGTTACTTTGACTGTGACAAAACCTTCTCTAGATACAAAAATTAAAACGATAACGCATACAAAGAAATATAAGAAGATTCATAAACCCAAACAAGAAGTGATAACAATAACAACTACGGAAGAAGAGGATAAAGCACCCGTAACCCAGGTATTGGTAACGGAAGCAGAACCTGATCTAGAAGACATTAACAATGCGCATCTAGTTGAAGAGTTGCCTGCTATAACTACGTACGAAGAAATAGTTATCGACGGTATACAAAGACAACGAAAAATTGAAAAAAGACGGTTCAAACGAAGAGACGGTGACAAAAATCAGATAACTGAAATCAACACTGTCGAGGACGGCGTAGGTCCAACCAAAATAGAAACAGCAGTATACTACAATGACATCGGTGAGGAAGACATCCCTACCGACAGTTCAGTGGTAATTTTTGAACTCCCTGAAGATGTAACAGTAACTGAAGAACCACGCAAACGCAGCACAAGAACGAGAACCCTGAAAAAAATTTCTAGTCCTAGGCAGGAAATTACCACGATTGATACCGTTTATGAAGAAAGCAAAAAACCTCAAACAACGGTCGCTACTCGCGAAATACAAGAACTGAACGACATCCATCAAGGCAATCAAGTATTGGAGACTCCCGAAGAAATTCTTATAGAAAATTTTACGCAAACCCAAATCATCAAGAAACGGTTCGTTAAAAGAAAAGATGGCAAAATAGAGACCACTGAATTGAAAACAGTACAACACCAAGATAAACTTCCAGTTACATCAATTACCACATACACTTCGGATATACAACAGGTCGAACCTGCCCACATACATAAAGCTAAAACACGCAAAACGAAACTGAAACCCACAGTCACACCACACAGTGAATTAGAAATCACCGACCTACACGCTCTCGAGCAAACACGGGAACTAGGTGAGAATATATATTATATAACAATTTTAATCCAATCCAATTCATATTATATTTCAATGTTTTCTTGTATATGCCGTTCTTAATTCTACGATATTTTAGGTCCACTTGATACGAAAACACAAAAGTCGAAAGGTGTACTGGTACAGGATTTGAAAGAATCGGTGACGATAGAAACAGTTGAATCTCAACGTCCCGTACAAGATGTGCCCCTTATTGAGGAATTTCCCGAAGAAATTGAACAACTTGAAAGTGTAGGCGAAAACGGCGAGATCAGAAAGAAAACTATCAAGAAAAAATTGATTCGTAAACGGAAAAATGGAGTACAAGAAGATACTCATATCGTTAGAATAGAGGAAGAAGGTCAACCAATGCATTCTACTGTTACCATTCAAGAAGTTCCTGTACCAGAAGATAGCACAGAACAAGTTTGCAGCGAAACAACCTACATTGAAGAACTTCCTGAAGAAGAAATTGTTACGGAAATTGACACTGAAGAGGGACCAAAGAAAAAAGTATTCAAGAAGAAAACATTTAAGAAAAAAAGAGGCAGTAAAGTTGAATCTACCGAAATTTTCACGGTATATGAAGAAGGTAAGGAACCAGAAACATCGGTTACCATTCATGAAATTGAAGATGAGATCAAACCCCAAGAGGCGCAAATAGTAGAAGAGGTAGTCGAAGGCAAGAAAGTGATTCGAAAGAAAATAACTAAAAAAAATAAAGACAGCAAAATTGCAGAAATGGACACAGAGACCATTGCGGAACTTGAAGCTACTGTTTTAGTACCTGAAGAAATAACTATTCCAGAATCTGTTTATGTCGAAGAACTTCCGGAACAGGTAGAGGTACAGGAAGTTAAGAGCCGCTGGGGACCTAAGAAGAAAATAATTAAAAGGCGAATTATTAGAAAGCGCAAAGGAAACAAAGTAGAAGACACTCACATCATAACAGTCGAGGAAGAGGGCAAAAAGCAAGAAACATCTGTAAGTATTGAAGAAATCGAATTACCCCAAGACGAGAGCAAGACGCTGACTACGGTTAAGCCTGACGAAGGCACAATTATAGAAGAAACTCCAGAACAAGTAATTGTAACAACAGTCGATACGCATGCAGGTCCAAAAAAGAAAGTTATTAAGAAAAAAGTATACAGGAAGAGAAAAGGAAGTAAACAAGAAGACACTGAAATCGTCACTGTGGAGGAAGAAGACAAAAAACCTGAAGTGACGGTAGTTGTTAAGGAAACCAAAGTTAAGGATACAAAGAAAAAAATTACCAAAAAAATTTGCAAACCGCATGAAGAATTGATAACTGAAGAAGGGTACTTGTATGTTCCCCTACTGGCGCAAAAAGATCAGATTGAACCGAATGAAGTTATCGACATGGTACAAATGGAACTGGTCAAAAAGGCACTTGCAAAGCAGGTTCCAGAACACGTTGATATGATAGAAGAAGAAATGGAAGAGGTTAAAGAAAAGGTAAAGAAATCAAAGAGTAAAAAACCTGTGAATGTGAAGGAAATTGATATACCACTGCCCCTCCTTGCAGAAGAATTTCCGGAAGAGATACAAATTGTTCAGAAAATTTCCGAAGAAGGCGTTCCGACAACTAAAATAATTAAGAAAAAAGTTATCAAAAAACGCAAGGGTAGTAAAGATGAGCACATTCAAATATTTACTGCGGAAGAAGAGAATAAAGAGCCGGAAACAACAGTAGTTATTGAAGAAATTGATATTCCTGAGGATCAAATGCGAGAACTGGAACAAATTCGACCCGAGAGATGTGTCATTGTTGAAGAAATACCGGACAAACTTGAAATTGTACCAACGACCGAAGGTCCTCGGCAAAAAACAATTAAAAAGAGAATTATTAAGAAACGACGGGGAAGCAAACAAGAAACTACTGAACTCGTAGTTTATGAAGAGGAAGGTAAAACTCCTGAAGGTATCGTCACAATTGAAGAGTTGGAGTACCCCGAAGTTGAAGTGGAAAAATTACCCGATGCAGAAGAAGAAGAACCAATGATTGTGCTGGAGCTGCCTGAAACTGTTCAAACATATACGGACAATACAGTTACGAAAACACTAACCAAGAAGACAACCAAAACACGAAAAGGCGGTAAGCAAGAAACCAAGCAAGTATTTACTGTTGAGGAAGAAGGTAAAAATCCAAAAACGTCCATAATTATAGAAGAAATTACCATTCCTGAAGAAATTGTTGAAAACCTCACCCTTCCCCAAATTAAAAAAGTTAAGCCCAAACAGCCCGTATTTGTTGAAGACCTCGAAAAAGTTGAGATAGTGCAAGTAAGTGTGAAAGAAGGGCCAAAGAAAAAAGTTATCAAAAGCAAAGTAATTCAAACAGATGATATAGCACCAATCAAACCGAAAATCGAAGAGAAAGAATGGCAAATCGGCGAAGAAATGCCAGAAGAAATACGTATAGTCAAACATGAAACGGATCACGAAGGAACTGGAAAAAAAGTAGTGAAAAAGAGAGTAATACGTGCCAGAAAAGATAGTAAACATGAAATTACGCAAATATTCACCGTGGAAGAAGAAGGTCAAGAGCCCAAAACGTCGGTGGTTATCGAAGAAATATATTTACCAGAGGAGATAGTTAGAGAGTTGCCTTCAATTCAACCAGATTGCAGTGTAGTTATTGAAGAATTAGACACTGCAAAATCTGAAACAGACAGAGAAAAGGTAAGAAAGAAAGTAATAAAGAAACGAAAAGGCAGTAAACAAGAAACTACAGAAATTGTAATCTATGAACAAGGTGATAAACCTGAGACATCTGTAACTATTGAGGAAATTGATGTACCAGAACAAGTAGTAGAGGAACTCCTCGTCCCACTTTCAGAAGAAGCAATAATCATAGAGGAACTGCCAGAAGAAATAACGACCGTTGATGAAACGAAAACTAAATCCAAAAAGGTTATTAAAAAGCGACGAGGAAGTAAACAAGAAGTAGTACAAACTACCATCATCCAAGAAGTTGGCAAAAAGCCAAAATCGTACGTTTTAATTGAAGAAATTGAAATTCCAGAAGACATTTTAGAAGAATTAGAAACGCCGAAACCTGCTTCCACCAAACCAATATTTATCGAAGACCTCAGCGGAAAAGTGGAAATTACTCAAACCAAAGTACTGGAAGGACCGAGGAAGAAAACTATAAAATCTAAAGCAAAGAAATTACCTGATGAAAAACAAATTCCACTTCTGATAGCCGAAGAAATGCCCGAAGAAATTAAAGTAGTGGAAGAAATTAATGAAGAGGGTGATTCTCAAAAGAAAATAATCAAAAAGAGAGTTATTAAATCCAGAAAAGGGAAAAAAGAAGAGGTTACCCAAATAGTTACAGTGGAAGAGCCAGGAAAGACGCCTCAAACTTCAATTATAATTGAAGAAATTGAAGCACCACAGGACACATCCCGCATCGAATTTGACGAGGTCCAACCAGTAATTATTCAGGAAATCCCAGAGCAAACCGAAATTATTGATACGGAAACTGGCGAAGGACCCCAAAAGATTAATATTAAGAAAAAAATAATAAGGAAACGCAAAGGAAGTAAGCAGGAATCTACAGAAATTATTGTCATGGAAAAAGAAGGTAAACAACCAGAAATAACAATGACGATACAAGAAACCGAAGCACCTGAAGAAATTTTGGAGCTAATGCCCATTCAGCCGCAAGAGCCCATTATAATTGAAGAATTTCCCGAAGAAATTCAGGCCGATAGTACCAAAGTTACAAAGAAGAAAGTCATCAAGAAACGAAAAGGTGGCAAGCAGGAATCTATAATATCTGTTACAGTAGAAGAGGAGGGTAAAACTCCTGAAACTAATGTCGTGATAGAAGAAATTGATATCTCACCTGATGTTCTAGAAGAACTCCCTCAAAACTTTTCAGAAACACCAGTATTTATCGAAGATATCTCAGACAAATTAGAGTTTTCCGACGTTGTTGTGGAGGAACATCCTGGGAAAAAACTAGTTCGAAAACGTGTGACTAAGAAAACTGAAAAGGAAGAAATACCGGAGCCTGTAATCGAACTTCCAGAAAAAATTGAAATATTAGAAGATGATAAGGGTCAAAAGAAAATCATCAAAACTAGAGCTCTGAAAAAGAGGAGAGGAACGAAAGAGGAAACAACGCATATTGTCACAGTAGAAGAAGCAGGAAAAACTCCACAAACAACAGTAACGATTGAACAAACTGAAATCTCCGATGACGAAAAGAAAGAACCGGAATATATTGAAGAGCTTCCGGAGCAGGTTGAGGTTGAAGAAACCAAAGGAAGATGGGGCCCAGAAAAGAAAACAGTAAGAACCAGAACAATTAGAAAACGCAAAGGAAGTACACAAGAAGATACGCACATAGTTACCATCGAACAAATCGGTAAACAACCAGAAACGTCGATTGTTATTGAAGTGACAAAGGTGCCCGACGAGCTAACGCCCCGACAACAAGAAGGAAATATCATTGAGCTTCCAGAAGAAGTCAAAATAATCGAGACGGTTACTCCACAAGGTAGTGTAAAACAAATTCAGAAAAAAAGGGTAATTAAAAAGCGGAAGGGAGACCAAGAACACACTACAGAAATATTTGTCGTGGAAGAAGAAGGCAAAGAGCCTCAGACAACAGTCACAGTGGAAGAAGTCGAAATACCCAACGTGTCTGAACTTTCTACAGCTAAATCTATGGAGGAGCTCCCAGAGGACGTCAAAGTTGAAATTATTATCGACCAAGGCAAACCGAAAAAGAAAGTAACCAGAAAACGCAGGATTACAAAACCTAAAGGCGACAGAGAGGAAATTACCGAAATTGTTACTGTTGAAGAGGAAGGCAAACAGCCGGAAACGACTGTGGTAGTAGAAGAGATTGAATCCTCAGAAAGAACGAAAAAGAAAATTCCAAAGCAGAAACCAAAACAAAAAATTCCATTACGGAGAGAAATCTCTGTTCTTATGCCGATAGAGAGAAAAGAAATACAGCCGCAAAAGTTGAAAATTGTTGATGCGAAAGACCTTCCACTTTTCGGCGAAATTAAACTAAAAAAACCCAAGACTACTCCCCAAAAGAAAGACACATCAGTGAAATTGCAAAAAATTATGCTTAAAAGTAGAATGAAGCTGATAGACTTTCCACCAGGTACGGAAAAGGAACAACTTCCTCGAATCTCGATTCTCGAACCAGTTTACAGAGACAATGGCGTTCTATCGCGAAATGTTCATGAAGCCGAAAAAGCCCCTAAAACTAAAAAGAGGCGTTTGAAGGACAAAGATCTGGACCTAAAGAAACTAGAACAACTCGATATTGAAATGGACGAACTGAAAAAGAAGGAACTTGAAAAAGTCGATGAATTGGTATTTGAAAAACAACCCAAAAAGAAACCTACAGATGAAGAAGAAATGCCTAAAAAACTAAAAATCGGAAAAGGCAAAGTACCAAAGCCTAAAGAAGAAGGTGAAGAAGTGGTTTTGAAAAAAGTACCGGAACAACCTATTGACAAAATAGACGAATCTGAAACCAAACCTAATCAAGAAGAAACCTCCATACGCAAACCCGCGTCTAAGAAGAAAGAAAAGGAAGAGGACAAAATCAAGTTTGAACCCTTCGACCGGGAATACGAAAGTCCCGAGCTCGAAGAATACGAACCCCTTAAACTGGATGATGAAGAAAATGATGAAAGTACAAAAGAAAAACCCAAAATTCCCAAAAAGAAAAAAGTTAAGCCGCTGCCACAAACCCAAGAGTCGATTATTGAACTTGGAAAACCACAGCCTCCGAGAGATGACGAAAAAGAAGAAATAGATCTCAAATATAAACAAAAGCCTAAACCTGAAGAAATCGTAGAGAAACCAAAATTAAAACCTCATAGGAAAGAAGCCGAAGGAGAAGAATACAAAGTCAAAATAGACTCAGTAATGAAGCATGACACGATAGTAACTTTCGAGGGAGACGATATCGAGCAAGAAACTGTGCCCATCGAGGATAACGAAAAGCCGCGAAAAAAAGTAGTTAAGAAAGTCAAACGTAAACCTTCCGGTGAAAACATTTCTGAAGAAACGCCAGAAGACGTACATGTTGTAGAGGGGGTTGAGATCCCGAAGGAGAAAGCTGTCGAAATATTTGTTCGGACTGAAGAATCTATTGAACTGAAGGATGAAACTATGGCTGAAGATATTGAAAAGCTTAGTAAGAAAAAGAAGATAATTAAGAAGAAAATTGGTAAAACTGATGACGTCACTCCGAAAGTCGAAGAAGAATCAACGCCTAAAAAAACACAGAAAACAACGCCAAAATTAATGCAAATTGAAATCAAAGACGTTACACCACAATTTGCGCAAGTTACTACCTCACAGGAGGTTATCAAATTGGCGGAAATTAAATTAAGGAAACCAAAGGTTTCTAAGAATAAAGATGAACCTACTTCAAAGTTCCCACGATTTTTACTCAAAAGCCGAATAGAACACGTGCCATTCCCCCCAGCCAACGAGAGCGAAAGAATTCCACAAACTACTCAACTGCCTCCCGTTTACAAAGACAGCGGTGAGCTTTCTCGCAATGTGGAAGAAGCCTCTAAAATACCCAAAAAGAAAAAAATCAAAATAAAAGATTATGAAAGGGAGCTAAAAGATTTGGAAAAACTGGATATCGAATTTGAGGAATCTAAGAAAAAGGACATTGAAACTGTAGACAAAGAATTATATGCCAGACCAGAGAAAAAAACCAAAAAAACTGAAGAAGAGGAAAAAAAGCTGATTCTTGGAAAAGGGAAACTATCCGAACAAGCGAAACCAGACGAACCGGTTAAACTAAAGAAAGTTCCTAAAACGGAGGAACCTGAACTAAGCCCCGAAGAGGATCAAGTTCCAAAACTGAAAGCAGAAGACCATGACACTTTCAAGAAATTAGAAAAAGAACAATCGAGTTTATTGCCATTCGAACCTTATGACATAGGGGATGACGAATTAGAAAAGGAAGAGCTAGATTTTCCTAACATTTTGGAAAAAGATAAGAAAATCAAGAAACCAGAAAAATCCGAAAAAGTCAAAAAGAAAAAACAAAAGCCAGAACAAGATGTTATTGCAGCGGAAATTATTACAGGAGTTCCGAAACCCAAAGACGACGAAGAGAATCCCTCAATAACGCTTAAAACAAAACAAGGACCGCCGTCCAAAGAAGAACCAGACGGTATAAAATTAAAACCATTTAAAATCGATGAACAAGAAGAAGTATTCAAAGTTGGTGTAGAAACTATCATGAAGCATGACACAATCGTTAGCTATGAAGGAGAAGACCTTGAAATGACAATACAACCCAAAGATGAGGAGATAGTAACAAAACAAAAGAAAAAAATTATTAAAAAAGTTAAAAAACCCAAAGAAGAGTTAGCTAGCGTCGAAGGTAAAGAAAAGACGGAAGAACCAGAGGAAATTCTACAACCAGACACGAAAGATACTACACAGGGAACAGCAATAACAATTGAAGAAGCTAAACCCATAGAGGAAGAACACAAAGAAGGTAAGCCAACAGAAATATCAGATGAAACTCAATTACCCCAAGAGGAACTCGTAAAAGAAAAATCTAAGAAAAAAGTCAAGAAAACCAAATTGAAAGAGATTTCCGAAGAAATTCCAGTACCCATCAGCGCAACCCCAGTCAGAATGATAATTAAACGCATACCAGCAGAAAAACCTCAACTTCCAATAATCACTGAAGTAAAACCGGAATTTGCAGAAATCAAACTAAAGAAAGTAAAAGCGGTTGAAAAAAAATCCGTTCCAGAAAGTTTAGTACCAAAAGTTTTGCTAAAAAGCAGATTACAAATACTTGAATTTCCTCCGTTTGGCGAAAAAGAGCAAAAGCCCGTTATAACTGTTCTGAAACCTGTGTACAGGGACAACGGAATCATATCTAGAAATGTCGAAGAGGCTGCACAAGTAAAACCTAAGAAAAAGAAATTAGTTACTAAACTAAAGACGCTTGAAAAAATCGATAAAGAATTTGAAGAACTCAAAAAACCGCTCGAAGAGGTTGACGATGAGTACAAAAAGCGGCATGAGAAAAAGCCCAAAGAAAAACCGATAATGATGAAGATAGTCCGTGTTGAAATGAGGATGCAAAAATCGAAAATCATTGATTTAGCACCAGAAATTGTGAACTTGGCCGAAGTTAAACTCAAAAAGCCGAAATCTACTCAAGTTAAGGAACCCGTCGAATTAAAGATCCCTAAAATAAAACTGAAAAGCAGAATTGTGTGGATAGAATTTCCACCTCAAGTCAACAACCTAGAGGTAACCGAAATCGGAGCAGTCAGAGATAGCGGAACTCTTTCCAGAACTATAGAAGAAGCCGAAAAATTGATTAAAATTAAACGGAAAAAACCTAAACATGTGAAAAAAGAACCAGTAGAACTTGAAATACTGGATGTTGATTACGAAAAACCCGAGAAGCCCAAACCAGAAGAGATTGATGAATCAGACACATACAAAAGAACAGCTAAAGAAAAACCAGTGGAAAAAGAACCCGAACCAATTACAATCAAACTTGGAAAAGGTAAGATGCCTCCTGGGGAAGAAGAAGAGGAATCAGTAACGCTAAAGAAAATCCCGGAAAAGTCCGTTATCGAAAGCCCCGAACAAGAAGTTAAACTCAAAAAGAAACCGACAGAGGAAAAGTCCTCTGAAGAGGAAAAACCTGATACGATTGACAAGCCAGAATTTAAGCCTTTCGATATTTCCGGTGAAAAGCCAGATGATTTTGAACTAGAACTTCCTCAAGAAGAAACTGAAGTAGAAGAAGACTTGCCTAAACTCAAAAAGAAATATAAACCTAAAAAGAAGGAGAAACCAGTACCAGAGGTAGAAACGATTACCTTACAACCGGGAGTTCCTAAGAAGCCCGAACCCCAAGAAGAAACGGACATTAAATTGAAAGCCCCGTCCAAGAACAAACCCGAAGAAGATGTTGACGCAATAAAATTAAAACCTTTCACGAAACCTCCAGATGAAACTGACACTTTTACCACATCCAATGATGAGGGTGAGCAGCCACAAATTGCCACAGTAGTAGAAAATAAAGAACTCGAAGAGACCAACATTTCTGTTAAAAAAATCAAAAGAAAGGCTCCCAAAACAAAGACCGACAATAAAATCGACGAGGCACCGCAACCGAAAGAGTTCGCAGAAAACATAGAAGAAGAAACAGTACCCGTGGACAAATTGGGAAAAGTTGACGAAATAACCCTCAAACCAAAAGCGCGAAAATTACAAAATGAAAACACAAAACCGGCCAAACTTCCAAAACTAAAAAGTAGAATCGTACACGTTGATTTTCGCCCGCTTTCGGAATCTGAACAAATTCCAATATTAAGCGAGCTTGGATCTGTCGCCAAAGATAACGGAATTCTATCCAGAAATGTGGAAGAAGCAAAGAAGGTGAAAAAGACAAAACCACGGAAATTAAAAGATGTGGATAACGAAATATCTAAGTTGGAGCAATTGGATCTCGAATTTGATAGTTTGAAAAAGAATGAGCTAGAAAAAGTTGACGACGAATTTAAATACAAAAGCGAACCAAAACAAAAACCGAGTAAACCAGAAGAAAAATTGAAAATCAAAGTTGGGAAAGGAAAAATTCCAGAGAAAACAGAGGACGATGAAACTACCACACTCAAAAAGATACCGAAAATGATAGACGTGGACGAGGCAGAGAAAGTAAATATTGAACCACAAGAAAATATTCAAATCGAGTCTAAAGAAATTAAAGATTTAGATCAACCACCAAGAGAAGAAAGTCCTCAACTAGAGCAGATTGTGGAAAAACGAAAGAAGGATAAAGTAAAACCTAAAAAGGAGAAGAAAGAAAAAGAGGATGAGAAAAAGCCCGATATTGAAACAGAAGAACTTGAAAAAGCCGAAATTCCAATACAAACAGAAATAACTAAAAAGTCTGTCAAAATTAAGAAGCCAGAGGAGAATGAACAGAAAAAGCCAAAGATCCGTCCATTGCTCAAGAGCAGAATCGTTTTCATTGAATTCCCTCCACAATTAGAATGTGAACGGAAACCTCTTGTTAAAGCACTGGAACCAACTATTATAAATAACGGAAATTTATCTAGGAACGTTGACGAAGCTACCAAAGTTAAACCAAAGAAGAAAAAACAACCGGTGGAACCAAAATTAGAACATCTTGACGAGTTAGACAAAGAACTAGAAGATCTTAAAAAAGGGCGTGAAAAGGTGGACGACGACTATAGAAAGAGGCCCGAAAGACCCAAAAAACAAAAATTAACACCGATGAAAATAGTAATGGTTGAAGTGCGTTCGCAAAAACCAAAAGTAATTGACTTAACACCGGAAGTGGTAAATTTAGCGGAAATTAAACTTAAAAAGCCTATTAATAAAACCGATACTAAAGAGCCCAAGGAGCTTCGAATACCAAAGTTGAAACTTAAGAGCAGAATCAATTGGGTTGATTTTCCGCCTCTATCTGAGGTACTTCAACCCCTGCAGGTTACAAATATAAATGCTGTGAAAGACAACGGCATAATATCTCGAAACGTTGAAGAAGCGGAAAAGATCAAGAAAACAAAACGAAGAAAACTCAAAGATGTCGATACAGAATTAACAGAGTTGGAAAAACTAGATTTGGAATTCGATGAACTTAAGAAAAAGGAACCGGAGAAAGTGGACGAAGCATTTAAATACGAGAGAAAGCCCAAAGACACACCTGAAAAACAAGAGGAATCACAACCCTTAATTATTGGCAAAGGAAAACCAAAGAAGCCAACGGAGAAAGACGAGGAGGTCCCTAGGCTGAAAAAGAAGCCCGAAAAATCCGAACGGGAGGAAGATGAAGATATTGTAAAAGAAATAATTGTTAAGCCTGATGAAAAGGGAACAAAAGAAAAAGAATTAAGAGAAAAGCCTGAAGGCCCCGAGTTTGAACCGCTGGAATTTAAAGATAAAGAAACCGATAGAGACGTTTATGAGCCGCCAGAAATTGAAAAACCGGATAAGCATCTTCAGGACAAACAAAAAAGGATAAAGAAAATTAAGAAAGAAAAAGAACCTCTCGAAGAATTGTCGGAAGCTGTTCTAGTGAAGAAAATTCCAAAGGAAATTACTCCTAATGAAGACGAAGAGTTTAAATTTAAGGCCCCTCAGAAACCTAAGCCTGAGGAAAAAATTGAGGAATTAAAGCTTAAACCCATTAAAAAGTTAGATGAAGAATGCGAATATGAGATTGTTAAAATGGTAGAGCAGGAGCAGCCCCAAGAATCCAAAGTAATATTTATCCGGCCAGACGATGATATTGAATCAAATTATCCAGAACAAAAAGAGAAGAAAGTAAAAAAGAAGAAAAAAAGTATTCCTGAAAAAGACGATCAAGGAAAACCTAGCGATATAATAGATCAAAAGGCAGTAACAGACATTGAAAATACAGAGAAGCCAATAGATGAGGAAGTGCCAGTTCAATTTGTATTGAAAAAATCGAAACCAGATATTGTGGCAGAAACTCCAGAGGAAACTCAAGTTTCAATGAAACTAAGAAAACCAACAGAACCAGAAGAGGTAGAAGCCGAACTAGAAACCGTCTTAGTAAAGAAAACACCAGTCGAAGAAGTGGAAGTCAAAGAAGAAATTTTAGTACAGCCAAAGGAAGAAACCGAAATTATAGAAGAAAAAACAATAATTAAAACGAAGAAAATTAAAAAACCTAAACCATCCAAAGACATTTTGGAACAAAAAGGGGAAGAGAAAAAACCGATTGTAACCACGGACGAAGAAAAGCCCAGGCCAACGCTGGAAGAGAGCGAAAAGCCTTCAATTACTATCGAGGAAATAAAGCCAGATGAAGTAGATCAAACAACGAACACAGCAAAGGAAGAACCTATAGTAGAGGAGCCTCAGGAAGAAACAAGTTTACCAGAAGAACCAGAACTGGTGACCAAACCGGAACAATCAACAATTGAGGAAGTTGTGGTCATCAAACGGAAGAAACCAAAAGAAACACCTAAAGGGGAAACAGAAACCGAAGTTCTGGTTTCAAAACCAAAACCTAAAAAGGAGGAAACTAGTGAGGTAGCTGCAGAAGTTCTTTTAAAAGAAAAGGAAGATCTTACAATCAAACAGGAACCCTTAGATACAGAAGCTGAATTCACTATTTTAGAACCTGAACAGGAGATTACCCCAGAAGAGATTTCCGTTCAAATTATCAAGAAATTAGAACCGAAGAAAGAATCTGAGGCAGATGTTACGGTCCCTAAACCGAAGGAACAAAAAGAAAAAGGTGATGAAGTAAAGGTAACAATAGCGGAACCGATCCCAGAAGAAGAAGTGATAATAAAAAGAAAAAAGGCAAAGAAACCAATTATAAGCGAAGACGGAGAGGATGTTGCATTCACCATTAAGAAACAGGTACCAGATGAAGAAGGCGCAGATTATCCAAAAGAAGAAGGGTCCATCAAAATTACAATACCTAAACCGATCAAGTCAGTGTCTGAAGAAGCTGCCGATGAAGTCAACATTGTCATTACTGAAGTAGTACCTACCGAAAAGGAAATTGAAAAAGTCCAACCAGAGGAGGTAAAACCCAAAAAGGATAAGGAGTTGCCAAAAGTTGACGCGGAATTGAAAAAATCGCCGGCTGATAAAAATGAAGAGTCACAACTAGAAGCGAAAAATAAATTATATTTGGACAAACCATCCTCGGAAGAATTAACCATAACCAGTAAGCCAGAAGAGGTTATGAAACCGAAGACTAGTTCAGAAGAAGCGCAACCAGAGAAATTGATAGACGAAGATGAAATATCTGTTAGAATCAAAAAACCTTCAGATGAAGAAGCAGACATTGTAATTAAAAAACCAACATCAAAAGGAACGGAAGATACAGGTGATGCTGAGCTGAAAGTAGTCAAATTTGTGCCCACTGAAGAAAGCAATGAGTTAACGGAAAGTCCAGCAATAACTCTCAAAAAGCGGAAGCCTCTTCTAGAAGAAAATCAAGATGAAAAGGAGGTCAGTGTCAAATTTAAATCAGCACCTGAAGAAGACACTGAAGCAATTATTAAACCAAGCAAAAAGGGCGAAAGACCAAATGATGAAGGCGAAGCCGACATAACGATCAAAAAGCATGTCCCTCTCTCTGAAGAAGAAACAGAAGTAAAGAAGAAGGAACCCGAACCCGAAGAAGCTGAATTTTCTATGAAAAAACCAAAAGTTAAACCCATTATTGACGAAGAGGATGAAACTGCGATTAAAAAATATGTTCCAGTATCTGATGAAGAAACCGATGATGTTTCTATTAAAAAGCCTGCCGACGATGTTTCCCAGGAAATATCAATTAAGAAAAAGAAGCCTAAGGAAAAGTCTGCAGAAGAAGAAACTGAGACAACAGTAATCAAATTCTTACCTACAGAAATTCCAGTTAAACCAGAAGATGAAGAAGTTCAAGAACAAGTTGTTATAAAGAAGCCTAGCAAACCAGAAGGCAAAACTGAAGAAGTTGAGTCTGAAATCACTATCAAAAAGAAAGAGCCAAAGGAAGACAAAGAAGAGGCTGAATTTAAAATGAAGAAACTACCCACAAGAGAGCCTGTCTCCGAAGAGGCAGCAGAGGCAACAGTAATTAAATTCTTACCGACCGAACCTGCAACTAGACCAGAAGATGAAGAAATTCAAGAACAAGTTGTTATAAAGAAACCACGCAAGCCAGAAGGCAAAACTGAGGCAGTTGAATCTGAAATAACTATAGAAAAGAAAGAGCCAAAGGACGAAAATGAAGAGGCCGAACTTAAAGTGAAGAAACTACCCACGAAAGAACCAGTATACGAAGAAGCAGCAGAGGAACTTACCATTAAAAAACTCAAACCTGTAAGGAGACCATCAGAACCTGAAGAAGCCGAGATTAAAGAAGAAGAACCGATCAATGTTACATTTAGGCCAAGATCAACTAAAACCAAAGAGGAAGTCGAGCAGGAATTCAAAATATCTTTAGATTCATATGCGGAAGAAGAAATAAGCTTGTCTTCGAAAATCAAACTTAAAAAACCTAGGAAAAAGCCGACATTTTCTGAAGAAGCAGCGGAGGAATCAGTGAAAATTATTGAGGAGGTAGAAAGTGAAGGACCCGCAATCGAGGAAATCATCGACGAAGGCAGCGAGGCTGAAGAATTACCGGAAGACGACGAAATATCTGAAAGCTTCCACATGGTTTTCAAGAAAAAGCAACCGCGGAAATATTCGGTCGTTCAGGAGGACGAAGAGGACGTTAGCCTTAGCCTAAAAGCACCAGTTAAGAAAATTGAAGATTTCGAAGAAACAGAAGGTGTTATTAAAATTAAACCAAGGAAGAAGGAGTCCATTTCATATGACCAAGGTAAGTTACTTACCTTCCAAATAATTGTCAATTTTTGGTAACGCACTTTTTATTTTTGTATAGAAGCAGCATCATTAAGTATTACGCAGGAAAAAGAGGTTGAGAAAATTACCATAATCCACGAGGAGGAGGTACAAAAAGGAGACGTTTACTATTCAGTCACTTTCTACGATGCAGAGGCGGAACAAGCCGTAGATTTAGTTGAGGGCGAAAAGGTATACGTAGTGGAGGCTCAAGGCGATTGGTGGTTCGTTAAAAAGCATCTGACGGAAGATAGCGGCTGGGTGCCTTGTCACATTTTAATGGACGAGCCCCAGTATATTGAGTTTGTGCAAAAGAAATTAAACGAAAAGATTGACAAGCTGCCTGTGTTAGAAAGTAAGTGATAGATTGACTGCAAAAAGTAAAAATTTATTTTTTTTATTATTTTAGACGGTTATTGTCATAAATCCTACCATATAATATTCATTTTATTTTTCAGAACCAAGACCACATGAAACAACTAAAGCACCAAAGTTCATCGAAAAACTTAAACCAATTACTACACAAGATGGTTTCACTGCCCACTTTGAGTGTAAGGTAGAAGGCTATCCCAGGCCTCAAATTACGTGGTTCCGACAGACACACATAATCAAGTCTTCGAACGAGTTTCAAATGTATTATAGCGAAGAAAATGATGCGACCTTAGTAATTAAAGAAGTATTCCCTGAAGACGCAGGCACATTCACTTGCGTCGCTAAGAACTCCGCAGGTTTTGCATCTAGCACCGCAGAATTAATAGTGGAGGGACCGTTATCCTCTCACGGATCTGAACGAACACATTCCATTTCTAGGAAGAGTCTATCACGAACTTCCTCTGTGGGAGATCTGATCGAAGGAATGCCTCCCGTGTTTTCTAAGAAACCTAAACCTCAAAGCGTTCCGGAGGGAATGGACGTCACTGTGGATGCCAAACTGGTCGCCATACCTGAACCAGAAGTTAAATGGTACCGCAACGGCAAGAAAATAGCAGCCAAAGGAAATGTGACCGTAATGACGACTTCTGAAGAACATAACTTGACTACCGTATTAAGAATTAAGGAAGTAGAAAAGGATCAGGAAGGTAAATATAAGATAACAGCGAAAAACAGCGAAGGTCAGGCAAGCGTTGAATTCACATTGAAAGTGCGAACGACGGAGAAGGAACCTCCAGAAATAATTGAACCACTCGAATCACTCACCATCAGGAAATATGAGACTGTTATTTTAAGCACCACTATTAGCGGTAATCCAGAACCAGCTGTACAATGGTTCAAAAATGGTAAAATTCTGGACGAACCGTCGCCGAGAAGAAATGGTGACACCTATACAGTCACTATAAAAAATGCCCAACTTGACGATACTGCTGAGTATACAGTTAAGGCTAGAAATCTTATCGGATCGGCAGAGACCGGCGGCTTCCTTACGGTCAAAGGTAGGTGATAAAGCGCGTCGCAAAATCTCTGAAAAATTTAACAGGAACTGAGGCTTTTGCTTTTAGAAATGGGTTTTGCTTAAGTTCTAATAGCTGGAGAACACAAAAAAATGTTCAATCGCCTCAGCACTTTCTCGATTTAAAACGCTGCCTTTTTGTTGTGCCTTATTTACTATTTTCAGCGCTACAAGAAATCTGCTTTTCGCCAATCCAGTTGCTTATTGCCGGGTTCAGCTACTACTGCTTTGTAACAAATAAATGTTATTTTGAGTAGCTAGGCTTTTTATTTAAAACGCCTATAATGCATTCCCGGCTATGCTAAACACTAAATCAAGCTATTCGAATTATTTTAAGAATTTCTTTTTTTGTTTAGAATTTCCTGAAGACGCTGAACCGCCACTATTCATAAAACGGTTCGAAGAACAGAACATTCCTGAAAAGACTCCCTTAATACTAAGGGCAAAAGTGACAGGCCATCCCACACCAGAAGTCACCTGGTTACTAAACAATGAGCCTTTAGAGTCATCGGATAGAGTGAGAATTTTGTACGATGGAGAGAACATCGAACTAACCATTAAGGAAACCAATTCCGAGTTAGATTCTGGTGTCTACAAGTGCGTGGCTACCAATTCCATGGGTAGAGCCTCGCATGGTGCTAGAGTATCGGTAGAAGTTGATACCGTCAAGTTCACTAAAAAACTCAACAAAGTCTATGAAACGTTCGAAAGGAACACGATCGAGCTAGAATGTGAGACTTCTCATTCGGTGCGGACAAAATGGTGGTTCAACGATACTGAAATCAGTGGAATGGATCACCGACTCGTCGTACAGGATGGAAGGACTCACAAGCTCATTATCAAGAATGTTTCCAAAAACGACGAAGGTAACTACAAATGCACGGTAAAGAATCAGAAAACCGAGACGACCCTCAAAGTAGAGCAGCGCAAACTTGAGTTTGTGAAAAAGCTACAAGACTTGGAAGTTACCGAGAAAGATACGGCGATTTTAGAAGTAGAAATCACATCTGACACAGCTGACGTCGTCTGGCTAAAAGACGGTATGCCGGTTGATGGGGTAGATGAAAAAATTGAAGTTGAAAAGTTCAGGGGCGTGAGAAAACTCCTAATTAGATCGACGTCGATCCATGACGAAGGAGAATACAGCTGTCGTTTGGTGGACGAAGAATGCAAAGCCGAAGTCACCGTTATAGAGTTACCTCCTGAAATTATTACGGCTCTGAAAGATCAAACCGTTACCAAAGGCGAAAAAGCAGTGTTCGAAATAGAGCTTTCGAAAGGTGACGCGCTAGCGAAATGGTATAAAGACGACGTGGAGATTCAATTTTCCGAACATATACAACTCTCCATTGACGGAAAAAGACAGAAACTGAAGATCTACAAATGCGACTCTGACGACCAAGCTATATACACCTGTAAGGTGGGCAACCAGAAGTCCAGCGCTAATTTAAGAGTTCATGTTCCCTCGTGCGTTTTTATTACTCCTCTACCAGAAACCACTACAGTAGGTGCCGGCAGCAATGCCGAATTTCTAGTGGAACTTTCCAGGGAAGACGTCGAGGTGACGTGGTGGAAGAGTAACAAAGAAATAGAAAAATCCTCAAGAAGTACCATAACGTCAGAAGGAACCTTCAGAAAATTAGTGGTTCATAAAGTAACAACCGAAGACCAATTTGAGTATGCGTGTACCGTGGATAAGTACAACCTGAGAACTTCATCTAAGCTGAGAGTTGGCGGTAAGTCGTTTGTAAATATGTCATCCAAGAAACTCGCTAAAAATTATTACCACTCTTGCTACTACTATTTGTGTACAATGATCAAACAAGTATGTGTCTTTAGAAAAACCAAGTCCACCAAGAGGCCCGTTAGAGGTATCCGGTATGACAGGAACCTCCTTCACCATACAGTGGAAGCAACCAGAAAGGGATGGCGGATCACCAATAACAGAATACATCGTTGAAATGAAAGAAGCAAAATCCAAAAAAGAGTTTAAGAAACTGGGCTCCACCAAAGGTGACATTACCGATTACGCGATCAGCAGCCTACATAAAGGGAAGGAATATAAATTCCGCATATTTGCCAAGAACGCGTTCGGAATTAGCGAGCCTTACACTCCTGAAGAAGCTGTCGAAGCTGGTTCGCGAATAAGTGAGTAGATTGATTTACTTCGAACGCTTTGTGCTTTATTATCCGCTTCGCCATTTAGGAATTGATTACCATTTTGCTAAAACCGACGAAACTATGTACTGCTTGCTTGGCATATTCCCACCCGCTAAAGCTATACATAAGAGTAAGTTAGCCGAACAGTAGCGACAACAATGGGGATCAATTTTAACTAACTTATTAGCACCACCATCACCCCCTGTTAACCTGGCGGTTAAGAATGTCACCAGTAGAAGCGCCACCCTCACCTGGCAACCACCTTTGAACGATGGCGGAAGCGAAATCACGGGTTACGTGGTTGAAAAGAAATTGGAATATATGCCGAAATGGGAAAAAGTGTATACCTTGGAGTCTTTCACTTTGGAGTACACATTCGAGAACCTCAAAGAAAAGAGCGACTACGTGTTCAGGGTGTTTGCCGAAAATGCCATCGGCCTAAGCGCTCCAGCTCAAACCGACGTCCTACAAATGAGGACGCTAGCAAGTAAGTGGCGTGTAAAGGATATCAAACACCACAATGATATAATTCATCTTCTAGCTGTACCATCTCCACCTACAGCGCCATTAGAAATACGCACCATAGGGCCCAATGCCATAGTAGTAGAATGGGGACTTCCTGAATCGGATGGAGGAGCCCCACTGCTCGGCTACAATATCGCTATAAGAGATACCAAGAAAACCATGTGGATGGAAATCGGAAAAACTCCGAAAGGCGTGCAGAAGTTCACGATAAGAGATTTGCAGGAAGATCACGATTACATGATCAGAATATTCGCCCGAAATGAAATCGGTCTAAGCGGACCATTGGAATCTGACGAACCTTTCAAAGTGCTGCCATCTGGAGGTAAACTATTCTCATTTTTAGTGGAATTAGTGGCGTAATATTGTTTTCCAATTTTACAGAAACAGAACAGGACGATTTTAGAGAGATTACATCGGAAAGAGAGCCGACCTCCAAAAGCTCAGAGACCACGACATCGTGGCTAAGAGAGAATAGTATGGATGCCGACATTCATTCGTACGCCAAGGGAACTTTACTAAGAAAAGATGAATATTTCTTCAGAATATGGTGTTATGCGACAAAATTGTTCAAATAAATATTCCCAAACGTATTATGAAAAAATGTCACTTGAAGAGACTTGAATGTATATAGTTTTTTTTGTTTTGTATTATTTGTGTTTATTTATATCTATAAGGATAGCGTACAATTTTTTCATTTTCCTGATAGAGACGATTTAGATAGGTATACCAATTTTTATACAATTGATTTGCAGATAGTAGAAGTAGCGAATTGAAAATGAGAGTGATCAAATTATATTAGTAAAATTGTTTACGAATTGCGAGCGACACAGTCGACCAACATCTAATATAATTTTATCACTGCAAATTTACAAAAATTATATATACCTACCTATTAAGGATTCTGTGATACTGATTATGACCCTTAAATACTTAAACGAATATGTCTGGATAAGTAATAATCCACTAAAACGACTATAAGCGATTCATTTTGATGAGGTTTTTGATTTTTATTGTTTTATTTAAGTTTTATTGTTTTACTAAATATTTATTTCATTGAGATTAAAGCGATAATTATGATCGAATATGTTAACAAGCTGTTTATCACAATACAACGAATGAGAGACTAATATAGGTGCATACAAAACTATATGTATTGTGATAATTTGCTAATGTATATCCAATATTTTAGTAAACGTTTTGTTTATTGCAAAAATTTTGTTTTATTTAGATAAACCAAATTGTCCAAAAAAGTACGAACACGACTTAACACTAAATACTTAATTACTTCTTTTTTGATAAGCCGCATTGAACTTCCGTTTTAAGATTTTCCCAAATTTTAAAAGGCTGAAACATTTTCTTTTTTTTATTTTTATTTTGTTATATATGTATGTTATGTGAGATAAAAAGTGTACTTTTCTACAAGTTAAGGTTTTCGAACGAAGGATCTCGTTTTTAAAAAACACCTTTTTGTTTTACAAACAGAACTACGAGGATTTATTTAACCCGTTACAAGAACTGAACACAAAGTACAAAATTCTCATATATATAAAGTTTTTATGCAAGCGTCGCGTGGCAGATACTGTGAATACTGAAGCTAGCATTTCATCAGCATTTTCTATCACATAATTCCTCCCTCCGAAGTGGAAAACAACAGGGACGAAGGGTTGTTTTCGGAAGACTGGTCGTTCTTGGTTTTCTTGGAATCTTGCTCTTGTAGATTTTCCAAGCTATAACTATTAACAAGATTAAAATAAACATCATTCCTGTTGAAGTGGCGAGACTCCAAGCGACTGGATGAAGTTCATAACCCAGGCAGGGGGGGGGGGGGGGGGTGGTCGATGATTTTGCAGCTTCTCGTAGTTTTTTGATCGTATTGAGATCAATCGATTGTAGTTGGAGTGGCTGATACTTCACACCGTGATGTTCCATATATCCAATTTTACTAGATGGCAGTGAGAATGGGTTTCCTTTAAAAAGTTCTTCTTTATTCCAAAGCTCAGTATTTAATAATATATGGAACATCGATTAGGAAGGCTGCTTGAATAAAAGCTGTTTGTTTATTTCGGCAATTCATTTGTTTCTGTTCCGATGGTATTATCAAAACAAATCTACTGCTGATTGGTCTTATTATATGCGTTGAAACATTTACATTGTCTACGTGGCAATTTTTGTTTTCGGCATATTTAATCAGTGTTGTCACACAATCACCGATGGATAGATTGATTCTTGATATTGTTGCATGCCAATATTAGGTAGGGTAAATTAGGTACAATTAAGGACTGATTTACGGGTACTGGGAATAGGTGGAATATTTCAAAAACATATTTAAGAAAATTCGGAATATGGACGCCAAAATTTATTTTATCTTTTGCAAATTTAACTTGTAAGTTTGCTAACCGATCATGATTATTTTGATTTTTGAAAATTAAAATTTGATCATCAAAATGTAACGCCATCTTCTAAATTATCCAACACTTTGGTAATTTAGAATTATTTGCATCAGTGTATTTTGAGCTTTAATAAAAGTAGTAATGTCAGTAATAGTTTTATTAGAATTAAATTCAAAAATGACTATATGTTTTGTTAATAGCTTCTTGATATTTCTGTCCGTTTTAGTTGTCGATCAGCTGTAGAATCAACGAGGTTTGCTTTTTTTGTTGGATTTCAGATGAATATTTACTACGTACAAGTTCTGTGATAATTCTAACATATTTTTGATCATCCTCTGAATCGAAAGTGCCGAAAAGTAATTTCGATAATTTGACATTACAGCGTAAGCGTACTTTAAATTAAGTAATTGAATAAATAGTGGAGATGTTTCTACAAAATGCAAACATGTGTGTTGATGTTGAATAATTCGAGCATTTCCTAACCGTAGAAGTGGTGTTTTGATTGAGATAACTTCAATATCATTATTCGTTATGATTAATAACAGCGTAGCTGCAAGAAGGAACAGCGTTGTCCGGTTCATTAACCTGCGAAGAAGAAAAAGCTATAGGTTTTTGGATCTGAGATTTGTGAATTATTTTTTTATTTTTTGTGATAATTTTATGAACAATATCAGTCTTTCTTCGGGGTTTATCCTAACTACGTTTTGCTGTTTTGTCAGTTGCGTAAACCTTTGCATTTTGTTTCATTTCAGGTGGGTTTTTCGTTTCGTTTTTCATTCAAACGCAGTTTGTCGCAAACGATATTTCGTAAATTTGTTGATAGATAGTTTTTAATCTTTCACGTCTGCAATATAATTATTTACACTGATTTCATGCGTTAAATCAAACCGTTTACTTTTCCATTTAAAGGTTTTTTTTTGTTACGCTATGCATTGATGAATTGTAATCTATAATTGCGTATTTTATTAAATTTTTAAGGGCTTCTTTAGGTTCTTTTAATTTTAGTACCCTATATAGTTCAACAAGAGTAAGTAAATAAGTAAGAAATCTCTCTATTGGACTATTACTATTAGAATTGCCAGGAGTTGTAAAATGAATTGCAATTTTATGCAATTTACAGAAATCTAAAAGCAAAGACGTTTTAAATTCCGTACCATTATCACACGTTATTTGTTGAGGTAGGCCGTGCTGACTTATAAAGGTCGCAATTGCTGTGAAGATAAGCTTGTGCGTATCGTGAAAATATGTCTATAATTGTAAGAAATTTTACATTACATATTTGAAAAGTCTCCATATGAATGGATTATAATGGTTCAGAAAGGGTCGGTGTCAACGCAAACTTTAATTCTGACGGATGTCTATCATATTTTCATTGTTGACACATGTCACAATTATAAATATATTCAGTTAGATCAGTTTTCATATTTGGCCAATAATAGAGCCTTTTTAATGCTATTAGGCCTTCATTGATGCTTCGATGACAGGTTTTTTCATGATGATATGCAATTAGGTCTTTTTGTTTTGTCCTGTCAGTGGCGTCAGTTAAAAGAGTTTTTAATATTACCAATTTATAAGCATGGTTTATAAATGTATTTATACAAATAATCTAAAAAGAATTTAATTATTCCATTTTGATAGTTTTGATTTAAATAAACAGAAAATCTTGATTTATTTTCGAATGGGTAACTCCTAAACACGTGATAGCGACCGTTTGTTTTTTGGTTAAATATTATTTGATTAGAACAAGTATTTAAAATATTTTCGGTAATTGGTATATTTAAAATGGGACCTTCAGCTGGTGAGTGTACTATCTCACCAGTATTAGGAATATTTGGGGTCCCAGATAATATTAATTTTTGGAGTGTTTACATTTTCTCCAGGTTTAAACACGTCTTCAATTTGTTCCAATTGTTCAAGGCTTATATTTTGATCTTCTTCATGTATGTATATATCGATGTCTTCATTTATATCTCCAGGATTTTTCGAAAAGTGACTTCTTATCTATCATATTTAGTTCGATGCGTGACAGGGCATCAGCGTTGGTGTTCTGTTTCCCTTCTTATAATGAACCGAGTAATGAAACTCTTCTGAATTCATTTGTTCGCAACAAATTATTTGAATTAATTGTTCCTTATATTTTGGTAAAATGTGTTCTAAATTTAAAAGTTCTAAATTTTCTTTATGAAAGTCCGGAAAAGATAAAACGTTTAGAGGTTGTGAGAAATTTAACGTTATATTTTTCTCAGTGCAATTAAAAGCTCTCTTTGGACAAAACCGTTTTTTTCAATGACTTTCTCGGGAATAATAGCATCATTGTTTTGTATTACTGAAATTCTTACGTTAACAATTTCGTGTTCGTTCACAGTAATACAATATATTTCGTTTTATGGTTGTCTAAATAAAATTGGTATATTAGTTTTATTATTCCTTAATTATTTATTGACAAGATCGATAGAAAAATTAAAACGTTTTAGGTCGCTTAACCCCGTTGTACTGTCAAAAAAATTATGAAAGTCAAAAAGAATAACAGATAGGTTGGTATTAGCCATTAATTCTGGGAAAGCCAGAACATCTGTTTTAAATAGAGTTTGAAATGATATATTTCTTGATAATAAAATTTTTCCGCAATGGAAGGTCGAAGAATCGAGTGAAAACAGCCTGTATCAATTAATAGTTTAATTGCGGGTTCTTTAATCTTTAACATAAGGTAAAACTATTATTAATTTCGGTGTACATTTCTAGTGTCATTTCGTTGAGTCGCATTGGCTCGTTATTGTAAAATTTTGAGGGTGTTCGTCAAAACTTTACGTGTCATTAAAGTATTCAATTTGATTTTAATATTTTCAGAGTATTCTTCTTGGTTAATATTTTCATTTTGAACTAATGCAGATGTTTCATCTGTTTGTACCGCGTTACCTTCGTCGATTTGGTATAATTCTTGCGAAATAAAATTCCTAGGACCCGTAGGTATAAAATGGTTAATATGATTATTTTGACGTGGTATGATATAGTTTGTTCTTGTTGACATAGGTTAGGGCTTATTGTTAGGTACCTGACCTGTCGGTTTAAATACGTTTTTAGGTGGGCCAAAAACTTTCCCATTTGTAGGAAAATTTAATTGGACCTCTGGGAAAATTATTAGTTTGAGGAGTAAACTGATTTTGATCATGCCTAATTCTAAAATTTTGGTTATGGTGATTGCTGTTTTGAAAATAATTTGTCGGGCGAATCGGTTGTACATCATTAAAATTTTGGTTAGTAAAATAATTTGGATTTTGTAAAAAATGTTTAACGAGTTCGATAGAAGTATTAAGCAAAACTTTTGATTGAATTGGAGTTCTGAAGAGATTTTGTGTATAATCAAAATTTTCCTCTTCAATAATTTGGGTCATAGCTAATTCTATACAACCTTGGAATTTTAAGTCTCATAACTGTCCTGGTAATCCTCTAATAAACGTCCTTAAACAAATTTGATCGCATTGACGTAAATGAATTACTTTACTTGCAATATTAATCGTATCGGCAGGAAATGCATTGATTTTTTGAGCAAGGATACTTCTTAAAACTGGTAATCTTTTCCCAAAATCTAAAGGATGTTTATTTTTAAAGGGAGTGGCCATAAACAAATCCTATTCTAAACACTCTAAGTTTCGTCTATCTCCAAAACAATTTAACAAAACTACTTTAATATTGTCCCACGTCAACTCCATTCTACAGCCTACTAGAATTTGTGCGCGATTAACAAGTTTCATTCTTATAGTCCTAAATAAATATTGTTCTAAAATTTCGTCCTTTTTCCAGGCCATATGTATCAACAAGGAAATCTCCAGCTGATAGAAAACTATTTCAACTGTTGGGATCACCATGGCAGAATACTATCTATACACATTTTTAACTAACAAAGTGTAATTTACACCTGCATTTGACGATTGATTAGAATTCATTTTGAAATTGATTTGACTATTTTCTACTTTATTTTCCACTAAATTTAACGAAAGAATGCACTTAAATTGTCGACGTCTTCATCTTCATTCATAAATGTAATTGATTTTGAAATTTCTTAAAATTACACTTAAAACTGAGAACCCTAAAATTATTTCTACCGTCCTAACCAGGGAAGATGAAAGGTGATAGGAATAGGAATTTTGGGCACTAACCTTGATTTCTCTTAGTCGCCAACCTATTCTTTCTATTGGAATATTCCTTGCGTAGCGCTACTTGCGAGGGTGATTTCTTGTCTTCTTTGTCTTCTTTGCCCTCAGTCGAACTTAATCACGTTGGGTTTGTCAGACAGTCTATCACTGGTTCGTTTTGGAGTCTAAGGGTTGAAACCCACGTTTCGCGATCAAATCGTCCGTATGATGTGGCTTTGATCGAAAACTACCCCAAATCTGTCACGACTGCAACAGTTACGGTTTTCAAACGACGGGTCACGTATTTAAAAACACTTTTTATTGTTTTACAAACAGGGCTACGAGCTTTACATTAAGCCGTTACTTTTCGCTACAAAGTACATTGTAGCGAATATTTATAACGTTTTTATGCGAACATAGCATCGCAGATACCGGGAATGCTGAAGCTAGCATTTTTTGTAGTCATCAGCATATTCTACCACATAATTATCATTTAGAATCTTTTTTCCTTACCCGGAATCCGATATCTCCTCACAAAATTGCGCCAATCCCCATCAAACGTAACCTATTCTGTAAAAACCGTCAACTTTACCTCCATCTGGCGGTACACCGTAAAATTAAAAAAAAAACACCAAACATTTCAATGAGCCTACATCAGATGGCGCAATTAGAAAAACACAAGAAATCATTACTGTTGGAGTACGTACCACCGAAATGGCATTAATAAAGGGCATTTGAGTCACGAGTTTTGTTTTGGCTAGTTGTGCTTGCTTAGCTTGTTAATTACTTCTAATGGCCATGACTACATAAGATCATTCGGCCAGCTTACAACAGCAGGTAACTATGTTCCAAAATTCCTAAAGGATGCATTCATAAACAAAGGGTCTGGAAATCTCCATCATTCTCTAGGTGTGTTAATATACACAAAATGACAACCGAGTTATCTAACGGCTCCAGCAATTATCTCATACGCGATATCTGATCCAATCTGGTCTGGATACCAGCAAACCCATAAATATCCACACAAAACAAGTATTAATTCACAAAAATAGAGGCACTATGAATCTAAAAATTTAAGCAAAAGATGTACTGAACGAAATTTTTCCAACCAATTTCTAACTTTTTTGGAACCGGGCTGGGACAAACGTCCGCCATATGCAATGGTTCAACATTTCATTTCTAATGCTTGTTACACGTTTACAATTTACAACACGTCCCAAATGTTCCCGGGAGCTTTTATTAAATCCTATATGAGATTATATTTTGCAGTAAGAAATAAGACGCCACAACAAGAAAATAAAAACGTTTATATTGTGACGAAATCGAAATAATTAATGTTTCTTTATATGGTACGAACGTCCGTTGGGGTTCATGATTGATGATCGCAAGGGTAACTCCAAACACCATTCGTACCACACACGATCGGTTGACTCCTCGCGCCAAAACGACACTTGAACCACGTCTCCGGCACGCAATTGGACAGGTTCCGCCAATGGGAACACAATCGGAAACCAGGAAACCTACAAACAGCAGTTCAAATCCTCAAGCACAGACTACTAATCAACAGTATTATTCTCAAGCACCGATGGACCACAAGCGAACTCACCATGTCAGGAGTATGTGTGGAGGGATTGGTTGACAGTACTACATTGCCGTAAAGATAAGCTTCGAAAAAACCGGCAAAAGATGTCAGCACGCACGCTTGACGCACGGGACCAAACCGAAGTCGTTTTCGTCGCCTGTTGTCTATGTAGGCGGCAAAATTCGGGTGCTCAAACGTAAACAAAGCCTGGGCGGGAGCGAGTTGTTGATAATTCGCAAGGTGGACCTAAAATAGTTACCTTGAATATGAACGCAACGCGCGATAAGAGTCACTAAAGGTACAAGTAGCGCTTACCACGTATGGTGTTTCAAAAACTTGCCGTAAAGTTTTGTCGGAAGGTCTGTTGGCTCGAATCTCGTTATATATTTTTATACTTTGAAGGGGCGCTAAATATGATGTATAGGAAGCTGGAATAGAAACGCCCTTTCGAGGACATAACAATCTTTGTGCGCCATCTAAGCATTCCGGGGATAGCTCATTGTCACCAAACGACCCTAAAATATCCAATCAATATGACCATTAGGCACCATAAGGATACAACCAGAGAACCTCGTTAATCAACCTCACTTACAATATACAAATAATAAGTTATTATTTTTTTAACCAGTTATGCAAAATAAGCTATACCATATAATAATATAATCAATTTAACCTTCCAAATTCTTTCAAGAAGGAATAATAATTTTAAATAATATCATCATGAACGAAAAAACCCTTTCTTCTTTTACAACTTACATTTTCACTAAAAGTTACAATAATATTTTGGGCCTTAAGAAAGCCATTTTTTTCAATAATTTAAAATTTATTTTAATTTTATAAATTTTCAGAGTTTTGTTCATAAAAATGTGTACACCTTAAAAAATACCAAGTTTAGGTATAGAGAATGAATGCTCACTAAAATTGAAAGAACATTAATAGGAGATAGTTTTGAGACTGCTCAATTGACCACTTTTTAATTGACTAGTCAAAAAATATTTCAATAATATCTTGCAATTGTAGAGTGTTATCAATCATTATTTAATAACACGTATTTTATATTAAAGTATTATGCGTTTGTGATGTCCAATTGACCTATAACCCTCGTCGAATACCGATTCGGAGAATCCCAATAATAACAACCACTGCATTTGGTTAGTTTTTGTTAGAACGACGCGACCGCGACGTATAAATTTCATGGTACTTTTAAAACTATTTCGGTCAATCGACACAAAAAAAATCGACCGGTAAACTCCCCACAATTAATGGAATTATAATATACACGATGTTCTAATTGATTTTTTCACGAAAAATAATAATTTTAATTTTGACTCACCTTGTATAAACGATTCGAACTAACTTTATAATATTGTTGGCATAATAATATAAATATGGGGTATTAAATTTTGACGAAAAAAATATTTATGAACCACCCTGTATATTTCATAATAATTGTTTTTTTTTCTTTTAGTCACATCTATAAATTTTTAATTTTTGAATTTAACACTTTTTTCAAAAACAAATAATAAATGAGATATATTACTTGGGCACACTATTTGGACACCTTATAAAGGACTTTTTATATAAAAAAAATTGACCCCGTGGCCCCGTACAAAAATTATACAAGGAAAAGTTATTCACTTTTCAACAAGTTCTCAATTCGAAAATATATAGAGCAGCACCATAAGATGCAATATTTTTAAAATGGTCCTCGATCTAAAAATTGTTTCACAAAAAAGTAGCACAATATTGCAAACTATTGTAACAAAATATCTTCCTAGTGGAGAATTTTGCAAAATATTACAAACAAGATTTTCAATTATATTTAGACCTACCATCATTTTATTTTTATCGTTCATCAAATATTTTTATTGTAACAGGCATAAACATTGGTATTTTTAAAAATTATAAATAGCAAAATTTTTCGCTTTTTTTTTGTTTTTTAGTGTTTAAAGATGTAGACAAAAATTTTTGTTCTCATTCTACTAATTAAATTTTCAAAATTAATAAACCTACAACCTACCAAGCAATTCTGATACTAAAATATCAGCCTTCTCTGGTGGTTTCCAACTACGCATATCAGTTTTCACCAAAGTCACTTTATCTGAGCCCCACTCACGGCGAACCCTTTCTGCCAAGGTATTGACCGCATAAGGGTTCTTCTCTATGGCATACAATTTTACCTCTCTATTAAGCAATACAGACACATTAAGTACTGCCTGGACCAAAGGACCCCGCCCAGCGCCTACAACCATTATAACAGGATTTCTCTCTTCAGTCCATTCTTGTAAAGCATCATAAATAGCTTTTTGGTAAACATCATATTTTACTTGATCTTTTTCAAACACCTGAAATATGCTTTACTTTTTACAATCACAATAGGTCTAAAATGAAAATTCTAATTACCTCATATACATTGGTTTCTAAATGTTCAGTGAGAGGCTGTAAAGGGCATTGCAGATAATCCTCACAGCTAGAAAAAATTGAAGTATAGAAATCAGATAAAATTAGGGATGATATTAAAAAAAGAAGGGTTTTAGGGACAACAACAATATTCATCTAAATTTTCTATATGTTACAAAAAAACATACCCTTGAACAAATTCGGCCATGATATCACAACTGTATAACTTCTTTCCTAGGAAATTCATATATTTAACATACATAAAAAAGTCTGCTTCAGTATCTAAATGAATAATGTACTGTACATCAATTGTTATAAATCTTCTGATAATTTCCTGATGTGCTTTAGATAATACTGGCTTGCCATATTGATTAGTTAAAAAATATGAAGTTGGAATAACTAAGGCTTTTACTGGTTCACCAATCTGAAAAAAAAAAACTAACACTCAAGAGAAGCAAAATAAGCAAGACCACTTACCCATCTATCTAATTCCTCTGTTGATGGAATGGAACTTATATCGGGCATTTCCAAAACAACTCCAACCCGTTTGTCATAATCACAATGAATTCGGAAATTGTTCCACCACTCCCAAGAATCAATATCCTTATCACTAATAGGGCTTGTTCGAGAGGGATGCACTAATGGGACCTAAAAATACAAATACGCTATAAGTAAATTATGCCAAACAATACTTTTATAATTAACCTGCACCCAAACTGCAAAACAAGAATTTGAAACAAGATGACTATTAACTATTCGAGCCAAATGTACATTGTCAGGTTTACAAAGATGTAATAAAACAGCAGGTATTCCTAAATGAATTGCAAATCCAAGCTCTTGTTTTAATGTATTTTTGCTAACCCTTCTGACATGTTCAATTTCGCTATCGACATCAATATTGGTTGTTAGTTCGCCTATAAAATGTAATTTTTCGAGTGATAATAGTCAATGTTCTGATGCTTAGAGCTTACCAACAATTAATCTGTTCCATTCCGTTGCTTTCAGTACTCGGTCAGTTCTCCCAATAAAAAATGGAGAGTCGGGTTTATTTAGATCTCTTGTGTAGTTGGGATGTGTAATTTGCGTTACTATAAAATGAAATCCATAATCAAATGCCGAGTGCAAAGCTGCTTTAAGTGAAGCCGGGCAGCTACTGTAAAGACCGCAAGAAATCTGTTTACGCTTCTCTCCCGACTGATCTCCGCCGTCCATGATTCTTAGGACCTGTATCGACAAATCAAATTAAATCACACAGTAATGTAATTTCAAAGTATGAAATATATATGGCTAAATCCTAGGATAGAAATTCGTCTACCAGGGAGGTTATAACTGGAGAGTCAAGTCAAATATGGGTTTCACAAAAAATGTTGGGCACGACTGCTAGGATCATTTGCCCATTGCCGACTTCCGTCGAGGATTTTCGCTTCTGATAAATTGACCACCACGTACAAAGAAGAAAAATAACCAATAATTTGCTCAGCTAGCAAAAAACGATTCTGACCGATACCAAAAAAAATCGTTCTTCTTCTTCTTTTACTTCCGTTGGCCAAGACTGCTAGGATCATTCCGCCATAAGATTTAAAGTTAGTGACGCTATTTTTTTTGAAAAAAAGAAAAGGAGGGAAACTTCTTTTCACAAATGTTAGGCATATTACTATGATCATTCCCCTATTACCGACATCCTTCTGGTCACGTTTAAAAAGAAATATAACTAACATGTCTTCTTTGACCGTTACAAAAATTGAAGAGAAAAAAAAAATTAATGGTTTTCAATATATTTGTTTTGAATAATCATCCTTCCTTCTATCTTGAATTTCGTACTGAAGAAATCTTTACATTATAATGTTTATAGTTTAATATATAAAAAGAAACAGTTTTATTAGAAGAAAAACTACGTCATCCTGGAGAAAAATATCTCTTAAGATGCCGTTAGTTCGTTCTGTTGTAATAAATCTACCTGTAATATCAAATCTTTGGACCGAGAGTACTCTACGCCGCAAATAGTAGTGCTGTTTATCATCCTTGTGTGACGTCACTGAGGGCGCTAAACTAAAGAAAATCAACAACGATGGATGCAATCATCTTTTCTTTTGGGTTCAAACTTTTTTTCTTTGGCTCTATATAAACAAATAATATATATAAACAAATATATAATTATTCTTAAACTGGGGCTCAATAATAAGAATTAAAATTACATAATGTAAAAAAACTTTCCTTAAATCAAAAAATTTCTATTAGGCTAAATGTTGATATTAGTCAACTACATTGTGTTTATAATATTGTAATAGTTTATGATGTCTTCCCAAAAAATCTATCATAGAGGTTGCTGGGATTATCACTAATGGACGGGGTAATTCTAGAAAGAAACTTTTCTTTGTCAGCGTCTTCCATATTAAGTAAATTTTCTACAACTTCTTCCTGTCCATGTTTGTCTTTTCTTGTAATCACAGAATATTCTTTGTTGCCCTTTCGCTGGGTGATAGTGGTTTCTTCAGCACCATCATTACTCTTAATTGTTTGCTGAATTTCAATAGTACCATCAGGCTTTCTAATGCTTTTTACACTGACAGATTGTTGAAAGAAATGTGGTGTTCCCTGTTCTTTAAAAGGAGGTAATTTTTTAGATATTTTATTGTTATCTAGGAATAAATCTAAATTTCCCGCTTGTAAATCGGCGTCAAGGTCAGTGTCTTGTTTCTTTATGGTTGGTTCAACTTTGTATCCTTTTTTTAAAAAATGTTCCCTTAAATCTGAATTTTGATCATATTCACCTTCATCGAGCGCTGGAGTGCGAAACAGACGAAAATTAGTTCCAAAATCATGAAGTCCAAAGTTACGAAGAATATGATCCATTTGTTCCTCAAAATATTTATGCATTTCGAATGGGTCCCTTATTGCATCAAACCCTTTTGGTACATTTGCGCTCTCTTCAAAATTGTCAAAAAGACTTTTAAAATCTTCATTAAATTGATGCGGATATTGATAATTATGGGAATCACTACCTTTAAAGCCAAAAAAGCGTTTCACAAAATCCATTAGCCTGTGACTTGAATTGACAGTTACCTGATCCTAAAAACAATTAATTTAGATTTATATTTTATTCTATTGATAAACACGAAACTATTACTTAAAAATGATAACAATTTTTTGAAAAACTCAATGGAGTTATTTTGAATGTTGGAATCTTATGACTTGATTGAATGAATCATCTTGACATTTACATGGATAAGTAGTTTTTATGATGAACAATTAGACAGTATTGCCATGTACTAAGTATGGAATTAGAGTTCCATAAATTATAAAAAATCTTATAACACATAAAAAATACTTATTACAATTATTCGAATAATAGTAAAACTGATTTATTTACAAATCTTATCTGTGCCCAAGGTGGGTAAATCAAAAAGAAGTAAACGTAAATATAAAATAGGTCCACCGCTTCCATTGCGTTATTTTTAGAAAATGCTGATTTTGAAAAAATTAAAAGGGCACTGCGCAGTTCATCAAAAAGAGCAGAAATGTGCATTATCTAGAGCGAAGGTCACCACGTTCCAAAAATTCGGTCATTTAAAAATTTAGTTTAGTATATTACTTTTGAACTACAACAGTTTGATCTGTTGCAAAAACGAAAACATGTCGGCCAAAGAATGCCTGAAGGAAAAATTTCCTTTTATAGTTACAAAATCAGAAATTTTGGTTTTGTTGCGTTGTAGAACATGATCCCCCTAACGCGCCTGGGCTCAAAAATTCAGTGGACGTTTCAGTTCTTGGTCTGTGCTTATTTTAAACGCTGTAATGTTGGTCGGCTTGGGCTAGTTATATCCCTAACCTTACTTTTTTATAGAGTTGTCATTATATTACAGTTTATCTATAATTTTAGGTAGATCAGTATCAGCAGGTTTTCTATATATACATATATATTTAAAAATTATATTTGTGCTCCAAAATGTCTCAAAGCGTCTTCGTAGGACTATGGAACGCGGAAAAGTTTCATCGGGTTAAAATTGAAGATGTTGATTTGGAAAGTAAAGTTAAAGATTTAAAGATCCACTTATGCAAAACGTTAGAGCATACATCAACAGATACTATGAGTATGCAATATGCAAATACTCCATAGGTATCTAAAGTTTATTCAATTTCAGATCTCTCTTATTGTGGTGTGATTCTTGAAGATTGCAACAATCTTTTGTCTTATGGGATAACATCTGGGGTAACAATTCACCTAACAGAAAAACCAAAAGTTGTCTCACCTCCTCCCAGGAAGAAGATCACTGAAGCTGAAGTTCAAGAGATAGTCAGTAGTTTTAGAAACTTCAAAATGTCTTCAGGATTTAGGACTACATTACATGTTTGTATCAATTGTTGATTTATTGTTGATTGGTGTTAAATTATATGTGTTTATATATTGCAGAGACTAGAAAACATTGATGAAGTTGATAAAGTTATTGCTGCTGTTCCAGGTCTAGAAAATGATCCCATTGCTATCTCCTTCATTTCGAAACCTGATCTAATTTTACAAATGGAGGATCCCAAAGCTGTCTGGCAAGTATGTTTATTTAAAGAGTTCAAAATATGTAATTAATCATACATACTATTACAGATTGGGGAAAAGCACCCCCATTTGTTAGAAGCTGCTCGATTTATAGCAACTGATTTCCACTGCAGTACAACACCCAATGCCGCCTCAACATCTTTGGCTGCAACTCCCAGTTCTTCGGGTTACTCATATTCACTAGACGCTCTTTCTGACGATGATGACGATATGGAAGGGGACAGTTCTGGAGCTGCTCAGGGAGCTATCACAGCGGCCCAACTGGCTGCCGCCTTAGCACACGCCGCCTCCACCCCGCCAACGAGTGCTCGCATAACCGCAGAAATGTTACAGCAGGCTTTGCCAGTGACTCCCTCAAGGTTCGCCTCTCAGCTTAGGCAAATGCGGGAGTTGGGACTGCAAGAAGAAAGTAGGAATCTAAGAGCCCTTGCTGCTGCACAAGGTGATTTGCAGGCTGCTATTGATCTGGTGTTTAGTGGTGCTTTAGATGACTAAGAAACGTTTTCTGGCAACACCACAAACTGATTTTTTTTGTTGCATATGTTGTGTATTGTGTTTATAATGATCCCCGTTTTTTAATAAACCTGAACTAATTAACAGAATTTTAAGAAATGCTTTATATCTAATAGATGGAATTGAAAACGGCTTCAAGTTCTAACTCTTTTTTCATTGCATTTGGTAGCTCCCAATGACCAGATCTACTTTATTGAAATAACTATTTTGTTTATTTTTGTGTTATTTGTTTTTATATTGTAAATATTATTCACAAATATTAATGTTGTAGTTACAAATTTGTAACAAAACTATGTTAGTTACAGTAACTATAAAACTAGGTTTAGAAATTTTGAGATGCTGTAATCACCAATGGTTCAAATAAAATCACTAAAGAAGAAGGAGACTATCAAAAGAAATCGAAGAACAGATTTCAAACCATTAAAATATTTTAACATTTAAAAATATTATGGTACACAAAAAGATAACATGTTCTACATTTTGCTATGAGATTTTCCAGAGACACATCATTTTCTCTTAAATCTTTGATATTTTGCTTTCTCTGCTTACATTTTAAAAACTATTTCAGTAGGAGTATACATGGTGGTCTGAATTATAATGGAGAAACTTTAACAGAATATTGAGCAGATAAAAATAGTTTAGCGGAATAATTAATAAATTAGCATAATAATTTTTTTATTATTTAATTTATTTATTTATTTATCAACAGGGCAACCGCCCAATATAAAATATGATTCACATAAACAAAATAAAATAAAACAAAATTAAAATTAAAACATAATGAAATAGACTGATGAAGACCTTACTTTAATATGACAAACATGACACAACGATGGAACTCCACCTGGAAGGAGTGGTTTATTCTGGTCTGGCAGGGGGGAACGAGAAGCCCAATCTTGCATAACAGCTCAGGTCCATGGGAATGCAGTAGATTATAAAAAATGGTGAGATCCCTCCGCATGCGACGAATCTGAAGATTTGTAAGTTGGAGCGAGTTTTCCAATTCAGAGTAATCAACGTCCTCAAGTCCTTGGTGCTCCTTAAATGCTATATACCTATGCTGCACTCTTTCTATGGCCTGTATGTGGACGTGACCACACACGGGAACAATAATCCAGGTGTGGACGCACCAGAGAGCAAAATAGTAATCTGAGAAATGGAACACTCTGGAAGTCCACTGTAGAACGCTTAATAAGGTCCAAAATCTGAAGTGATCTAGACACAATAAATGCAACATGATGTTTGTAAGTCAACTTAATTTCGAGTAACACTCCAAGATGCCTTATTATGGAGGGCTGCAATAATGGTGTTAATAATAGTTCCATTCCAAAAAGTCAAAATCAAAATGCTATGCTGTGATTTTTTTAAGTGGCAATAATACCCAATAAAGGTGAAAACAAAATCTAGAAAAAAAAATGAAGTAAGTTTATACGAACTTTTTTACTTATTTTTATCTGCCGAATACCCTGTTCAAATTTCCCCATTATAATTTGGATCACCTTGTATATAAATATTTATAACTACTTACTACTGCCCTTCGGCGAATTTTAATTGTTTTTTAGTTTCGAAATATTTTATTAAATTTAACACAGCTTTTTTGCTTGGGATGCAAGGAGAGAGTTCAAATTTTTTCAACCACCAACGAAGGAAAAATATTGTTACGTTATTAAAACAACTAAAATGGTGCGCGTTAACCAAACGTGTCAGATAAAACTTAAACGGAACTAAATTTTTATTTGGTGCAAAATAACAATTAGACACTAAGAGCTTCGTTCCAGTTTTCCTTGGAAATGCGAGTTTTATAGTCAGATATTCGTATACGAATTTTTGAGTGCTTGTGCAAGCGCTGAGTCACTAGGGGTCACATTCATATTGACTTCCATATTAATTCACTCACAACAAAATATTTAAAAAAAAAATTAAAAAGTAAATAGGGAAACTTCAATAACCTACCCACACTTCTTACAGAGTCTATACTGTCTACGTCAAATCATATGTCAAATAATTGAACCCTTGAAGAAAAAAAATGTTTCGTAATGACAATTTCCGCCATACCAACAGTTGCGTGATTTATTATCCTATCGTTTAGTTGGAGGACCTGAATACATAACTTAAAAAAAAAAACAAACCAAAATAGCATTTTCCGTATATAATATAAGAATAGATCTGACTGCACAATCCACCATTTTGGTATTGGTATTAAAAAGCACTGTCTATCCACCACAATGTCGAACAAGTTACGAATTTTAAAATAAAATGTTCTTTCATCTGCCACTGCTGGTTTCCTTGATGCTGGCTTAAATGTGAAGTAAACAGAAAAAGAAGTAGATCTGTGATGGCCTGTGCCACATGCGTCTAAGGCAGCCCTCATGCATGATTTAACTTTGCATTAGACTTGCGAATTGGCTTAAAAGTATTCGATATATATTTTTTTTACATCTTAAATTATATTATTTAAAAAAGCTATCCGAAATGTCTAAAAAGGAACCAAAGCGAAAATCAAATCAGGGTGCCCTCTGAAGATCAGTGTTACTCACAGTCATTTTGTAAGACTTTTTCACCCGACCCAACATCGATCGGCATTTTCAATGGTAGCTTGGCAAGACTCAGGTTCAGGAAAATCGCATCAGTCATAAAATGTTACGAACGCTTACCGTTTTATAGTGGCTTGATTTCTGCAAATGGTAGGTTTGTCAAGGAACGGACTCAGGCGTTACAATTCAAAAAATGATAAATCTCTTGAGAACACGAAAATATTTTTTGATCATTTTTGATCTAAATCAAACACAATATGCGTTTGATTGTTGCAAGTTAAAGTAAAAGCAGCCAGTAAAAACAAGTGTTTTAATTTGGCAATTTTTAGTAACTTATAAACGTCAATGCATTAAAAGTTTAGTTGATTAATATTTTCAAATACTGTCAGCAATACTGTCACGAGGAACGTTTAGAATTCCACCGTTTTCCGGCTACGCGCAGGCGCAGGAGACAGAATTTCGGTTAGATAAGCATTTACCACAGAGGTGATATTACCAAATACGTCGGCAAAAAGAGACCGCATTAGTAATTAGTAAAATTCCCCGTATTAAGATTATGGCAATGGAATAGAGTGAGGTGAAGCCTAAAATTGGATGGTTTCTATGGTAACCACGGAAGGTGGGAGAAAATAATTCCCAAGTGGACAATAAAACATTGGCGTGCGCGACTATAACTAAAGAATATTCAAATTTTGATAATTATATTATAAATATTCCAGCCTATAAAACATGATTTCGATTTGTATTGGCGTAAGCGTTCATTCATTGTATGGTTATTGTTAAAAAAAGAAATATTTATTATTTTAGGAGTAATGTTTCACGAAATATTAGCAAAATAGTGAATTAACGTATAATGATCTTAATTTGTTATTTGCTTTGAATACACAAAAATATTATTCTGTGTATCCTGTATCCATAGAAAACCTCGACGATGTCCAGCACTCCCGATACTGTCTCAGACCGTTAATAAAGCTGTTATGTGATATATCTTTGTCGGTTAATCCACGCGGACGTGGAAGCAATAAGCAGCCGGTACTAAGGAAAATGAAGCGAACCTTTACCTTTACATTTTTGTTATGCTGTTATAAATAATTTATTTCTCCAATCCAATGACGCAAAAAGGTAATATTTACCCGGCGCATCCACCATATGTAGAAACGACGTTAGAACTTATCTTAACCTTCGGCAGAATTAATTTTGCTAACGTGCCTCTAATATGGAGCGTGTGGAATACTTTCGAAAAGCCGATTTGTGAAATTCTTAGTAACATTTTTCGCTGGAAAACCTCCTGAAGTTCGTTGCGGCTTTGTCGCTCCCGGTCCACTTAGGGGTTAATCAGGCATCGCGAAGGGTTCCGATTGCGATTCCCGGGATTCGTTCGGCAGTCGTTTATTGCTCCGCCCTTTCCGACCACGCCCCGCTCACCCCTTCGCCATATTTACACAACCGCTGTAACCCGCAAGCCTATTCTGCCGCTAGGTCCTTTTAACGTTCGCGTATTAAAAATCAATTCTCTTTACCGGAATTCATTAAATTTTACATTTTTTTGGTGTAGCTAATATACTAGGTCGTTAATTAGCAGGTCGAGTGTTTACATGTCTTAAATTACTTGGTTAGGATATAAATCGGCACGGGAATTAAAGAAAACAGCAATGCGAAGTAGAATAAATGTTGGCATAGTAGCAATTGATATGACTTTAAGCAAGCCATAATTAAAAACAAAAAAAATACTTAAATCTATTAACTTCTTTGCGGTAAAAAATAAAGTATTGTTCTCAAACTTTACTCCATAGCTAACTTCTCACAAGAGCAGGGTTGGTTCAATACTTTTTTATATATTTATATATTTACATAATATATATTATATATAATATATTATATAATATTCTGCTAGACCAAGATCATATGTTTAGGAAAAGCCTATAAAAGTAGCGGAAAAAAAATTCCTCAGGCTACAGAACTGCTACTAAAAAATCTAGATTTAAGATTGACGGCAAGAAACCTTTTTTTAAGACCTTACCTTTTTCATATCTTTAATATGATAACATTTTTTTTTGTAAATTACCTCACATTTAGTGCATAAATATACATATGTGTCATACATTTTTCCTAATACTCATATAAGCATGTTAAAACGTACGATGAAATATAAGCAAATTATTTCCCTACACATTCTTCAAAGCTTCAAATTTAAAAGCATAATAGCTTAATATGTTTACCAGATTGTCGATATCGGTAACATTAGCTTCTTGCAAGTATTTAGAAAAAAAAAATATTTTAAGCATATACAATAAGAAAAAATTAGTGTGTTTAGTTTTATGGGTGCAGCAGCGAAATTATTTTGGTTATACCAAAAAAGGCGCTACGTGCTGTGTTAAATTTACCGTATAGATAATATTGCAAGGGTAAGTTCAAAGACAATAATATTTTGACTCGTCATAGAAACAGGAATGTATATCATTTATTTAATGGATTTATTTTATTAACAACATAAACAATGTCGGCCAACATCAATTAACTTTTCTACTCCCTACTTTAAAAAATGTAATTATGTACCGATCATTATTCATTATTATTCATGTTTCCGAAATTATTTCGAGTTGTTAGTGTAAAATTTCATTATCTGGTTTTAAAGCTATTAAATACACCTGCGAAAAGTGTAGAAGCACGAAACAAGTATACACTTTTTCCATGATTTCCTTAGATGAAACTCCGACGCATCAATATCATTACTTTCATTTCAATGCAGAACAAAGCACAGCTCACACACACAATTCCGCTCCGGCGCTTCTAATTATTTAAGCAATAAATTTTCCACTGATAAAACGAAACGGTGAA